AATCTTGATTCAAACCCAGGCCTTTCTACAATAGGTATTCTCCAGCATTCGGCGATAATTCATTTGTCGTAGTCTACAAATTTGCAAATAGAAATAGATCAAATAGATCGATTGTATAAAGGAGGTGTTAAAAGCGTTGACATTGAAACTATTACTGTAGTTTGAGGTATCGTAATTATCGAGATAATTATCACACATAGAGAAAATCCAGAGTCGACATGTGGTCTGAGAGTAGTTTCACTGTGTACAAACAAGCGGACAGACAGATATTTATACAGGTATCGACACAAAAAAAAATTGGGTTGAGGGCATCCGCACTCCCAACTTAGCTGGACTAAAAAATTCCACAAATGGGAGATTCTAAATGGCGGAAAAATCTAATTAATTTCTAAGAGAAAGACTGATATTATCATTGTTTATTGCACAATGATGGATGTTATATTTATTATACGCACTGTTTAGGTAAATCTAATTTACATGTAGAATTTTGACCGTAATTCGAGTTTGTTGATAACGAGCGCCGATTCGACTACCCCTCGAAGACGCGCACCTTGCAAAAGGTGGTTAATTTCGCACTTTTAGGAAAAAACAAAATTCCCTCACGCAAGAGTTGTGCGCGTATACAAGACCTTTCCGTCGACACGAATTTGAAAACAATCGAACCAAAATTGTAGAAGAAGATAGAAAAATACTGAAAATTCTACGTATACGTGCACTTCTCTTCTTTCTACAAGCGTTCTTCTACGGGCTCTCATTTGCTGCCAGCCAGCCTACCATCCCGCCAACCGGCTAAAGGGAATTTAAAACCTACCTTTTTACATAAACTTGCAAAAATGCTATAAAAAGGGCTAGATCAACCTTTATTAAGTCCTATAATATAAACATTATTATTACCTACCTAAAAACAATTTGTTTTCATTTTAAGTTAATTGTACTGCAATTTTAATTTGATGTAGCTTGTTATTTGCAATTGCTTTTGGCTGCTAACCTAATAAATGTAAATAAATCTAAAATTCCCCAAAAGAACAGTCACAATCTGCTGGTGGAGGACCGCAAACCTCCCGGTTCCCTCCATATTTCATTCGACACGCGAGCCAAATGTTGCAGTTAAAGGTACAACCCGCAATGATACCATCCGCGAAATGGAAGGCACACGAGATTATCATTACCAAAACAGGCAAAATTATACAACCCTGAAACCAATAAAAAGAACTCGCATATTACTAAAAGACGAGAGATTTCTTACCTTCATATTGACGAGCTTATAGCCCTGTGACAATCACAAACTTAGGTCTCGGAATAATAATAATTCGTCTTTCATAGCCCGTCCTAAAGCTTCTTATCTTACCTATTGATAAAGATAAAGATATTTATATTTAACTTATAATGGAATTTTTGTACTGACTGGCTGACTGGCACCAAATGAGGACCTTGTAGACTTTGAATTTGCAGTTTAACTAGCGAATAGAATACTGATCTGCCACACATAAATGCCCTAAATTTGTAAAAATGCGCCAAACAAAACTGTAAACGTATCCCAGAATCGTTTAGTATTTGAAGAGGGTATCACTTGTTACATGTTACGACAGTTCGCCATTTGAGACGGAATTTACATCAAATTTAAGTGTGGATTGTATGTTATGTAAATTGCGTCTCAAATTTTATGTTAAGCCGCTTAAGCAACCAATACAGCCTCAGAGGGTGGTTCAAATCCGTCGCGCACCATTGGGATTTCCGTAACGGTCTGCAAAGATTCAGTGTAGGTTAAATTGGGGCAAAGTTGTCCCGTGTTGTGACTAAAAACGCATTTGGAATGTTGAAAAGTGTTTAAAAATAACTGAGAGATCACCGAAAAACTTAAAATGTCAAATTTCTTTGAAAGTCAAGATACATCCAACCAACAATTAATCAAATGATTATATTAAACTTTGTATATACTTAAGACAATGTTAATGTACAGTAGAATGACTTAAATATCTACAGCATATTATCTCAAAAAGTGAAAATTTCTTCCGCATCACTAACCAAAACTCCTTCTCCATTAACAGCGGCCACTGCTTCAAAAAATGCATTGGGACGAGGCCACCCCGATTCCGAAAGGAACTTCTTAACAAAGGCGTCCAGTTTTTTACCAAGTTCTTGATGAGTTTTGCGACTGTTTACTATTTCAAAAATGTCATGACTCACTTTTCTGCTCAATTCGCGATTACCATCGATTGTTACCTAAAAAATATAATAAACAGGTGATCAACAAAAATGTGAAAATTTACATTCACTCTTCCAATCGACATTGATACTTTGCTGGGCAGCATACCGCCAGATTTTTTAATGGCGACAGTTGTGCTACAGTGAAAGTTTTTAAAACTGAAACTGAAAGGAACATATAGATTAAGAATAACAAAATTATTTGTACCTTCCGTCGCCGTTGAATGCGAAATTGGGTAGGTCGCTGCTGAATGACTTTATCTCTCCAGAAACGTAAGGCAGAGTAAACTGATATTTCAGTACGGTAACAAAACGATTGGCGCTAAGGAATTTGGAAGTTCTCACATTTGAAAGGCCTTTTATGTGAGCCTCGGTGAAGTTAAAATAATGCCCATTTATCCTTATGGATTGATTAGCTACTTTTAATGGATCGCGTAACACAAATTTCTCCGCGTAATTGTCAAGAATATCTTTCAAAGTTCCGAGTTCTACAGACGCACGTTCCTCCAAAAAATCACCGGCAAAGGATAGGTAATCATCTTCCAGTGCTGCAGCTGCAATCACAAAGCAAGTAAAGATCACAAACAATTTCATTTTGACGCGATCGTAGGTTATTATTACTGCTTTTGGATCTAGCAAACTTTCCTTATATATCAAAAGGTAGACAAAAGATGATAGTTTTGTTTTGCACAATTTGGGGATGAATCACTTTGGCTTATCAATTTGTCATTGGGTAAGGGGGGAAGTACCAAACTGAATTATTGGCAGGTCCCGTGAAACCTTAATGTTTGTCCAGACATAGTGTAAATAAACAACAGGCGATTATCGTATCTGTAGATACCCACACATTTCCTAATTGATCTTGCCCATTTCTCTTGTACTCTACGACTTAAGTAAGGGGGATGGAAATATATGAACTCATTATATACTTGAGGACCATTCCTCTCGCTATTCCTCTTACGAATCGCATCAATTAAATGCGTTAATTAATTAAAGGTCGAATATTGATAATTAGGATCATAAGTACGACATGCGTTTATGACTATCATATCTTATCTTCCCTTTGTAGTTGAATGTCATCATTTCAGGGACGTTCGTGAAATTTTCTGTCACTAAATAAGGGGTTCAGTAACCTCTTTAGCTTAGGCTGGAATTTTTTGGATGAATATTTTGGTGAGATTATTACAAAAAACTGATGACTTTTTTAGTCATATAATTTACATGGTAACAAATGCTTTTTTTTCGTTTAATGTCATACTTATTCACGGCCCCCGTGAAATCGCACACTTTTCATTCTTTCCTAAAACTTTGGCAAGCAGCCAGTTTATATATGTCAACTGCCAATATAATAAACGTTCACGCTACTTTTGAAACGGTTACCTATTAATGAGGTGCCCTCTTCGTTACCTATGCCAAAAAATTAAGTCAATTAAGAGCGATCATAGAAAACTTACTTTAGTTTTTGACATTACGGCACAGAGCAGTTAAATGATTCATGAAATAAACACGCGATAGACCATTCACCTAGTTCTTTAAAAATAATAGGCTGCCAAATTAACTGCTAACAATATTTAAATTTTTCTTTAAGCACAGGAGCTGAAAAACACGGTGTGTCAACGTGACAAGTAGTAGGTAAATGGCGCCTTATGGTTCATCAGCAGCAACTTATAATTAAAAACGAGGACTTTGCAATGGCACAAGACTCATCGCTAGGAGTCAACATAATAGAATGTACCTATTATTTTTAAAAAAGTAGTTGATACGGTACGTAAGGAAATGGGAAGCGCATATAACGAAAAAAATGTTGATAATTGAGATGAAGAACGACACGGGAGAGACCAATACAATTATAGCTGCTTACAGGCCTAATGAATAAGACGGAAAAGTGGTGAGGAAAAACAAAATTTGGACGATCTAAACTTGGTGATAGAGAGCAGTAGAGGAAAGTAAGAATTAGAGTAAAAAAAGTAGCGCCCACCTCACAGAATCCTCGATATCAAAATTTAAATTCGTCATCCCAAAACATGTAGTGTTTCTAATTATTACTCCAAATCCACCTGAAAGGCTCATAGGTTACGTTTTTAAAGGTATCATTGTAAATGTCAATTTTAACCAATTCATTGTAGCGTAGTTCAGATTCTGGAAACTGCTACACTCTAAACAAATAATTTTGTCACTATCGAACACAGTTGTCACAGCTCTTTTTAAATTCCAAGTGCGGGGAATTTTTGGTTTTGAGTCATCGATCACATAAAGAGAACTTGTGGGTGTCTGTCGTCAGTGTGGTACTTGCACACAGTCACTAGGAGTATTATTCTATGGGAAGAACATTAACCTTTCACAACCGAGCATTGGTTTGGCAAATTTCATAGTAAGATATTCGTATCGCATTCACAGTTCTATTAAGAATGTTCATGTCCTTTGGACATTTGGAACAACCGTTCTCTCTATTTGTTGCAATTGTAAATTACCAATGAAATTCATAGGAAATAACAAACTACACAAAATGTAGCAGAGTGTATCAAAGCAACTTTCTTTGGGAAGCTGCCAAAAATTGGAGATTACTGAGTGAATTATTTCCATATACCTACTATACCATAATATTCGAACACCACTTGATCAATATAATAAAAATCATAATACAGCGTATGGAAACGTAAATTGTTTTTGAAGTTGTTCAGATTCCTTGAATCTATTTTAAGATGTGCTTGAGTAAGAAAAAATTTACAAAATTTACCCCGTCCTTCTCTCATACACTTGCTCTTTCGAGACATGTAGTGCAAATAAACGAAAATCGTAAATTTAGAAAACTCAAAAGTTTAAAACTCCTCCTACAACATGATCGTCATCAATCCAGAACGAGCTTTTGCAGTGTTAAAGCGCCACGACGCCCGTAAGGTGCCTTTAACTGTTGAACCAAACGCTTCTTCCAATCTTGTAAGTATATTTTGTAATTGGCTTAATTCTTATTGTACGTTAAGATAACGACACTTTGCAATTGTGACTTTTTTTCTAAGGGATAATTACCGTTTGAATGCACTGGGGACTGGCAAATTGCCGCTTCGTTAATGTAGATAAATACAACCCAATTAAAATCTGGAAGAGACGTGCGTTTATGTGGGTGAAGGTCGTTCGCGTATTTTTGTGGACGAATCTGTTTTTTTAATAATAGCAAAATGTCGATGCTTTTTTATTTTCCGTACATTCGAGTTACTGGTTCCAAGACGCGTAACGGCACGTACCTATTTAATTTTTTTTGGCAATGGTTCAAATCAATGCAGTAAACTTGTCTAATTTGAAGGCATCGTATTGAAACATAATTATTTTGTTATACCTATTTATAGCCCCAAACGCAGAAACTTAAAATTGGATCCGTACGAGACCGTAATCGGTCAAAAACGCTTAGGACCAAATGGTTCTGCTACCATGTGAGTTGGCAAAGTGATACAATTCGTAAACAATTTTTGGAAAATTGACAAATTTGTCGTTGCTAGCTGCGCTTAGCTGTGGGAGTGCAATATCTTTTTCAAGAAAAAAATTTTCCGATTTGGATATTAATCACATCGTTTTGTCTCGCTGTGAAGGTTGATTTGTAGCGATTCCAACTTCCACCTTATCATTAATTTGGTTTTTCAACCTAATAATTCATGTATTTTTCTCCTACAAACTCCCATTACTCATTTTAATCTCTACCGATGGACGTTTGGTAATCTGCCAAAATCCATTTAAATGCACCTGTGTGCAGCTGAGGCTATGCAAAATACAGACATTGATTATCAGGTATTAATTCCACTTCATAACATTTCTGAGCTGCGTAACATATTTATAATGCTTGCATTGCGCCGATGGCCAGCTGAAGGGAGAGTTTGGTACAATCACAGGGATAATGGATGTCCCATCACTTTCTTAAACTGCTTTAATTTTTGATCAGTTGAATTGTGTTAGTCATTGGATTTGATTCATTTTCAATAGGCTTATAACTTGTCATGCATATAGGTCAACTGTCCAAGCGTTTGACCGTTATCGTGTTCACGGCAGGGGCGGTTTTTGGGGGGGCGACAGGGGCGATCGCCCCCCCTAAACATACTGCTCAATTGTTTTTTTATTACATTAGGTTCACATAATAATCGAATTAAATAGACCTAACCACAAACCACCTGACGGAAAAGTAAAATTGAATAAAATAGGTACAAAATAATGCCGGCGGGGGCGGAATCGTGTATTGTCCAGACTGCGACTCACGACTGTACTTTAGCACTATCATTATCGCCTCTCGTATTTTTTCTGTCTTTGTCAGTATTCGGAAATTAATGCGGCAATAGATAGTTTAACAAAAAAATACAGCTGAAATTGGGTCAAAGCTACTCAAAAAAAATTCCCGCGCACCTCTGCATCTGCAATTCTGTAGTTTTTTTATTTTCGCCCCCCCCCCTGAGTGGATGTATAAAACCGCCCCTGGCTTCACGGACAGACGGACAGACGCACCCTAGACTCCTATATAAAGCTTGCATCGCTTTGCTCTGCCATTAATAATGCGGTCATTATTAACTAGTAATCAATAATAAAGAACCGTCACCCTGTCATATTTAGAAATCACAATCCGAAATTTCGCTCAAAAACGTTTATACAATTTCTCTAAAATGAATAATTGCCACCATCCGTCATTTCCAGAGAAATCTCAACGACAGAACAAACAAAATACGGCCTGCTTGACTTTTACTTCCACGCACTTGATTGGCATGTTAAACTAATAAACAAAAAATTCTGTCCAACCGTAGGTACACTTTCTTAACAGTATAATATGTTAATTTAGAAGACGTGAAGTCTAGCTTCAAGTACTAGTCGTGAAAAAATAGTATATATACCATGGTAAAGAGGCCTATTATTGGCTTGGGGGGGGGGGCAAAAATGAAATAGCCTATCAAAATAGGACATACGGTACCTACATATAGCGAAAAGTATTGGGTTTTACTAGATTTGTCTGTCTGACTCTTTGGTAATACGCGATTCGCCCTTTTGTAACTGTGAGAAATCTTCTTCCCTGTTACACCAAAAGATCACAAAAAATGCTATAAGGGCGTAAAAGAAAGACACTCAAAGCAGGATTTTCCTTTTTGTGATATACTAGCTACTTTATAAGTTTCTGCAAGCAACACAAATACTACTTTCTTATATCTCTCACATCCTGATTTAGCCAATTGTATATTCACAGAAATCAATAAAAATCATCTTAATGTTTCTAATAGACAATGTCTTCAATTATTGTACCTATCTAGTTAGCCGTGCACTTTATCCGAAATCCAAGAAGGTTTTATCTTCGACCCATTAAACTCTCCATTGAATCGTCTCTCTAATCCACTAGCCCCCAGGCCTCTACGATTAACAATTGAAAATGCTAATCCTGTCTAAAGAATTGGGTGAGAACCATATATACAACTTCACTCCCTCGACCAATGTCACATTTTACCATTGGTTTCCATCCAATATTAAACTCTTCCAGTTCGTGTCGACTTAAATGCTATGCGTTTATTACCAACCCTTAAAAAACACCTTACATGTAATCACCATATATGCGAAAAAATTTTGGAAAGAACCTCACTCTCGTCCTATTGTAAAACATTTGAAAATTTGGCTGTTTAAACTAAACAAACTACAGCGTAAACTAAATCTTCTCGGATTTGTTTTTGATCTGCAAATCATTATTCGCAGAACATTTTATTTGTAATGTAGTAACAAATATCTTAGGTATTTCCCACCTACATATAACGTGACAGATCATTAGGATATTTTTAAACCAAAAAATTGGCGCCAAAATTGATAATAAATTAAAAATCTTTATAACGAAATTTTAATTAATATTTTTAGAACGTCACTTAACCAAGGGTTCTTCGTATCCTTTTCCTTTTACTATTTAATGCACGCGTTTCTTTTGCAGGATACTCACAAATAGAACAAAATGCCACAAGCGGGAGAGACGAAAAACCTAATTACGACATATTTAATTTTGGTGGCTCTGCTATTTGCCCTCTGGATGCTTTACACCGGCCTGTTCTAAGCATGTAAACGATCAACGTAAGTATTAGAAACATCAAATTAGCTTTCTGGCAGCAAGAAAAATGCCTGGCATAAGTTTTAGGGCACATTAACAATATTCCTACCGTAAACCTCATTGGTAAAACATCATTTGTGCAAATGATGTAACGCGCGCTATTAATATTAATTCTACCTGACTGTACGCGTAATATTGCAAAACTAATTTTAGAATTATACTGCAAGCATCGTTTTAAATAATTGTGTAAACTGTGTTTAAAATAGAACACTATTTTTAATTCGGTTGTTTTTTTTGCAGATCAAAGACGAGTTAGAAAAATGGATGCAAGAAAGACAATATACATACGTTAAAACATTAGTTGCTGCAAAAGTCCCCCGTCATCGATCATCATGATTCATAAACAACTTGCCTAACATGATGTGTACATGTGCATTTGTATTTTTATAAAAAAAATAAGACACTACCCTAGAATGTTTTTATTTAATTTTTAAGGAGATTGTTAAGTGGATCAATAAATCGTTAATTTTTCTAAATATTGGGCACACACTTTAAATTTTATTTATTGGTCTTTCCCGGCCTAAAAGCTCTTTCAAGGTGAAATTAAATGTGTTTGACACCTAACTCAATTCCATATTTTACCTATTCTTAATTTCCCTGATTGCAGAGCCACTGGCAAACCTGCTCTAGATGTTTCTATAGTCCGCGGTTTGGAAAGTCGGTAAGGCTATATGCGCTGTTATATTCTACTTCGAAAGTCTTACATTTTAGTTATAGTCCAGTCAACCTGTGTCGTAAAACACCCGTCGAAGGAAAAAAATAGTATAAAGCTAATTTTTTCCCCATCGACTACTACCATTTAGACAAGTGTTTAGCCAAAAGTCCCCACCCCTACCCCCCTTGCTTCCCTCCCTGTGCCCCCCTAAACATGAAAAGTGTAAGGGTTTCTTAAATCGCGTCTCTCTCGATTACTAAACGACATATCGGATTGCAATTTGTTTTATTCTCTTTGCTATAACATTGTCTACAAATAAGTTTCAATTGACTTTCGTCGTAACTTTTACCGTTTGTTGGTAATGACTATGAAAAGGTAAAAAGTGGTATATTTTTCGGCACGTAATTTTACTTTTTGTCGCAGAAATTTTCACGCCGACATTTTATCAAAAAATGTTGCCTACAAAAGTTGTAGCTCCCATTATTACCTTTAAAATGATATGACATAGGACGTACTTTGTTGAAGAGCCGCCGAGATTCAGCCGGTGTAATGCAGAATGCGTACCCAGTCGTGGCGGGCTTCGTCGAGGTGGGCCCGGCGGCGCGGCGTTACAATGCTAATATTGTTGTATAGTGAGTGTTTTTTTTTTAACTTTAAGGTACACTATTGCATTTTCCCTAAACAAAACCTAAATTCCACCCTTTTTCAATTTGTGTCAAATTTTAATAAGTCCTTGTATGCAGCTAAAAATCGTATTTTAAATAGTTTTCTATTACCCAAAATCGTCCTGAAACCTTCATTTTCATGCTTACTTTCTGTCAGGAAATTTTAGTTTCCATGACAGAGGCAGAGCAGACTACGTTTCCTGCCGTTTGTCACTTTACTGGCCGCACCTGTCACTTATTACCGGCCGCACCGTCACTTTACCAATTACCGGCCGCATTTGTGACATTTCCAAATGTCTATAAAGACTCCTGTCATCACTGAGACTGACATTAATCAAAAGTTCTATACAATAATTGAAATTTGATATTAAAATACGATTTCGGGTAAAATTTCATACAAACCTCGTCAGTAAAATGACATTACCTGACTCGGAAATTAAAGTACTCGACAGTAATGTATCATTTACCTGACTTTTATGTAAATAACTATTGTTTAAAAATGCATGTAATATTTTTTTTATGTTATTTTAGAACAAACTAATTGCGGTATCTTAATTTGAAGTAAAAAATATTTTCAGATTATTCACATTAAAAAATAAATTGATGTTGACCATTTCCGATTTCCTAAACTTCCAGGACAAGTTCTTCATTTTCCTTGACTTCAACCAAAGTTACATTACTGCATGATCCGCCACAGCTCCCACACATTTCTGTGCAACAAGTGATGCTTTAAAGCAGCTGCCATTACTTTTGCAAGCCTTTTTGCAGTTGCAGGATCCAGTTTTGAATCTGATAGTATGCTCGATAGACGATAAGCGTGTTGTTCAGCAGCACCAGATGTTGGAGGGAGGGATGCGATGTTAAATTTGGATTTTAATGACATTTTTGCAACAGCTTTAAGTTACATTGAATATCAGACATGCAGACCTTGTGCATCCATATTTTTTTCAAGAAAAAAACCTCTCCTACCTCTTTGAGAATATTTTTGTCTGCCTGTTTTTCATAAAACTGTCATTTGATGAACTTAGCAACTTGTATGCGTTGATTTTGGAAGAGCAATAGTGTCTCCCGACTCCCAGATTCAAAGTGTGAGGCCTACAGTTGTTGTCGGACACGATTCCGATCTTTTCGTTCTATTCTTAGGGCTATCACAGTGCCAAAATGTACAACTCTTCTTCCACAAACCCTCTGGCATACCATCAACCTATGACATCGGCAAGACCCGTGAAGAGATTGGTGATATGAAGGATGTGATATTATTTTTTTATGCTATCACATAATGTGATACCACGTCTTCTTTATTCGGCAAAGGCAAAATCAACGAGAACAAATCGGAAATGGTCAACATCAATTTATTTTTTAATAAAAAAAATTAAGATACCGCAATTATTTTCTTCAACATAAACGAAATATTACATGCATTTTCAAACAAAAAACTATTTAAAATACGTTTTTTAGCTGTACTTATACAAGGACTTATTAATATTTGACACAAATTTAAAAAGAGTGGAATTTAGGTTTTGTTTAGAGAAAATGCAATAGTGTACCTTAAAGTTAAAAAAAAACACTCACTATACAACAATATTAGCATTGCAACGCCGCGCCGCCGGGCCCACCTCGACGAAGCCCGCCACGACTGGGTACGCATTCTGCATTACACCGGCTGAATCTCGCAGGCTCTTCAACAAAGTAAGTACTATTTCATATCATTTTAAAGGTAATAATGGGAGCTACAACTTTTGTAGGAAACATTTTTTGATAAAATGTCGGCGTGAAAATTTCTGCGACAAAAAGTAAAATTACGTGCCGAAAAATATACCACTTTTTACCTTTTTATAGTCATTACCAACAAACGGTAAAAGTTACGACGAAAGTCAACTGAAACTTATTTGTAGACAATGTTATAGCAAAGAGAATAAAACAAATTGCAATCCGATATGTCGTTTAGTAATCGAGAGAGACGCGATTTAAGAAACCCTTACACTTTTCATGTTTAGGGGGGCACAGGGAGGGAAGCAAGGGGGGTAGGGGTGGGGACTTTTGGCTAAACACTTGTCTAAATGGTAGTAGTCGATGGTGAAAAAATTAGCTTTATACTATTTTTTTCCCACTAAAAACACAGGTTGACTGGACTATTAGCTCTTTTTCAGTTGCCAAGCTCGTAGGAATCCCGTAAAAGTGCAAAGATTTCATTGCCATCGTGCTGTGAACTTTAGAAAATTAGGGGGAAGCAGCATTTTTGCTTGGTAGATTCTAAATACTACGTACCCCATCGATCTAGGTATATGCCGCTGTGAGTTTCACGCGGGATTAAAGGTCCTAAAAATCTGTTTTTTTGTTGTAAATATCTCTTTCGAATCCCATATTCGTATCTCCCCCAACAATACATGCTTTTCTTGTTGGAGAATTATAGGTATCCACCGAGGAAACGATTCCACTGTGGATTGAAATGATTTTGAAAATCCATAATACTTGTTCACCATATCCAGACATATTTTGTTTGATTTTAGTCCTTTCTTAAGCATCAAAATGCACTAATAGCGATATTAGTCTTGATTCCTGCTTATATGACTTTGCATTTAGTAATTCATTACCTACACTGCAACAAAAGATGCTACTGGCCAAACATTTCTTGGGAAAACACTTTTTCTTATTAATTTTGGTGCGTAGAATCCAAAACAATTCGTACTTTTGAACTAGTAGCCCAATCTTGGAACTGTTTGAAATTATGGATTCTACAGGCCACATTCTATAAGAAAAATTTTTTTCCGGGTCGATCTGAGACAATTTTTTTTGAGGGCTCAAAAAAAGGCAGTCCTTTTTTACCAAAAATCGACTGCACCAACATTTCTCGGGAAAACACTTTTTTCTTATTAATTTTGGTGCGTAGAATCCAAATCAATTCGTACTTTTTCGATCAGACTTCTCAATCAAAAGTTATAGACTAGAAACCAATTTCGAAAGAAAATTCAAAGGGCTGTAACTTTTGAACTAGTAGCCCAATCTTGGAACTGTTTGTAATTATGGATTCTACAGGCCACATTCTATACGAAAAATTTTTTTCCGGGTCGATCTGAGACAATTTTTTTTTCGGGGCTCAAAAAAAGGCAGTACCTTTAAGTTATTCAAATATTTGAGAACGATTTAGAAATGTTTAGGGAAAGTTTCCATTGTCACAAAATCAAATATAAAAATCCGATACATCTGAATACCGAACTCGATAGTCTACGTAACTTAAAAACAATAGGGACCTTTCTTATATCCTTAAGACCATGTGTACCAATTTTCAAAGCGATCGCACGTTTCTAAACAAGTTATCATGCACACGGACAAACGGATGGTCAAAAATGGATCTGTTCCAAAATCGCTAGGATTAATTTCAGAAAGGCGTACGTATCATGTGCACGACGTACTCGCTTTGAAAACTGGTACACGTATTCTTAAGGATATAACTGGTATAAGAAAGGTCCTGGTAGGTACCTCCTATATAATAATAATAATAATACGCTTTTACTCCCCTTAAATTTGTATATAACAATAGAAATAGAAAAAAAGCTAACCCCATACAAGGTATAACTTGATTTTTTATGTAGTATACTATTTTAAATTTTTAATGTATTTGAGTGACAAGTATTTGAATACTTTTCAAAGTATTCGAAATGGTACTTTTTATAGTATCCGAATACCTTTGATAGTATTAGAATACTTTTGAAAGTATTCGAATACTTATTTTTTTAAGTATTTGCATACTTTTCAATGTATATGTATCTAGGATTCGCTTGTGCTGGACGTAAAAGTATTTAGTATTCAAATACCTTTGATTTGTGTAAAGTATTTACTATTTAGTATTCAAATACTTTTTGAAAGTATTCTGCCCAGCTCTGATGGAATGTATATAAGGGCATGTATACAATTGGAGGTAAATTAATATGAAGAGGAAATTAAGTGGGAAAAATCGTTAAAAGAATTTTCTCAGGCATATAGTAGCGCAATAATTAGCAATATACTTATATAAAATGAGTAATGACATTATAATTATTGATCACGTTAGAAACTGTAGAGAGCTTAGGCTAAGGCGCAAATACTCATTCTGGGTTACATTTGGATTTGCAATAGAAGGTAAATGTGTGACTAACAGAAGACTCAAAAAGGCAAGCACACATTCTACAAGTCAAAGCTAGAAACTCTCTAATGATTCAGAGCAACTAAAATTGTGTACAAATAAGTAGGTAGTTGCGTCCTCTCTAAAACTTTAAGGAAGTTTTCAGATATCATATATGGATAGGAAAGTCAATTGTGACTTATAGGTGGACATAATAACATTTGGTCACAACAAAGTGAAGATGATGATTGTCTGTGTTGTCACACCAAGAGTAAATCGAACATTAGGAGTAGTAGTAATATCCGTTTGTTAATAGCTTTCTATTTTTGTTCGCTGTACGAGTTGTGCAAGCATTAATTGACATCCTTTTTCCTCATGTAGTATTTATACAGCGTAAATTTGTAAACATTTCCTTCAATTGGAAAATCTTTGAATGGGCAATCTAGTAATCCTAGTTGATCCTCGATTCAATATTGTAGTTCATAGGAACTAAGTGTACGTCCCGTGTAGGTACTTAAACTTATTTATGGTATGATTCGGTGTGTGCCCGTATAAAATTGATCGACGTTTAAAAAATGTCATTCTGAAGCGCTTTAGTTCTTGATTTAAAAATGTGGTACAAGCCCCAATTGATACCTAACGGTATTAAAGAATTCAATTCACAATTTAATTATAATTGAAGCCCTTTACTTTACTTGAGTTTCAATTACTTAGTCCGATTTTTAGATATTTTCTTAAAAAATGAACCTGAAACACCTTACCAAGGAGATGGCGCACTTGTACCAATTGTATTTAAACTAATTATTCAAAAAAATTTTTTTCCGGGTCGATCTGAGACAATTTTTTTTCGGGGCTCAAAAAAAGGCAATGTATAACCTTCCTTTTTTACCAAAAATCGACTGCACCAAAATTTCTCGGGAAACACTTTTTCTTATTAATTTTGGTGCGTAGAATCCAAAACAAATCGTACTTTTTCGATCAGACTTCTCAATCAAAAGTTATAGACTAGAAACCAATTTCAAAAAAAAATTCAAAGGGCTGTAACTTTTGAACTAGTAGCCCAATCTTGGAACTGTTTGAAATTATGGATTCTACAGGCCACATTCTATAAGAAAATTTTTTTTCTGGGTCGATCTGAGACAATTTTTTCCAGTTCCAGTATATCTAGTAGGTATAATTAAAAATAAATTTACAAAAGAAACTATATTATTTAACTCTTAAAGTTACACTTACTGCTGAGAACAGTGACATACAGTACGATCTGACGTTGAATACATTACACATAACTTTTTAATGTAGTCTTAAATGAATACGAAAAATAACATCTGTCAGAAGAAAGTGAAAGTATAGAAGAAATGAATTTCTTTCCTCTTAAAGGTAAAATGAGACTGCAAAGCAACTCAACGATTAAAAAGACGCAACTATCCAACTTAAAACAAGACTAATTGTGTTCGTCAGGAGAATGCCAGGCAAGTCTTTCTTCGTAAAACTGTATGACTACTTGGGGACATAATACATTGGCCTTCTTAGCAGCAACCAAGTCAGCATCATCTGTACCCTTCCACTTCATTAAGAACATTAGCTCACCGGTCGTATCGGATGCGCCAATAATTTTTTCTGCCTCCAACCCCCGATCAAATCCAGTTTTGGAATCGGATTTGGAACTCTTGGATTTCGATTTTTTATCGGTCTTAGTGTCACTTTTACCCTTGTCACTTTTGCGCTTAGGTTTCTCGCTATCGTCGGACTTATCTGAACTTTCAGAAACTGCACGTTTTCGCTTCGATTTCGAATCTGACTTTGACTTTTCTTTTTTCTTGGGGGAGACCTCCTTGACATCGGAATCTGAACTCTCAGACGCCGCGCGTTTTTTCTTATCTGGCTTGCTCTTCCTCTTCTCTTTCTCCCCTTCGTTGTCGGATTCTGAGCCTTTCTTATCATCTTTCTTTTTATCAGATTTGGACTTGGCCTCTGTGTCTGAGTGTGACTTGGCGGAATCAGATGATTCCGTACGTTTAACTTTCTTTGCAGACTTATCATCTTTCTTTTTAGATTTTTTTACTTCGCTGTCTGATTTTTCTGAGGACGAGGAACGGGTACGTTTCTTGGACTCTTTCTTCTTTGCTTCTGATACATTAGACTTCTCAGAGTCAGTGGACACGCGACGAGATTTTCTTTCGCTTTTCTGAAAGGAAAAAATTTTTAACTTGAGGGACAAAGAAAACCAAAGTAATGTTCTCCCAGATTTCAAGGTATACTACTCGGTTTGGGGTAACACTGCATGAAAACAACTAAACTTACCATAGACATCAAAAGAAATGTCCAAAAAATGGTGTGTGCACGATATCTAGTAGGTCATGCATATTTCAAAAATAAAGAAAAAAAACAACTGTCCGCCAAAATACATTCCTAAATGAAAAAAGTTGCCAACCTTTTTCCCACCAACAGAATGTAATATATATATAAGTAGGAGAATAGATTATAGTAACTAACAATTCAGGTTACCAAGGGTTGGTTTTTCATATTTCAGTTAAACTAACAGTTAAATTATCTTCATAGGAACAAATGTATTCACATAATAGGTTAACCTTCAGTTGCACATAATTTGAGGAATGTAAATAAATTAGAATTTAGTCAATAATCACAATACAAGTGGGAATGACACATCGCCCTCTAGGAAAATGATATAGTACTACAATGCAGAATACTGTCCTAAGACAACAGTTTTCTTTCCTACAACAAATATTGCACCCATTTTATAATAGAATCAATGTCAATGTCATACTCCCATCGATAAAGACTAATTTATTTAGTAATACTCATTGACTTTAGAAAAATAGTTTTGCATATCGAGAAACAAGTGCAAATTAAGATAATCTTATGCTAAATTACTATACATAAGTTAAAATAATTATTATTCGGAAAACCCACTAGTTTTGACATGGCTATCACTACATCAGTAAAACAATTAAAATAGTGAGGAGGGGTTAAATTAGACAAAATTTGATCCTAGTAGACTAGAACTCCTGAAATTCTATCATATTTGAATATTATCTAGCAAAGGGCCATTTGAATATATAACTCTCGCCAGGAAAGATTGCCGGTCACAGCACACCTTGTGTCGATTTACAATCTTTGTTTTTATTAAGATGCGAGCGACTTCTGGAATAGGATCGTGCTAATGTTGAACAAAAAGTCTTTTCGTTCAACATTGACACGATACTATCCCGGAAGTCGCGAGCATATTACGAAAAACAGGGATTGTAGATCGGGATCAAGTGTTCTGTGAACGGCAATCTTTCCTGGCGAGTTATATGTAATTTAAATTCAGCGATCAATAAGGGGCGATCAAAAATGAGTTGCTGTCGAGTCGCCTTTGTAAGTTCAAGTTAAGTACGATTTCCCATGTAAACAAAAATTCCAAAGGTAACTCGACAGCAATTCACTTTTGATCGCATAGTACAATACTTTAAGCAATGAGAAAAAAAACGGAAAAAACTTGAAGAAAAAGACACACGCAGCAGTAGTACATGAAAGAATAATGAGCGATCAAAAATGAGTTGCTGTCGAGTCGCCTTTGGAAGTTCAAATTAAATATGATTTTCCATGTAAACAAAAATTTGAAAGGCGACTCGACAGCAACTCATTTTTGATCGCATAGTAGTATATTAACCAAATTAATAGAGGGGGACCGCTCATCACTTTTCAAACGCAGATAAACCTTCTGTCTTTTATTACTGGTTAAGAAATTAATACTTTTTAAAAGGGGAACAAGAAACAGTGCAATAAATTGTTTTATACCTTCTCCTTTTCCTTGTCCTTCTCCTTCTTCTTATCACTCTTTGTATCGGAAGCATCAGATGCGACTGAGGAAGTGGAATTGCGCCGCTTTTTGTCTTTATCCTTGCTAGCTTTCTTCTTCTCGCGCCTTGTCTTTTCGAAGGCTTCGATTAGATCGGGACAGTCGAGATTATCCTCCGGCTCCCAGGTGTTGTCGGTCTCCGAGTAATTCTTCCATTTGAGGAAATATTCGACTTTACCGTTTACTATCCTTTTATCGATAATCTTCTCGACCGAGTACTCCTCCTCGGAGTCGCTGCTTTTGTCCGCCTTTTTGTTTTTACCCATACTGAAAAAAACGTTAGGGAGTCAAGTTTGTTCGATGCTTCCCTCACCGTGCTAACGGTTTGCGTTGAATGCAACGGTAAAACGGTAGCTACGCGCGATGTTTAATAAATGAGCAGTAGTTTTAAAGGCTTACCTCAATACTTTTCGTAAAACTTGAGAAGCAAACACAAAAGACCGCTAAACGGCTAAATACAGGTACGCGTAATGGCGAAGATTTTATTACCAACGTAATTAATACCGCATTTTTAAACGAAAATCCCTAACAAATGGCGGTAAGCGGTGGCGTTGGGTTCAATGGTTTTAAAAGGTCAAGTCAGTGGCGTCCCTGTTAATTTTTATCAGTCCAAGAATACGACAAGTTTCAAATCCTTGGTGTTTCTGTTTTGTAATGTTAGTCAGTGCCTCTTCCTCTTTCATTTTCTTGTCCTTCCTCTATCAACCCTCTTCCCTCGCCCATCTCCCGCGGTTTTTGTGCTTTTCAGTGCTATCACTGAATAAGTAAATTACTTAACAACAAAGAACAAACAAACTTGTTCTGGGCTTAACAGATATAACATTAACGAAACGTAACTGCTAACTGCCAGAATCAGGAATTAGTACAGTACCATTGAATAAGTATTACCGTTGAGTGAATATTTATTACTCAATGGTATTATGACAGTACCTTTCTTTCAACTGCCACTGTTAAATTTGCGCATTTCTTCAATGGTGTCGTCATCTATCGGCGCATATAGAATGTTAAAGTACCAACGGCAACTTATTGTTTGTTTTTGGCAACATTGTATTGTAATGTAATATCTGTTTTGTTTTGGAGGTTATGGTTCAAAAGTTTGATAGCTTTTAAATTTAATTTTATAAAAATCGTAATTTACATAAGACATGGGAACAAACGTAAACCCGGATAAAAATCAGCTTTTAGCTGTTTTACAAGTTTTACGAAAATATAACCTAAAAGTATGTATTTACAATTAACAATGCAAAATAACTAAATAACATAATTCTAAGGGTACGGAAGAGTTGTTAAAGAAAGAAGCGAACATTGCAATCAATTTAGAACAAGAGAAAGTAGAATCAGATGTTAACAGTGTTCTAACTGGGTACAAAAGTGATGGTGATCCGGAAACGTACGAAGCGTCATATGTTGAGCTAAAGCACTTCGTTGAAAATTCTTTGGATATTTACAAGCACGAGTTAGGGATGATTTTGTATCCTGTTTTGGTTCATATGTATCTTGAGCTAGTTTATAACGGTCACACTGAAAAAGCCATTGATTTGATGCAAAAATTTGGCCCAGATCAAGACTTATACTATCAAGATGATTTAAAAAAATTGGCCCTGGTCACAAAAAGAGACCATATGAACGGAAATGAACTTACCGACACCTTTAAATCAAATCAATTTATCATACGCATGTCTCGTGATACGTTATCCCTACTCAAACGGCACCTGCATGACAAAAAGGAATCAGTACTCTTAAATATTATTCAGGAACACTTGTACTTCGATATGTATGAGGGAGTAGCACGAAATAAGGCCCAGATCGACGCGACTGCTGGTGCAGTTGTAGGGGAAGCAACTCGCTTAGGTACAACTAAATGTGTGTAGCACAAGTACATTGTTCTGTTCTAGATAATAAAGCCAAAGTGTATTACGGCATTCCCAAAGCACCTGATATACAGACATTGGCAGCACCTGTTGAGGATGAAGAAGAAGGCGGCGAACAAGAGACCCCCGACAAACCGAAGAAGAAGAAAGCAAAGAAAGATCCTTTATTTTCAAAGAAGACCAAGTCGGATCCCAATGCCCCACCTCCTGATCGTATTCCCATTCCGGATTTGTGAGTTTTCTAGTCGTTTATGTTTAGCCTAAGATTGGTATTTTCAGGAAAGACAATGACAAGGTTGAAAAGGTGAAGTCGTTTCGTGAATCGTGCAGGCGAATTACTTTAGGGCCAGAGACAATGCCTTCTGTGTGCTCGTACACATTACTGAATGCAAATTATACGTAAGTCTAGTCTTTATGTATGTGTCCTTTAGTGAAATCCGTCATTTCACTAAACTCTGGCCTAGTCATTTAGCTAGATAAGTGATATCATTTATTGATCTCGAAGAGGAAGGGAATCCAATCGTTTGTCCCTAGAAAGTACACGGATTTTACTAAAAGACTATGACATATCTATTAGAATGCACGTCAACACGCCCTCTATATGTAGTCAATTTTTAGGGTGACCTGTGCAGAAATTACTGAAGATTCAAGCATATTGGCAGTCGGGTTCAGTGATTCAATTGTTAAGGTATGGACATTGGTACCGCAAAAATTGAAAGCTATGAAATCCGCTGAACAGCTGCAGGATGTTAACACGGATGCCGAAGACGTTTTGGTAAGTCATTAAGTGTGGATGACACGATTTTACAGTTCGTCTGCTTAGGCTCGAATGATGGACGAGCGATCCGGCGAGAGTTCGCGATCTTTGGTTGGACACGGAGGTACAATCTACTCTGTGTCATTCTCACCTGACAGGACGTTATTGCTGAGTTGCTCAGAAGACAGCACAGTTCGTTTGTGGAGTCTACAAATTTGGACTTGCCTGGTTGTGTATAAGGGCCATATGTTTCCAGTTTGGGATGTTAAATTTTCACCATTGGGGTACTACTTTGCAACTGCGTCACATGATCGCACAGCACGTCTTTGGGCAACAGATCATTATCAGCCTTTACGTGTTTTCGCAGGACATTTTTCAGATGTTGATGTAAGTTAACAGTCCTCACACTTTGGAACACAGTTAAAAACAACAGTACAGTTATCAATATTTTAAAAAGCGCTTGAGAGAGACACGTGTATTGTTCCGTGGGAAAGAGAAGGACGACGCATAAGAGAGTGCGCATTCTCTTCATCGGATAGACGCAGACAGAAATATTAATTTTAATCAAGGGTAGTCTTTACCTAATTTCTGAAAAAAATATATTTCACTTGGTAAACAGATTAGAGAATCTTACACTATACTCTATTCATTTTAAGAAGGTAGCAGTAGGGAAGCTTTGACCTTCACTGTGATTGGTTAGTCTTACTCTAAAAAATAAAACGAGTGACAAATTTTGTAAGATGGTAATTCCTGATCCCAAAGAAACTGTCCAACTGTATTTAGCTGTTGATGTCAAAGATCAAAGCGTGAAATTGTTTAACCTTACTGACTATGGAACAAAGATACTAACAATATTCTCAATCTAATTCTTTGTTTTTTTAATCTTCCAGTGTATACAATTTCATCCAAATTCGAATTATGTGGCGACAGGATCGAGCGACCGCCGGGTCTGTTTATGGGATTGTGTAACTGGAAATCATGTACGAATCATGACTGGTCACAAATCGCCAATCTACGTTTTGGCCTTCAGTATTTGCGGACGTTTCTTAGCATCTGCTGGAGCCGATTGTAACGTACTAATTTGGGATTTAGCTCACGGACACTTGGTCGCAGAATTTCAAGGACACGAAAAGACCATCCACACGTTGACATTTAGTAGATGCGGTAATTTGTTAGCCTCCGGCTCCTTGGATCACACCTTGAAATTGTGGGACTTTAATAAACTATCTGAAGACACCAATTCGGAAGATGTTAACATATCGCATAATCCAGAAGTAAAAATGGGCGATTTGTATATGTTACGGAGTTTCGCTACAAAATCATCCCCTATTATTGCTTTACATTTCACTAGGCGTAACTTATTGTTAGCCGTCAGCATGTACGATGGAATTACTACTTAAATACTAAACTTCATTTATTTATAAAAATTACAGAAGTAGGTTAGGTTATCGAATGTAACACAGAATGAATTTATGTTTGTATTAAACGAATCTTTTGTCTTATATACATTTTTTAAAAAATCATACAATGCAAATGAGTGTTACCCTAAATTGATAGTGTAAACAGAAAGAAAACATTAAATGGAATAATTAACATTAAATTTGCAGATTCAATGCATTGTCCTTCGTCAGTAACAACACAAAGCCAAAAAACTAAGCTACATATATACAGTATTACCGAAAATGTAATATTTTGAACACTACTCAGTTTCTTAATTCATGAAATGTAGGTAAATTACCTAATAAATCACTTATTTAAACAACTTCCATACTTTCGTCAGTCTGTTCATCCACTTTTGTATTACTTTCACTTTCGTTACATTTATCTACTTCCATTACCATACTGTCTGACCCACTAATCACCGTCGATTCTTCTGTTATGGCAGTTTCATCGTTATTTTGTTGATCAGTCTCGTTTGTTTCTTCATTACAATTGTTCGTAGTTTCAACATTGTCAGTAGCAATTTCATTGCTGGTCTCTTCTGTGTCATTTCCATTCTCTTTACTAAAATCTTTGTCATTAGCAACGGGAATGTTATCATCCACAGAACTTTCTGCTTCTTTGTCAGGTATCCTACTATCCTCGTCATTTAAACTTTTAGTTACGTTCTCAGCTTCATCTTGTTTAACATCCTTATTTTCCTTTTCCTCTTCGTCGTTTATTTCGACAACGTCGTCCGATGTACCAATTTCCTTTTTAAACTTTTTACTTGGCTTCAATTCCTTCCTATCCAGACTCTTTTCCTTACTACTAGGTCGTTTCGTCTTCTTCGTCTGTGATTTTTTCACTTCTAGTACTTCATCTAGTTTCTCATCTACAGCATCGCCAGCCTGTGGCGTAGTATTTGAAGGTTCTTCAGGACGCCTGACTAATCCAAGCACGTCGAGCATACTGTGCGTTTTAATTGCCTTTTTCGCATCCTCTGCCGATGGATAGGCAGACTTCCGTTCACATTTGGCTAAATGACTGGCCAACATATTTCCTATAACAAATAAAAATTAAAGATCGAGAAGATTACTTCAATACTATACAGGGTGTTTTTTTGGGAGCTTTAGTTAAACGTTTCTGGGAAAGTAAAATAGGTAGGTTTTTGAAAATTTGTACTTAGGAGTTACGCTGAAGGCGGAATCGATGTAAAATATTTTCAAAATTGCCACACTTCCGGAAACACTGGAAGTAGATAGTAACTTCGTTATTTTAAATAGCAACCTCAATTTTTTATTGGGTTTTTGGATTCTACGTGAAATTCTTTGATACCCATATGTCGATATCTGCCATTTATGGTTTTTAAGTTATTTTGACTTTAAGAAAAAAAATGGCGGATGCAGATGGTACCTTGATAATTGATTACTGGAAAACGGTTGTAGTCATGGCAACCTATTTTTATCAGTGCATATAGAATGAATACAGCTTTCTTTTAGTGTACTTAAAAAAAAGTTAAGTTGCGTAAGACCGCCCCTATGGAGATCCAAATTTATGAAACTTCAAAGACTAAAGACTCAGTTTTTTTTTTAATGGAATCACCATTTTCTTAATATTGCATGAGATAAAGAATCGAAATGGGCATATTTTGACAATACATTTTCCTATAGCTATCTTTAACAGTTTCTGACTTATTCCCATATTATTGAATTGACACTATTTTTTTCGAATTTTCTTTTTAGTAGTCGGCCATGATTTTATAACAATTGAATTTTAAACAATTCTAGTGACAGTAATCCGTCACCTACTGTTATAGGTTAACATAAGTTTTTCAAAAATCGAAAAATGACCCGCAGTGGTTTCACCTATTTTTGAACTTAATTGTTATTTATGGTGAAATGGACAGAATCACGGCACATGCTTGCCGTACATTCATTCGAACACTGGAACGAAATTGTATGAATTTTGGAAATGTTGTATCCCCAAATGCACTACAAACCGTTGAAGTACAAGTGATACAAAGCTCTACAAGAGAATATTTAAGAAAATGAATTGAATTGCAAATGCAAGATTAACAAAATAAATTCCATGTAAAATATAAAAAACTTCGTTGAAACATTTTTTGTATGGAATTGTTGCTAGAACAGCATTATCTCTCAGAATTTTCAGACTTATATGTTGTTTAAGAAATTCAGTTGAATGACTCTGTCTAGGTTTCTCAAAAGCTTACCGTCCTATATCTTTAATAAATGACTTATTTAGACTAGAATCAATGATATTAAAGTATCCTTTCCTTGATTTGTTTAAAATTCGATTGTTATAAAATCATGGCCAACTACTAAAATGAAAATGCGAAAAAAAATGGCATCAATTCAATGAAATAGGAATAAATCAGAAAATGTTAAAGATAGCTATAGGACCATGTAATATCAAAATATTCCATTTCGATTCTCTATCTCATGCAATAGTGAGAACATGGTCATTCCATTTAAAAAAACTGAGTTTAAAGACTTTGAAATTTCTTAAATTTGGATCTCCATAGGTGCGGTTGTATGCAACTTAACGCCCTATTCATTCTCTTTGCACTGATAAAAATGGGTTGCCATGACTATAACCATTTTCAAGTAATCAATTATCAAGGTACCATCTGCATCCGCCATTTTTTTCATAAAGTCAAAATAACTTAAAAACCATAAATGGCAGATATGGACATGTGGGTACCAAAAGAACTGAAATTTCACGTAAAATCCAAAAATGCAATAAAAAATAGGGGTTGCCATTTAATATAACGAAGTTACTATCTACTTCCGGTGTTTCCGGAAGTGTGGCCATTTTGAAAATATTTTACATCGATTCGGTCTTCAGAGTAACTCCTAAGTACACATTTTCAAAAACCTACCTATTTTACTTTCCCAGAAACGTTTAACTAAAGCTCCCAAAAAAACACCCTGTATAGGGATGAACAATGAGAGGAAAAACAATCAAGGATTCATCCATTAATGGTGTAAAGGCAATGTTTCTTCCAACACTATAAGGGTGTTGGTGGAGGGTCATCATGACTTTCCAATCTTTTGTTTTATGCACTTTACATCACCGCAATAAACAATTGAGAACACCAAGTGGATTTTTTGTGGTAAATTCTGTCATTTTGTTTGTATCATTTTTAGATTTGCATGATGTTTATAATTATTTACTCCTATGCCAGTTCCTCTTTCCACATTCATTATACGAGGGTGTTTAATTCATAACAGGAATCATTAAGAAAACAAAGTGTCTTGTTCTTTTGAAGAAAAAAATGTCCATGTTTGCCGCTTGATAGTTTTATTAAAATTCCATATTACAAAAAAAAATGAGAAAAAAATCAAAGTTAAAAAAACTCAAATATTTTTTGTCGCCAAAACGGTTACTATAATCGGGCGAATGTACACTGCATAAACGATGCAAATTTCCAAAAATATTTCCATAAATAAGAAAGTTGACACTGCGCATGCACGCATTTTACATAAAGATATTTTTCTCCAACCACCTGAATAAGACCCTATTTTGTTACGCTTTTTGGTACAAAAATTGGGCGATTTCGGGAGTCGTCGGTGTCACCATGGTAACTGTCCAAAAAGTAGGTACTTTTCGGACTAGTCCAAAAAGTAATTTGACCTTCAAGACGAATGTTAACCAATCAAAAAATTACAAATACCTAAGGCCTGTTTAGAGTTTGCAAGTTTTATTGCGGGCAATAAAAATTGCGGCAATATTTATTGCACGCATGCGCACAAGTTTTATTAAATACTGTGCCGAAGAAATATGTGAACCATTACAGTACATCGTCAATAATTCCTTGCAATTTGGAGTATTTCCAGATAGACTCAAGACAGCAATAATAACGCCTCTACACAAAAGCGGCAACAAAAGAGATATGGCAAATTACCGGCCTATTAGCATCTTGTCTTCCTTTTCAAAAATTTTTGAACATGCTATGTCCAATCGAATAACTACCTATTTACATGAAAATGGACTCTTTTCAACTTCTCAGCATGGATATATAAAAGGTAGATCCATCGCTACAGCTGTTTTTCACTTTACCGACAAAATACTTAATGTTTTTGAGAATGGTAAAGTGGCACTGGGAATATTCTTAGACCTTTCAAAGACCTATGACCTAGTCGACCATGACGTGTTGCTAGACAAGCTGTTAAGGTATGGTATTAGAGGTACGGCTCATAACTGGATTGCGTCATTTTTACGGAACTGTAACCAAAAAGTTGTAGTACAAGGAGAAGCAGTCATAAGGGAATCAAGTACACTCTATACTACCATGGGCATCCCACAAGGAAGTGTAATTGGACCACTGCTATCCATTCTTTTGGTGAACGACATTGATTTAGTCTTACCCCAGGGCGATAATTGTTTAATTACTAATTACGCAGACGACTTTAACATCCTGATAGAAGCAGAGAAATTTGATAACCTAATGTTAACTAGCAACAAAGTGTTCGGTGACATGAGGTCCTATTTTAGTGCTAATCAACTCCTCCTCAACGAAAATAAAACACATTGTGTGCTTTTCAAATCTGTGTATTCAAATTTAAGTGTACCTGACGTAATTAATATTTGTGGTGCTGAGAGACGCTTGTGTGAGAACACTACATTTTTAGGAATAACGCTGCAATCCACTTTGAAATGGTCCGTGCATATAAGTAGAATCTGCATAAAATTAAATTCTGCATTGTACTCTATACGTGTCATGAAACCATACCTCAATGCGAATTTTGAAAGCCGGTTCAGATTTGGCATAATATTTTGGGGGCATAGTTCTGACTGTGAGAAAGTTTTCTTAATCCAAAAAAGAGTAATCAGGTCCATTTTCTCGTTATCATACCGTCAATCCTGCAGGGGCGTATTTAAAGGTAATGGCATTCTTACCGTCTCAGGGGTGTATATATTTGAAACATTAGTGTTTATGTTCAAGAATAAACTTTTATTTAGTCGCGATAAAATCGGACATAGTTACAATACAAGGAAGCTGGAGGCCTCGTACAACGTACCCACGCATAGACGAACTGACAGGAGAAGAACTGCTATTATTCTTGCATCAAATTTTATAATAGACTTCCAACAAATATACAAAATTTAAGTAGCCTTAATGAATTCAAAAGAGCGGTGAAAAACATACTAATTCAAATTGAACCCTACAGTGTGTCGGAATTTGTGGAGCACCGGCTTGGACTTTGATTGGTTTGATTATATGTATTGACAATACTTGCGTCAAATGTATTTCAATGTAATTGTAATTGTATACATTTTTCCGCAAATATATTATTTTATTATTATTATTATTATCAAGTGTACTTTTCGATCAGCTGTTGCAATTTTTATTGCGTTGCCAGAAGTAGATCCGGAGCGATTTTTACTGCATTGCACTAACACAAGACTAAACATTTTAATATTTAAGAAATATACCTACCGTCATCATCACTATAACCGCACACGCAGAACATTTCATGTGGCAATACAGATATGGGCAATGATGCGTTGAGTTTCTCGCACATGCCCATATGCGTTTCCATGGCTGCCTTACACGACGTTGAGTATTGACAATTTCTGCTGGGGCAACCATCTAACGACCTAAACGGGAACATTAGTCTCAATGACTCGACAAGAGCGCATACTTACTGGAAGTGTTGAGAAGCGTTAATCGGGAATTTACATTCTTTACAAACTAAATAACTAGGGGCACTAACAATGGTTAAATTAGAGAAATTAATCTCCCTTTCCGTGTCCTCCCACACCTGCTTGTCTTGTTTTGATTTAGGAACCATAAGGCCATTCTTCGGAGGCGTCCACGATATCAGACCGGACTTGCTACGCTGTGACGAATGCATGGTGATCTGGTGATCTTTGAGAGTATCTTTGTGTATAAACCATAGGGCACATTTAGGACATTTTTTCGCCATAGTCTTTTTCTGATGTTTTTGTAGATGTTGCATGAAATAGTTAAGATTCTGTGGCAGAACTCTGCCCGCTGTACATATACTCGTTGACTTCAAACAGAACGGGCACTGAATTGTTGAACCATTGTCATGCTCGCTGTAAAAGTGATCAATGACTTGGCGATGTGAGGAACATCTGTAGCTGCATGTGCCGCACTGATAGGGTAATTCGGCAGGTACATGCTCCTTTGACAGATGCTTGCCCAATGAGAATGAGTTAGCAAAACGTGTTTCGCAGATGATACAAATGTACGCCTCTTGAAAGCGCGTTTCCGAAGGATGTGATGATACAATGTGTTTCGCAAGACCTTCAGGTGATCCTACACTAGATAAACAATATCTACACTGTTGTATACCTCCAGTTACACTGTGGGCGTGCGAAAACAAGTGGTTCATTAGCCGTATATTGTTACTAAAATGACTTTTACACATTGTACACTTTAAGTTATACCCCAACTTTGGTGTTGAATTTTGTTGGGTGCCTTGAATGGTTCCGTAATAGTAATTTTCTAAGTGCACCATCTGCTCAGGTACATCGGGTGAAATTGTTCTTGGGGGCTTGGGTTGCATTTCTAAAGTGGGTGAGGGAGAATCCGATTTGAAATTAATGATTTTCCTCTGTCTGCCAGAAGTTCGTTTGGCACCACCAGAGGGCGTGTTTGTTTCAACAACCGGAGTTGGTGCTGGTTTGATAGTGACAGCAGGTGGGGGCGTCTCCTTTGTCATAATACTCCAATTCCTAAATGGATTATTCGACACTTTGTTTAAACGAACGGGCAGGGAATCTGCGGTATCGGCTCTGGTTTGTTCCGACAAATGCAGGAGAAGATTGTCGAAACATGCTGCGGCTGTGGTCCCATACCACTCTCTCCAGACCAATTCATCCAAAAACTGTTGAATAATCTGCCGAGATAGTAACGACAACGTATTTTGGAACATTCTTGGTACAATTCTTCGTAAATAATCCATTATCGTATGATTATTTTGGGATGCATCACTCGAAGTGGATTGGAGAACGTTAGCAAATCCGATAGAATTTAATGTCCCTTTATCTACAGTCAGATCGGTTACAATAATACTTTGCGGATGTACCCACTTAACGAGAGGTTCTAATATTTTTGCAAAACGCTTTTTGTAATTCCGATCACCGTCAGCTAAAGGTTCGACGGCTCGTAACCGAATTAACCGTGCTTCTGATTCAAGCAAACCAAGCACTTCAACTTTAACCTGTCTCTGTTGCCCATCTTGAGATGTCGTCCCCAATGATATCACACCAACTTCGACACGGCGCCCTGGACCCCCAAGCGGCTTAACATGAGAATGTAAAGCTACTGTACACATCGCCCGTAACCATGTATATATACCCTTCACGTAAAAGTTATCAACTTTAACCTGAAATATGCGGGTGTTAACAATGCATTCGTATGGTTGAATGGTAAATGTATCCTGATTAGATCTAGCCCCCCCCCATCACCAAACACTACTCTGAATCATTTTGGAACATTTGATGATCGTACCTATCAATGTACTACACGGTTATTATGTTGTCTACAACTGTATTTAATCACACAATCAACTAACTGATAACTTCTTAATGCAAGCTGTCAAATTAATTAATATTAGATGTGATCTAAAATTTACACGGCCTTCTATCAATCAAAATTAGCTTACTGACTTATTCAATAAATATAAGTTCTGTAGCATACATTTCCTATTTTCCAATTGTTTCCAAAATTTCAGCCACATGGGTCTGCTCCTTACAAAGTTATACACAATTCAATATACAGTGTGTCCCAGATCGCGTGGGATTGCATGGGTAACTTTGTTATTATTAAAGATAGAGAATTGGTTAAATGGGCAATGTTTTGCAGTTTTGGATGCTTATTTAAAATTTCCTTATGGAAATTCAAAATGTCGCATAGGTTCGACGTAAATTCAAAAAAACTAAAATTGGTCATTTCCTTGAATGTCTTATATCATCGAAAGTATAAGAGATATAAAAAAAGTTTTATATAAAACTGACTGTCTTTGATACGGTTAATTTAGAATTGATGTCAAAAAAAATTCAAGATGGCCACTTTTGAGGAACATTTACCAACTTCCTAAAGTTAAATGGGCGCCATATTGGATTTTTAGATTACTTGATAGATTTTTAAATTCTCTTTTCAACAAGCTATTATAACATAAGATTGAAAATAAGATACCAGTTATATTAACGGTTTTTGTATTTTAATCAAGTAGTCTGTGACGAATAAAAAAAAAAAAAAATCTATTCGAGGCAACCAAACAATGAAAATAATTACACCAGATGTTTAAAATACTGGCCATTATTAGTGAAACACACTTCAAGACAGTTTAGTTTAGGCAACACGTTGCCATTGATGATTATTATTATTATTGTAGTGGTAGCTACTTCCACTTTACTTTTATTTTTTAATTAAGTACTTACTTTTATAATTTAATGTACTGTACATAATTCGTGAATTGTGACCTGAGCAGCCAGTTTGTTGGTAGGTAGCATAAACTAACCCTTCCTTCGAAACATACGTTGTCGAGAAAAATCCTTTAAGGAAGTTTATTGGAGAATTTGTAAATAATGGTGAGCAGTTAAAGATCCATCGAAGATTACCGGTCCAATTACATGACTTCCCATTATGCCATAAAATACATTAATTTAAAAAAATATTACTTGATTTCGGCGTGAAACTACAACATGTAGGTTTTCCTGTGACGAGTAGTGTTCATAATGTCGATTTGAACACTTCGCAGTTAGAAAAATAAGATTCATCTGTCCATATACTCGGACTGGTAAAACTGTTAGTTTCGATATTCTTGCGGATAAACCACCTACAAAATGTGACCTGGGACAATGCATCAATGGTAATACATTGTGTAAAATAAAGCGAAGTGTCTTGAAATGTCTTTAACTGGATAATGGTATGACTGATGTTATAAAAATCAAATTTTTCTAGACCTAATGCTTATATAAAATTTTGGAGGGAGTTGTAATGCCCAAACCCCCCCTCTCATGAGTGCGTCCCTGATTTTTTTAAACATCTGATGTAATTATTTTCATTGTTTTGTTGCCTCGAATAGATTTTGTTTTGTTTTTTTTAATTCATCACAGCCTACTTAATTAAAATATAAAAACCGTTGATATAACTGGTATCTTATTTTCAATCTTATGTTATGATGGCTCGTTGAAAAGAGAATTAAAAAATCTATCAAGTAATCTAAAAATCCCATATGGCGCCTATTTAACTTTAGGAAGTTGTTAAATGTTCCTCAAAAGTAGCCATCTTGAATTTTTTTTTTACATCAATTCTAAATTAAACGTATCAAAGACAGTCACTTTTATATAAAACTTTTTTTTATATCTCTTATACTTTCGATGATATAAGACATTCAAGGAAATGAATAATTTTAGTTTTTTTGAATTTACGTCGAACCTATGCGACATTTTGAATTTCCATAAGGGAATTTTAAATAAGCATCCAAAACTGCAAAACATTGCCCATTTAACCAATTCTCTATCTTTAATAATAACAAAGTTACCCATGCAGTCCCACCCGATCTGGGACACACTGTATATAAAATTTATTGCCATCTTTGAATCACTTCCAAAAGCTTTTCATCTCTCGAAACCTGATTAAGTCACACATTCCACATTATTGTGGTATCCGCCTTATTCTATGCTATCAGTAGTCTGACGCTGCATTAATTATCAACAGTTGACTATATTGTATAGGGATAAACAAAAGATGAGCAGTTTTAAGTGTTGTATTATTCCAAAACAACAACAATGACACTAGATAACCGTTTTATTACCTGTTACCTATCGCGATTTGCCATACAAATTTTTGCAAAAAGAAAAGTCGTTTTTCTTGGAGAAAACACAAAAATATACATGTGACCAATAAAAAGTAAATTGTGTGGCATGATTTCTATTTTCTATTTTTACGTGTAGCATGTAGTAGAACTGTATGCCCTTGAATAACCTGCACATTTGAGGTAAAAAACTGTCAAATCACAAAAGGGCATATGTGATACTATGAGGCAAAGAACAAAATTTGCAGTTTTTAATGGTGTGAAAGATGTCCCGTTCTGGGACAAATAAAAAATGCACATGGCGAACCATCGTGCGCAGGTGCCCTATGCTCTATTATATCAAAATATACTACAATGTGCTACCCAATACGTTGAGAGATCCGGAAGAGAGGGAGTTCGTTGCCAAGTCCTTGAAATTGGCGAATGTATTTCTAAATTAATTGTATACAGTGCATGTCGTTTGATATGGACCGTAAAAAAAATCATGTAACATGTCAATTTTAGTTTTCAGAGGGGCACGATTCTACATACAAATCAACACCTTGTCATCTACCACTCTCTATAACAACCCACATGCACAGTCAGAGCTCATTGCTTTACGTAAAAACTCTTAGATATCTTTTCATTCGTGCATAAGTAAAGGGCTACTTCCAAATGGACTTGTCCGTCCCACAATAAATTTTAAATTCTCATTAAGCTCTAAGAATGAACGTCTACACGATCAAAAGCTCCTAAATAGCGTGTAGCAATAATTGAATTGATTCCGAGTAGCAGGGGGCTAGATCAAACAAGGTAAATATACCAATGGAACCTACCCATTGTACGACATTTTGAATATTTGTTTGGCAGGCCCAATGATAAATTAGCTTTAATATAACACTGGGAGGGTAGGGACAATTTTCAAATATTGACCCACTAAACACAGATACAAATCTAGTAGGACAACATTCCGAAATCCAAACATAGCCACCCGAAAAGGGAAACCTCGAAACATCGCTGTACATTCCTAGTTTCAATTTTGCGGATGAATGATTCACACAGTACTGTTCGGATCGTACCAAGCCCTGCTGTATCAACCTGTAAAAGTAAGACTTAAGTGTTCAGCATTTAGAAGGTCAGAAATTTACCATTCTGTAAACTTTGTAGGTACGTGCATTAGTACACTTTTTACTTTGGAGTCTAACTTAGATCGGTCACCTCCAGTAACATCTTTTATGCCGAGGTGAGGACGGGCGACGACCACAAGCGAAGGAAAGGTCTTCCCTTGCAGCTTATTGAAGGAGATTTCTCGAGAATCAGGCAGCGGTCGACTGTCATCCGTTGTCAGATCAACAACAGCAGGTGAGGCAGAAGGAGTAGTAGGTTTCTGTACGTTGGCACTACTGTTTTTAGAAGTCTCTGTCGGTCGCAGCTGTACTAAAGGTGGCGGTCCCACAGAAACTGCCTAAGCAATACATTATCACCCAAACACACAAAGCGTGCAGTTTACCTTTTGGGCTTTCGCTGGAGACAATGATGGTACGACAACACTATTCCTTCCGCGCCGCCGCTGAGGTTGGGTCCTTGTGATCGTTGTCACTGGTGTTGGTACTTGAGGTTTGGATACTGATGGAGAAGAAGAGGTGTTTTTGCTACCCGTCGGTGTCATTGTGCCCACTATAACACCCAATCTGGGATCCATAACTAACTGATACGAATTATTTTGCTTGCCCGGTTTTAATACTACATTCTGTTGAGTGCTTGATACACTTTGTGTAGCTTTTTTCTTCGGAGTTTCTGTAACAAAAAAAAAATTGAAACACTAACACATGCTTCTGTCTTTACTAAATGCAAAAAACGAAAACTGGGGGGCGGGGGGGATAAAATATTAGCGCGTTAAAAACTGGCGACCATTGGCGCCGCCTTGAATCCTAATCATAAAGTGAGTTGATATGTGATATCCACACAATCCATGGTAAGGAAATTTCATAAACTGGTAAAGATAAAGACATGATTCAAAGGGCGTTAAAACATTCCTGCGCATGCGTCCTGACGCATGCGCAAGCTGGTCTTTTTCATAAGGGTTATTTATGGCTCTAGTTAGCTTGAATACTCACCAGGAATAGTGGTTGATGTAATGTTTTCAATCTGATAGATACTGCAAGCCTCCCCTTGGTGCAGAATTTCAGTGTTGTCATGCTTGGTGAACGTATCCAGTTTCTTTGACAACTCGTCCAGCTCATTTTCCACCTTCTTATGCCACTCAACCTGAACCGAGGACAGTTCATCTTCCTCGCATTCCATAAGAAACGGCTCGTCGCTGGCATCATCGCTACCAATGCTCTTAAGGACTATTACGTCGCGATCTAAAAACACAACACGAATAGAATCACACCCAAAGTGAGAGGGCAACGTACCATTACCGTCTGACGATTTGCGATGGCTAAGGCGATACTTTTTTTTGGGTGGCATTTCGTCTTCTGCCATCTAAAACAGGTGTTTTATACATGAATGGGGTGCGCAAAAATTGTTTACGTAATCATCATCCTCTGATGGTACGCGAAATGTGTCGCTAGGATCGTCATCGTACGCAGTGTCAGAGAGAAGTTGCATTTGTTTCAATGCCTCCGTACTGGCTGCACGCCGAACATTTTTGCGAGACATACTTAATTTACTATCTATAAATGCAAAGAGGAAGTCGACTCTTGTTAGAGAAATGTTAATTTTAAGCGGTAAATATGGCGGTAATAACACTAACCTCACTTTATTGTTTTTTGGCCATCCGCCGCAACAGAGAAACGGACAGAAACATGCTGTACATATGAATTTAGAAAAATTACAGCAACAATACCGTTCTCAATGGAACGAAAAAAGTTAAGGTTAAGTAATCACAAAAGCGTATTTTTAAACGATAATGTTACAGTTGTGAACAAGCCACAAGGGGCTTGCTTGTTTGTGCGCTCATAGCGTTCAAAAGGTGCATTCACACAAGTACGTCTCAGAGGTTAGAAACACAAATTTGCAGTGCACAAAATCAGACCAACCAAATTTGAATATCATGCGACAAATGTAGAACAAAAAGTGTTTGCACAATACAACAAACATAGCACAAATGCAACAGCAGTACGTGTAACATCGTATGTCATGGCGGTAAACGAAGCTCAATCTAAATCTAAGGTAAGTCTGCATACCAAGCGATTCCGCTTTACATAACAATACGTATTGTAGATTATTCAAGTAGCGAAACACTTACGCATGTAAGAAATCTACAAAATATACACACCTTGCTCTTAGATATCTTGAAAAATTAAGAAAAACACAACTTGTCAAAATAACACCTAACTAACACTGGCGGCCATATTACAATAAATTTTAAGTAACACTCGACGTTTATTGGTCAACCAAAACTTGTGCGTTAGAGCGGGAAATATAAACATTTCTCCTTCGATTGCATAAAGATCCGCTCTGTATTGCTAATATACATTGTATGTTAAACTTTTTTATATACAGTGTGTGCTCACATTATTTAATAATTACCCTTATTTTAGATCAAAAACGTTAGAGAGATCATGCGTAATAAGAAACGAACCAATTGTGTCGTTTAAAAAAAAAGATGGAGCCATGCCCACCATCTTGATATAGAACGTCGTTTTGTTAGACAACCAACTCTGCTCGAAATTTGTATTTACGGTAAAGAATGAAATATAAATGAAAAATTATATATTATTTTGACTATCGAAAATGTTTAAGTGTATAAGTGTGTTTAACACCAAATTCAAATAGCTTATATAAAAAATTATGTTTCCCTGTATATAAATGTCTGAACAACGCTCTCACTTTATACCTACACTGCAAATTAGTTGTTCTTGTATTATATTCTTCATCTAAATTTAAATTACAAATAATATATGGTGACATGGAGCGCAATCAATGCCAAAACTTGGAAGTATTTTGAAAGCTTGGGCGAAATAGTGCAGAGCATACTATACAGTTCTTACACAGGGTCTGCAATTCTGTACTGGTAGAGTACTAGAACTAATAAAATTTATTAAATAATAATATTCAACTATAAGGACAGTTTGATGATCAAAAGTTATAAGTTAAACAAATACGTAAACAAAAATTGGGTGATGAAGAGCACCAATAAAATAAAACATTTTTTGTGAAGGCTCCAAAACTCTTAAAAATGTGCGTTTATTCATTAATTTTTTCGCAGCAACCATAACGCGTAAAATGGGATCAAGCTGACGGTTTGGGCTAAGTTCTTGATGGGTACGGCACTTCCGATTTTGTAAACAAATTACAGCATAACATAAAAAACAAGGAATCAAAAATTCAAACAAAAAAATTGGAATTGCCTTTGCAAAACACACAATTTTGTACCTAATTAATTTTTATTATTATGTTTTCGTCACGTTTTTTAATTGAATTTTAAAATTCTTCATGAACTAGCAGGGTGAGAAATTTGTTTCTTCAGAATCAGTGTTAAATTTTTGGTTCTGTGTGAGTTCTGGGAGTAATTTGTGGCGAAATATTTACTTGAATTGTTCTGAATACATATTTTTTTATATGGCGGTTTTTAGTTATTTCTACTGGGTTTGAATTTTTCAACAACCGCTTTCGCTTTTCTCTGTCCTTTGGGATCGATACCGGTGCTCCTTGTACAGATCAAAAGGTGGCAATGAGAAAGTGTTTTTATTTTTTGTATCTATTCAAATAACATCAGAAAAAAATAAAAACCAAATCAGCAAGTTTCGGTTTCTTCGGAAGTAGGCAATCGGAATTTTCTGGTTCTATTTAAGGCACGATTATAACTGTTTAATTGGGCATATTTTCTCTAATTCGACCATCGTCGTATCTTCTATGGTTTGTGAGATTTCCATGATAGACATCCTTATCTTACACACAGTGTATATTCTTGGTATTCCTTTTACCCCTAGACCTATCCGTAATATTTCTGCTTCTGCTCAATGTTTAAAAAAAGTAAAGTAGTAACGGTTTCGGTCTGGTTTTCAGTTCTGTTGCCTACCGTTCAGTTGAAATTGCTGGTTCACTTCACTTGGGGTGATTTTGCATTAATAAAAATATTTGTACACACGATTCTCCTTTGTTATGCACCTTTCTAGTTTATTTACCTACTTTCTCATCGGCCCCGGTCGAGGAACGGACTGAGCGTTCCAGGGGGAAAGGTCCTCTCTCCCAATGGTAGAATGGTAGCAGCTGCGTTAGTTAGATGTTTTAAATATTTCATGATGACCCGAAAGCTGCTTCGCTATGTGACGAACTCAACTTCATAGAAAAACACACAACTGTACATTTTTTCCGAAGGTTTTCAATTTGTATAAATGGACTTGAAACACTGTTTCTATGACTCCTCAAACGTGCTAGCATTTCTTATTCATAATGGTGTTAGGTAGAACAGCGAGCAATGTATTAATCACAATATGACCTTAAAACTATGAGTTTGCTGTAGTTCAAAGTCCGCGACTGTGTTCAGTGGCCCACCCGTTTTTGGTAGAAATTCTTATTCCACCAGCAGATGAAGGGCTTATATACCTATAGTAAAATCGCTGCAATAGTTTTGTTTTTTTTAGGCATTTATCCTCAAATACACCCTTCACTCATTTTCTTTTTAAAAATGCTCCACCAAAATTAATTGGATTTCAATCACATTTGAAAAAAAAACCTTGAATCTTGAAGGGTAAAATGAGAAATTGTTTGCATAGGAGAAACCAATCAGACTGTTACCGTTACGAGAGGGGCGATGGATATCCACTTGTAGCTTAATTTGTCAATGAACGGCACTCTAAAAGAACCAAATTTCAATTTCAGTTATCGATTTCTTCGCTGTCAACCTTCATTAGTCATTTGTTATTTGCATAGCAAACGACTTGGCGTAGCATTAACTAACAAAGGCGTCAAAGGACTATTAATTATTGAAACTAATTATAAGGTAGAAGAAAACTTGACCCATTTGAAATATTCTAAGAATATTTCACGGTCACCCTTTAACTTAAAACACCCTTTCCTTTCTTTAATTGTGTTAGTGCTTCGGTGAACTGTGAACAATGTACACCTCGAATTTCGGTGACAGCGGCGTCAATGGACAAGTGCAGAAACGCGGCGTGTATCTTGAAGGTTCCAATTTTTACGAACCAGTAAGAGTGACCAAAGTTGGTGCAACTCACCCTAATCACACTGCGGCTCTCGCATTCGCCTTGCAAAAAAATCGCAATGGTGTACTGTACGAGTTTCTCAAACCGATGATGTACCAAATGCGCGCGATGGCCGTTCTTCCCGTGGGTCCTGATGAAAACAATCACTTCACGGTTAGACTATTGTCGATGATCTACTGTGTAATATTCTACTTGCTAATATTGGCCTACGTCGGCTACATAAAATGGGACCGGGTTGAAATTAATAAATCTGCAGAGGGAAAATTTGAAGAAGCCGTTATTGATTATCTTTTCACTGTTTACCTTTTCCCGGTTGTCTTGGTGCCCATATCCTGGTACGAAAGTCGTAAGATAGCGAATGTGTTTAATGAGTGGTCTAAATTCGAAGCAATCTACAAGAAACTTAAGGATAAGGATTTGGATATCTTTATCGGAAATAAGCCGTTAATAGTTACACTTGCACTTCCAGTGATTGCGTGTGGCACCATGGTTATCAATCACATGACCATGGCTCAATTTCGAACGCTGCAGGTGAGTTAGTTTAAAGTAACGTGACACAAAATATGTTCTGAACTAGGTCATTCCATACTGCTACATCAACATAATAACTTGCGTTCTTGGTGGAATATGGTATTTGATGTGTGACGGTATTGCGAGAGTTGCCACTTTAATCGCTCAGGATTTGGAGGTATCGCTTCGGCACGTCGGTCCTTCGCAGTTAGTAGCCGAGTACAGGGCAATGTGGATGCTATTGAGTAAAATAGTGCGAGACGTGGGAATGGCCTTCACCTTTGAAATTATCTTCTTAGCCCTTTACCTATTTTTCATTATCACTCTCACGATTTACGGCCTATTTTCACAAATACAAAGTGGATTTGGGATCAAAGATGTCGGTCTCACCATAACTGCATCACTTGCGACCATGGTTTTGTACTACATTTGCGATGAAGCGCATTATGCCTCATACTGCGTGAGTTGCCGATCGATACCATAAAGTAGGTAATTACGAACTTAGCGGTTCCAGGTAAAGGTACTCTTCCAAAAAAAGCTGCTGTTGGTCGAATTATCGTGGATGAACGAAGACGCACAACAAGAGGTAAGCAAGTGCCCCTGTCGCAATTTTCTATGAGCGAACTTGTTTTCAGATTCAAATGTTCTTACGTGCAACAGAAATGAGCGAGACCAGCATGTCTCTTGGTGGATTCTTTGATGTTAATAGAACACTATTTAAATCGGCACGTTGTTTTTAATTCATTACTTCAAAATGTTAACATTAAACTTCTAGCTGTTGGCCACGATGGTTACCTACTTAGTGGTGCTACTACAATTCCAGATTAGCTTGCCCGAAGATCTCGATACCGGTCATATTCTATCAACGATGGCGAGTCTGCTGAGTACTGTGAAATGAACAAATTAAGCCATTAGTTTCGTATAGACAATGTACTAACCTTTTTGAAAGTCACTTGCTCTATAGTGATCCTCACACCGTTGAAGATTGAAACTCTGCGGACGATATTCTAATTTATTTACCTAATCGTGAATGACGTTACGGCTGTATCAATCTGGCTTAAAATCGAGCTTTATCTGCCTCAGATGGATTACCTACCTATACACTGAGTTGGTTAATAAATAAATCGTAACAACCTCCCACAAACCTTCTAGTTCTTACTATACTTACGTGAAAAATGCAATGTTGTTTAGCGGCAGTTCTTTGGCGTAGCTATTATATCAACATTAAGAACATCCACCGCGGATAATGGTCCTTATATTTACGTTATTAAGTATTCTAAAAAAGTGTATATAACTTTAAAGTTTGTAATCTATTTCTATTTATTACAATGATGAATATTTTTGCAATTAAGTGTCTTAAAAATAATATTTACGTATTAAAAAAGTAAAACGAAAAGAAAACCCTTTCTGTTTCCTGATAATTGTATACAACGACGCATAGCCATAACAGTTCTATAAGAAGAGATCATGCGTTCCGTCTTTTAGAGGGTGAATAAAATCTAGAACACGAAATCACTGTTCAGCCCTTCCATGGAACGGTAATTTATATATTCAAAGCTCTGACGCTTTGCTAATTAGCAGAGAGCCATGTTAATTAATTTCATTCCGTTTTATTTTGCCATAAATTTGCTTTTTCCCTCCCCAATAAACGTGGGTATACAATTTACACGCAAACCAATTAAGTCCGCTGATGAACGGTTTTTTTATCAATTCCATCCTGAAAGGACAGATATTTTATTGTTTTGTTCACGCTCACGCCGAATTTTGAATATTCGGGAAATGAACGTAATTTAAAAAGCAGAATGAGACAGACACGCAAATATACATAAAATTTCAATTGAAATTACACAGCCCCGTTCCCCAGATACAGATAGCACAAAAGATACATCAGTAGTTCAGTAGGGAAGTGTGCAATAACAACCCCCACACACACACATTCGGGAGAAAGATTTTTGAGGGTGGACTGACGTCACGTAACCTTGGCGCGGGTGAAAACGTGGCCTACCAAAAACAAGGACGTTGTATTTCGGCGTCGCTCGGCGTCGGACAAACACTTCTTATGGTGCGTGCGTCTTTCGAGTATACGAATTCACGTGTACGACACCAATATAGGGCTTCAGGTGCTAACGACCCTTGCATATGCGAAATCCCTTAATTAATTTAAGAAGAAAATGTGCGGGCTTCGTGATGAGTTTTAATAAGGGAAGATGTGGTTTAAAATTGGTTTACTGCTCATCTTGGTTACCGAAGAGGTACGCGGATATATAGGTAAATAAAAATTTATTGTGTTTTTGGCGCCACTTGTATCTTTCCTTACACAAAAATCCTTTTAGAGAGTAGGTAGTAAAAAAATTATCTGCAATGGGAATAGTATGCACGGACACAATGTATTGTTACGACCCCCGATAATTTTTCAATACCGATTCACCCTTATTTATTACACCATCTCTTCGGACTAACATTTCCATTAACATCCGATAAAGTTTAATTGAAATTTAAATTTGCAAATTTGCTTTAGTTGTGTGAAGTATGAGCAGAATCAATGGAGATTTGAGCAAAATTTGTTTTGACGTTTATAATAAAGATTTACAACCCTTTCGGAAGGTATGCGATTTACTACATCAGATTGATTCGAAATATACGTAAATCTTGTAGCACTTTGTAAAATTGTTCTCTGTCGTAATATCAATTTTATCCTTACGACATTTTTGGATAAAATAAGAAATACAATTGGGCGGTTATTAGGAATAGGCAATACAAAATCGTTCTGTGGTCCTTGTGGGTCATCCTCTTCAATAGGTACTCTTTCGATCGCACTTGCCACTTATTTTAATCACCTAAAACTGTTTTCGTTTATCGCTAAATGAAATATATCCGCCTTCTGAAAATTCAGCCAAGGTTACGAAGGAATATTCAACCCAGCATATCCCAAGGAAAAATCTGATAACTTTTCCCAGAACCCTCACTGCTCTCGTGGTGCTTTACTGGAAATGGCAATGGAACTGATGTACTACTGTGGAGTATTTTATACCCCCTCAGACTCCCTGGTGCTACATTATCCGCAGTACTTCTTAGGAAAAGAGGATATGATCATTTTTTCACAATAATCATCATGACACTCCTCAAGGTTGAACGTCTTCTGGAAGAAATTGTTTCTGGGATGTTAAAAACCACCTAGTAATTAAAAATTTTAAAACTTTTCCCTAGAACTTTCAGTACTCTCATGGTCCTTACTGGAAATGGCAATGTAACTAACGTGTGGTGGGGGATATTCTCATTCTCCGCAGTAATTCTTAGGGGAAGAGGATATGATCATTTTTTCCAAGGTCGAACGTTTTGTGGAAGAGTTACCGGGGGTCTGGGTAATATGAAATACCCCCCCCCCTTCCCAGCAAAGTAAAATTGGATTATTATTTTCTGAGAAATTGCGAAATTTCTTGAGGGGCGAATGAGCTAGAGCTAGAGGAGAACGGTAGAAGTACTAGTTCCTCTGTGGCTTTATTTCAATCTTAGGGACTTTCGCCATTTTGGAAAAAAGCTCAAAACTCACAGTAGATTCGGTATATTAATTATGTACTACACCTGAGATAATCGAGGGACATTACTTCTGACCAAAAGCAAAAACCGTACCTTTTTCTTGAACTTTCTTGTATTAGAATTAGCAACTTGGGCTTGACCTAGTTATCTAGCTATAGACTATAACTGTGTATATTGAGATCGTATATTAGGCGAGTAATTTGGAAATGCAACCTATAAATTGATATAGTGATTGCACTACTTTGTTTGTTTTAGAGTATGTGGAAACAAGCGGCTGCGAGTCATGTGTTCTGCGATTAACCTGCAGGCACTTGAATTCAATTATTAGCGTGCTGGAAGCCAATTTTGAAGTGATAGAAAGCTATATTAACGAAACGTTGCCAACCCCTTTTCCACCAATGCATCCACGCATTGCCTTAAATCAAAGGTAAGTGAATTATTAAATTAATTATAAACTGTACTCTCATATTTCGGATAAGTAGCAGACGCCATTTCTATTTATAAGTTATGATTATTAAACAGCATTTAAAGCAAATTGCTCCTTTGAACAGAGCCGCCACAGTAGACCTAAGCTATACGTACAAAGAGTCAAAATTTAGTTAGGTATTTGCTATTGTTTCTCTTTAATTGAGTGATAACAATTTCACCTTTGATTGTTATTTGTTATCAATTTTTTCTTGATGTCTATATGGGTTCACTGTAGCAGTGTCCTATGCAGTTTAGGGATGCTCAGCCAAGGTAAAGAATGGGTTATGGGTGTGAAAAAAATGAAGAAACGAGTCATCAGAACGCCACTAGTGTTTTTAGGGTGCAACGTCTTTGATTTGAAATTAATCCGTGGAATAGCACAAATAATTAAAAAAAAATTAATAAGAAATAACTATATGCCCTAAAGGTATTTATTTGTATTCAAATTGATCTAGAAAGTTCCATAATATTCGTGAATAGACATAAATACTTATTTAATACGATTATAAATAGAGAAGATAGATAGATAGAGAAGCAGACGTAAAAAGTATTATAGACATAGGTAGCGAAGAACGAAACTAATTGATGGACGAGAGAACGTGAGGAAATAAAAATTTCACCAAATGAAGACGAATTACAACATAAATAAATAGTATAGTCCTAAGGGATCTAAAGTGATCAATAAGTGAACTATAAGTTAAACCTGCTCATATACTGCGGCTTACAAAATTGACCAATTCCGCCTTTATAAATGAATAATTTGTGAACGTCACCGTCACATTCAATGAAATGGAATTAAAGTTTTATGTGGAAAGGTACTCGAAAGTTTTCATTTTTGTACGCATTGCCACGACTGCGTGAATGTGCAAAAACAGTACAAAAGGAAGTGAATAAATATTCTTTTACGGGAGTTTCGTGCAATTAAGCAGTTAATTTGGCTTCCACCAGAGGGTAATTATGGAAGCAACTAAATGATTTATCGCTGGGATTAACGATGTAGTTGTAGTAGCAAACAGTCAGGTCAAAGTGTAACGAAACTTACGAACCCGGCAATTTGAGGTTTCTGTAGATGTTTCCCTCCAACGCTGCGGCTTTATTTGCATGGCGAGCTTTTAGAGTCCGCGTAGGGGCGCTTTCGTTGTTGGTATCTACTTCGATATTTTATTAAAATCTCAGAAGTGCACAACATCTAAGGGTTGGTATTTCGGTAGTAGATTTTGTATAATCATGAAACAAACCAATCAAATGGTTAAATTACAATCTTCTAAAGTAATAATAATAGCTCAATTAAAGATTTGCATACGAATGAATACCTTCACCCTTTAGGACCTTAGGTGCACTCTACTGATAACAGCCTAATGCTTCATTGTTTAAAGACCTGCCAGGTGAATTCGTGGCATGTTATTGACATTGATTGACACGCATATTCTTAATGAAAGAATTGACAAAGGCAAACACTTTTGCTAGAGAATATTTGCCGAAATAGAGTAGGTCATGGTGCAAATTACAATATTAAGGGGAACTCGTAAGAGGGTGAAAGTTTTATATAAGGGTCGTATGTTAATGAGAATTTATATATTGATTGTGTATATAGAGCACTTTTCAGAGATCTACGCGAATGCTGCCCTTATTTCAAAGCCCGCGTTTCCGTTTTCCGACATCTGGCTAATTATATCAACAACCGTTTGGTTTTTGATCAAATTTTTCGCTTGGTTCTCCATCTGCCATATATATCTACTATCATATTTTTGATCTAAATTTAATCGCTTTTGAATTAATTTGTTACGCTTTTTTAATATTAGGGGTTGTTAAACAATTGTGTAGTCTTATTATACGGGAAAGTACATTCGCTTTTACACAACAGTTGCGGAAATTGAATTAAAAAAATCAAAAACCATAAGAATACTTGAGCAATTTGTTAGAAATGGAATTTGTCATGATATCTAAATTTAAAATTGATATTTAAAAGATTGATAGTTTCGTTTAATATTGAACTATTATCGTGGTGTTATTTAATTTCCTTTTTTCCAATATAGTCACGTTTTGGAAAAGGAAATAAAATTATAATAGTTAGATAAACCCGCAAGACTGTGATACTTTATCGCCTTGCCTGTTTTTATGTAATGCAAAATTTATACGGAATCATAAAACAATCTAAGTTTGCATGAACTACCCTGTGTTACATATGCCCACGTGACTGCAAACTTCAATGCCTATCATAAATTATCTTTGGAGAGTTTTCTCTCGAAACGCCGCGTCCATGACCATCCTTCTGTACCCATCCTAAAATCAATGCGGATTGTTGGTATTATTATGAGTTTCTCTTTACAAAAACGCAAACAAAGTGAGAGATTTCCTAATCCAAATTGATTTTTTTAGGTGTTCCGGTGTAAATCACTGCAGCTTTATACTCACAAAAGACTGTCCAGGTGCTGATAAATGGGGCCTCGGAAATTTAACAGTAAATTATGCCTGTATATCAGGTAAGCGCTAATACAAATTTTATAGCCACCGCATGCGTCGGGGATTTCTACAATCCCTTAGTTTAGGGAATCCACACGAGCCGAACAGCTTTTTGTTGCCCTCGCGTAAGCCCTGAAACCAAAACTAATCTTAATATATTATTGGTAAAAGCGGACGCATGTTACGCTTACGAGGGTCGTATCAAAAATAAATAACCCCCCCATATGATCCAGTAAAGGGAATTGGGTGAAAATCTCTCTGTTACAGAAGACCGTCTCACGAAGTACTGCAATAAGGAGATTTTATTGGCCTCTCCGGAGACGTTCGGCATCTCGCGCGGATTTATTCATAATCCAGGTTATCCGAGATTCTATCTGGGGAAACAGAAATGCCGATGGACGATACATGCGCCGCCTTTACAACGCGTCAAAGTCACAATTTACGACATATCACTGGTAGGTGAGTATCGAAACGCCTTCCACATCTTAATCCTCACAATATTCCTATTTCAGCCGATCCGAATTTGAGCAAGTGTTCAGATATTGTCGAAGTTAGTGATAGGGGTCAGATTTTATATTCAACTTGCGAACAACACGAGCCGCCTCTCGAAATAACGTCATTAGACGATACGTTAGATGTAACCCTTATACCTTCGCCTAAAGAGAATCTCTTGCCGAGGCGCGGAATTATGTTTTATTATACCGCCGTTGGATGTTCCACTCCAATCGCGCCCAAAGATGGATATTTAGTTTATAGGAATGATACAGTTGCAGAGTACAGTTGCTGCGTTGGTTACGCTTTTCCTGATACCAGAATACGGAGTCGAATTATAAAATGTTTGGGGTATAGGTGGAACACGACGGTGCCTCTGCCTGATTGCAAATGTAAGTGTTCCGGTTTCTTCCAGTTAACCTTTCATAGGAAAACTTTGAATCGAATTAGAGGAAATACGTGCAAGTGAAGGAAAATTATTAACATCCCCCCTCCCCTCTCGGGACCTGCTTTTGCGCGTTTTGTAAACCTCCTGAAACTGAGGACTATGGGATTGTATTTTAGACGCTCACTCCGCGTAAAAATCGAAAATCGCTAATAATTCTTACTCAGTTTGAGATCGAGGAGCGATGAAATGTTCGCTTTGTAGAATCGCACCTGGGATTGTTCGACGGGCTAGCCCTCTTAGTTTTCCCTTCTCTGATCGAGTCGCCTTTGGAAGTTCAAGTGAAGTACGATTTCCCATGCAAACAAAAATTCCAAAGGTGACTCGACAATACAAATCATTTTTGATTGCGCAGATATCGAACTGTGTGGCACATGAGGTCGAATTATGTTTTTGAGGAGTATTTGGTACCAGTCCATAGTTTTAGTACTATGATTAAATAAGTAATTAGTTACTCAATGGTACTATTCTTCCTAATACCTATAGTATATTAAAGTACTATTATATCTCCACACCACATTAAATTCCATTGTTCCAAACAATATACATATTCATCACCAAGAAATTCAATTTGAAAGTAACTTCTGTTATGTAAGTTGCCTGATTACAGGCACTGTGACAATTAACATGTTGTCAACAAAACGATAAAAAGTAAGGGAAACGTTATGAAAATGTTACACAAGATCGCCGCCACTGGGACGCAACAGATTACAGCGTCAATGAACCTATTTACGGGATGCTGCATTCGTAAAGTTCAACATCGGCAACTCTAAAACATTACCGTTCGTTAGTCACCCGCAGTAGCTTATTTGCATTAAATGTTACGTCATTTTAATAGACGACTTTGTTCTAAACATTCCTCCCACGTTTCCGCTTTTAATAATCATCATGGCGTCCATGTGTTGATTAAAAGTACAAAACAAAGCGCATCTGTGTCTATATCTGAAGAAGTAAATAATAGAGTGACCAGGTTGGTGGTTTTGTTGGTGTATTAAAAACTACGTATATATAAATTCGCTACTAACGCCAGAATCGCGCACATTTACGATGGAGCTGCTCACAGAAGCAAGTGTTGTGCTTGAAAACTTTGGAGGTATTTTGCATTTTTTATTGTTAAATTAAACTTCTTCTCTACACCCTTTTTTTTGAAATCAGCATGATACGCATGGGAAATTCTCGCGGGTAATGACTTTTTTTTTAGTGTGCGCGCCTTTTGTAAGTATTGAAATGCACGTGTTGCTTTGCCTTTTTTTCAAAATTTGGCTTTATTTGTAAACGTTAACATTCTTGTTGTTGATATGATAACGTTAACATAATTATGTGGGATGACCGTAAAATTGGTCAATCGACTAATATTACCTTTTATTATGGAAAAGCTAACGCAAATTGTCTTGTATGTATGCACAATGTTTTATCGCAACGTCTAGACGTTACAATTGGGAAGGGGGTGGCGACGTCCCCAAACGTTCAATAAGTTTTTATCAAGAAGGTAATATTAACATTTTATTCAACGGTATTGTCGCCATTCAGACTCATTAGTGCATAGAGTCATTTGTGGAATTTGCGACAATTGTAATAATGATATTTCCAATCTTCATCATAAAGAGGTGCTCGAGATGCGTCAGCGTTGGAATATCGCCAATGGTCCATTATATTTACCAATTTCGTTGTTTACACTGGCTCTCACAATCCGCCCTCGCGCCCTGAGAGTTTCTGGTCTGCTGTTGACCGGAAAGCTTCAATAAAAAGTTCCTTTCAGCTACCGATTTAAATGGAAAAGCCAATTCAGATATTTTGCTCGGTAGCTTAGTCAATTACTGGAGACTGAAGCCCACCTTAGGACGATAGGTCGTAGGTTATATTTGTACTTTATCTTGTGATATATATCTGTAGGCGCCGACAGAATAATGTGTCGTGGCGACTGTATGCCGATCATTTTAGCTGGCAGAAGAGACCTTTTAATCAATATACTTTTATTCGCCTATTTTAATTTGCATATTTATTTATTGATCGGCTCCATGTGAGATGTATGTGCGTTGAAACAAAATTTAGATTTCATAATTTCGCAAACGTTGGGAATTCTGTAGCTACACGAAGAATATTTTCCAAAAAATTATTATTCTATGAAAATATTTTTCGTGTAGAGTATTTTTGAGTAAATATTTACATAGGGCTCGGTGAAAAGATCGCTTTTAGCTCTACTTTTAGGGTGAACCAAGAGAAGACAAAATGATGAAACCAGTAATGCGTCAATGCTACAACTTTGTAACGACGAACGCCTTAGCCTAACTTAATTAACTGCATGTCCTATACACATATACAGTCATTTGCACCAAAGGTGTCATCACATATAAACACACATGGGCGAGAAAGAGGGCGAGAAAGAGAGAGTAATTGAAAGAAAACAATGATTCACAAATAAATCATGTTTGGTGCAAACATGTGAGTGACACAGTAGAAACAACACAAACGATGATTCAAAATATTATAATGGTAATAAACATCTGACCTTATAATCAAAGGAGGCGAGCATTCTAATATTTTTCATTGATTAAGCTTAGTCAACCTGCATGTCAGTAGGAACAGCTATCGTGGATGTTATTTATAACATCATTTTCGAGTTTGTCCTATCGAAATCACTATATGTGATAGGTAATAAGAGAAATTTGCAAAAAAAATAAATATCGGATTCCAAAACAAGATTTTTCTTCTTTGCTGATAAAAAACGAAAGACGGGTCATTAGTCAGTCATTCTCCATGGAAGTCGTGAACCTGACGTTTTAAAGCGATTACGCTGAGATGTGATCATCATGACCCAAGCGATTGGAATATCTATGACAACTTATTTAACAAAAGCAAAGATGCATACAATCCACCAAAGAAGCAAAAGTACCTCAAAAAAAGACAGCAGGCCCATCCAACCACTCTTGAATTTAACATAAAAAATAGGCAATGTACGACATAGGTTCCCACAACAAATTTAAAGACAATAGGATTGGTTCAGCTAAAGTGGGACTGTTAGAAGCATTGTGTTATTTTTAATAATTTAACAATCTTAGGGGTTATTTGTGGGGGTGCCATTTTTTGATATATTAATCAGCAGAATTTATACTTTTAACTCAGTTATTTTTTTCATGGATAGAAGTTTCTATGGGGAAACTGGATAGATTAACTGAACTATTTATTTGTTTTTTAATGGAAATCCCTTTTATTATTTTCGTCTGGGGGGGGGGGGCAATTTGTAATTAATTAAAATTTCGACGACGTGATATGGTAATGTTTGCGGTCTCGCTTTTTGTGTAATATCGAGCAGTTTCTGAGCTCTGTCTAGACGTTAACAATAAACACGCAACACCTCTATCGAACGCTGTTACATTCAAATCCCACCCACTCTCATACTCTAGCTCTACAATTTGATTTAGTTTCGTAACAAAACTCCGCGTTGAGCGCAAACGAGAGCTTTTTATGCGATCCTGGTACAAAAATACCTGCTGACTAATGTTATTTTTAGATTAGCTCAACCCTGAACGTGGCGAAAGAAAAGGAAGTGCCGTAAGCAAAACGCAACGCACTTCCCTTTCCACTCTCACAATCCTGTCCCAACCCTTCCGTTTGTCATTTACATTCTGAAACTTTTGAGGTTAAAATTCCAGTGTGCACGTGGTTCCCCTCCCATTTTTTGGCCATGCCATTTGCCATAATCTTACAATAATCTTATCGTGATCGTTTCTATACCTACTAACTCCATATAATTAATTTTAATTGGTACATTAGCAATTAATTGCTCATTCAGTGCGCACATCGCGGGCGTAGTTTCAAGGGTGAGCTAAACTAGAATTATGTTTAATCAATAGAGAATTTTGGCGGTTTTTTTAATTTGAACCCTGTTCCAGGTAATGCTACACTATCCATTAACGAGACAATTACTACCTCGCCTAACAATACAAATAAAGTAGGAATCATGACTGTATCAAATGATATCGAAGGTAAGGTAAAATAATATCGAAAGTTTTAAACTAATTTCTTTTTTTTTAGAAATTGTGATACCCTCAATTGTGATCGTGGCTTTATTCCTTATTAACGCCGTCGTCTTGTTCGTCATTTATAGGTATAAAAAGAGGTGAGTTGTCTTATTGTTCTACTTTTTACTTTGATTTTTAATCTGCCACTGCGACCTAGTGTTAGGAACGTGACCAGCTGTTTGATGTCAATGAGACAAAAATCAATGCCCATTGGTGCCAACTGCACCATACTCAATTTACCATCCCATCTAGCACAATTTGATTTAAATGTGTATCAGATAGCTGGAAAGTTTCCACTGCTAGTGCAGGATAATATTTGGTTAGTCCCCAAATTTCTAATCGTCATAACTATCTAATCAAAACACTAGAGATAGTGCTATACAATAAAGCTTATCTCAAGTAGGTAATTGCTTATTTAGATATTGAAGATCATTGCTGTATCAACATAAAATACTGACCTTGGGACACTTATGGTGCATGGTCTCATTTATAATAATTTGGTCCTTACATCCACTGCTTGTTGCTAAAGTAGACTTGGGTGGCCTTGGGCCAGATTTTGTTCATAAAGTACTCCGTTTATAGGTACATCTTGATATGTATGCACTTGCTCCAAAACAAACATAGAAAGGGAGAATCTTTGTCCACACCAAATTTTCTTATGAAAATATACAAGACCAGATAATTATAATACTGGTCAATTTGTATCTAAATATAGGATAAACAAATATAATTTCTTACATAAAAATACTGCCATCACCTTTGAGATACTGCGATTTCAACAAATAGTTTCTAACACAGATTGGGTTCGTCCCTCGAAGCTCCTTGTGTTGGGTCACGCCTACGCACTTTGACCCTTGGATCTCTTGTGCGTGCCTCAGTATGATAAAAACAATTTGAGGATCCGCAGCCACAACCTCACCCAGGCCTTGTGATTCGCACCAGCAGTTCCGCTATCTCTTCCTCCTCGAAGCAGAGATGATATCTCAAAGGATGTTGTCCAGTGACAAGGTCTATGTATGATCTTAGTCCACTTCTGCCGAATGCTAGCAACAAGCTGGTTTTAGTCTCCTGGAAACTGATCAAAGAAATCATATGAAGCAACTTATGTCAAAACAAAATTAGAAAAAAGGCAAATGTTGTAGAACAATAAAATATACAGGGTGTTGCATTTAAAAATAAAAGCCCCGGCTGAGCAGTCGCAACATTTTACAGAAAGAATTCTAATAAGAAATGTTAATTTGATAACTCAAAAAAGGTTGTTATTTTTGGCGACTTTTTAGTAGTACATACGGAACATTAAATTTCTAAACATCGAGAGCGCGCAGATTACAAGATCTTTATTATAAACGTTTTAACACAAACGCTCCAGATGCAATTTGTGAATAATTTGAAGTTTGCAAACAGTGCTACAATGGCATCATTTTTTTTACCACACAATATTATGTATTTTATGTTACTTTTATTTAGCATTTGTACATTTGCTCATTAGCTGATTTTTAATGTAGGATCTCACGCTGATACGTCTAGTTTTTTATTTTAAAAAAATGATAATAGGGTGCCGTCCAAGTTTTTCGAAAATAAGCCGAATTTTTATTGAAGAGTCCAATGATTTATGTATAATTTGCAATAAATATTTACGAATTTTGGTTGAAAGCAACAATAATGTATTTGGTATTTATTTTATTGCTAACCAGCGTGTTAACTTTCTGATGGTGTTTGATTAAGCATGTAATTCAAATTAACGATATTTTACGAAAACTCTCTTATCATCAAGAATGGTTTGGAGTTTGATGCCCTCGGCTCTTTGCACACAGACGTCTTTGCTGGCCAGAAATTTTACCACCGCTGAGGATGTGTGATCAAAAATTGAGTCAAAATATTGATTTCACAGATTGTAATCCAAGAATGCAAGAATTATAAAACGTTTTTAAAGAATGTTAAAGCTTTTATTTTTTAGTTTCAGAGCTAAATTTCTGACAACTGTTTGTCACCGTAAGATTCAGTTCATCACAACCTTTATTAGTCAATCCTCCTAATAACCCATTATTGCAGGGTTCAAGATATGCACAAATTTATTTAGGCATCTACCTTGTGTGCCAATTTCCTGTTACCACGGAGGCCGTGCTCTAATACGGTATCTACTAAACTATTAACTGGCAGCTTGTTAAATAATGAACAATTACCTAAGTAAAATTAAATGAGCAATATATTGATAGTAGAATAAGATTTTTCAAAGTGCTCTGTTTGCTAAAATGCCAAAACGTGGAAAAGTTACCTGTAATAAGAGCTGTGCAATATGGAGAAACAAATGTGCATTAGTGATGCAATGTGTGCAGTATTGCACATCTATGCACATCTACGGTACCTATCACTTTGAAGTGATCACCTCCTCGACTTGTATTATACTTAATAGAAGAGCATAATCAAATTTGCCCTTATTGTGAAAGCGTTCACAAATTCAAAATACAAATTGTTTGAAACCTTAGCTACACGCGATTCACCCCAAACACAGTAATCACTAATCACATTTGTAAAAAAGTTACAGCTGTTTATTAATTATAACATTTGACATCATTTTAAATTCAACTTTAACACGTTTAAAATTCCAAAATGGCTATTCCTGTCAGATAGTCTCTTTCTTAAAAATCTACAATTTTCATTGAAGTTGAGACTGCCGCTTATTTTTTATTTCTCTAGGGACGAATCGGTTTCCAGACAAAATGGTCAGGGGCGAGACAACGGGTACGGAACAGTGGGGACATAATGGCGGGAACTAAAGGCCACTAACCATGGCTAATGAATGGTAGTACATTGGCAGATAAACCTCTTTTTCCATCTTCATTTTCATTACTCGAACAGTATGAAAATATTTACACAAAGTGTTAGGGTTTGCAGTTGTATGTCCCTTATAAGTTTCTGAACGGATAGTTATTAAACATCTATAGGAGCTAAAAAAACATTGGTCACGTGGTCCAGATCATGGTCGGTTGGTCGCCATATTTAAAAATGGCCGCCGTTAGATTTTTTTGTTTAAGTATATATTCTCACACAAATGGGTTTTTTTCTCTCACATAATTTCTTAAGATCATTAATTTATTTATTTATTGTCCCTCTCTTGTTGTGCGCCCTCAACAGGCTTTCGCCCAATTACAGAGCGATCCGCATAATGCTGTTTAGAGGTGCATAAGGTCTGAAGTTGTTCTATACTACTTCGATAAAGGTTTTTCCTAATTCGCCCGAAACTGATCTAAGAAAATTCCCATCTTTGCCACAGATGTCAAATTCACCTCAATCCAGATTCGAACACCTGACCCCCGGCTATGTAGCCCAACGTATCTACACTGAACCACACAGACGGATCTGTCTAACGTCCGAAAAAAATTCCGCCCTTAATAAATCAGGGCCAGAAACAAATACTTAATACTTCAGCTAAAGGGTGATATGTACAAAATCTTCAAAATGGTAAGTCACTCAAGTTTACGGTACCACTATACTCTGTATTCAGTTGTTTTTCTTTTTGTTGGCATTAACCCTACACCTTAGGGCTTTTGAGTTTTCATTGTCCTATTAATTTCAATTGCTTTATTGCTAAAATGTGTTCAGATATCTCAAAAATTAAGAAATTTAGATGTTGAGCACATAATTTCAAATTTGTTATAAAAACAACACTTAAAATAGTGAGTCAGTAATGTAGTGTGAGATCATGGTCTGCTCACTGTGCAGTCAATTATTGTTGCGTGTATTTCTTATGAACATGTTTTGATCGTAAGCTAACCGATATGTGAATCGGCATTAACTCCACCTTCAGTTTTAAAATACCTTATCCCCTCCGAAAATGCACACCAAATCTAACTATAAACAAAGAGTACCCATAATAAGAGATACAGCGCAATGGTATAAACGTGTGTTGGCTATAAGAACTCGCCCGCTAGGATTCCAAAAGCGGGCCCTCGCGTAGAGGTGACCAGAACTAACCGCCTCTTTAAATATTGGCGCGTATTGAATTAATTTTGTATAGATGCCTACATACGCTGAGTTGTTTAATCATTAACAATCAATCATTACAATGCAATAATCCTTATGTCCTGAGAAAAAAAACATCAGTCTAATCCAATAATCAGTTAAAATATATAGTGCAGTTAAATAATAAATTAATAAATCTGCACTCGTTGAATAAATTTAATTAAATATTTACACGTTATTCTCATTTAAACAATTCAATTAAAAAAATACTCTCGACCCGCATTTTAAGCTGCAGCACTAGCGCGCATCGGTCTCCTAGCAACTAAGCGTCGTACCATTGAGTTAGAAAACTCAATGCGTCGTACATATGTCTTTCAGTCACCATTGGCTAGTAGCGGAAAAAACACATAAGTATATGTATGTAAATTTGCCGCTCAACTTGAGCCACCGCGCATTCTGGTAGTGATTTATGCATATAAACGATTGATAATGCAGTGTATGTTCTCATTTTTGAAAACAACATTGGCTTCCACTCCAAATATAGAGTTTCTGGAGTACGGCTTATTGTTACACGAAGAACATATCCTCGCACCTATGAATCTAACCAACAAGCGTTCGGACCTTAATAAATTGTGCCATAAGCGTAGAATGGAATAACATATCTCTAAACATCATACATTTCAAGGAATAATAGATACCTAAATAAGTACAAGCAAACACTAAACATTTGGCAACATTGGGATTTCTGCAATGATATTTATAAACTTCTAAACAAGTTTGAAGCCTTGAAATAGCCCCTTAGGCGTAGCGTACGCCAATAAAATTGAGAAAAAGCAGTAAAATTTGTTAGGCAACACACAATACATATGCAACACTATTCTCTATGCCGTTGGATCTCTTATTATGGTTACTCTTTGCTATAAATACAAAGATAACAATAACAGTATGAAAAACAAAACAGAAAATAAGATTACAAAAATAAGACTTTCATTTCATTTCATGTGATTTTTCAAAAAATGGGCAAACATAAAGGTATAATGTTTGTATTTTACCTTTTCAGGAAACTACCGGAATTCACCGAAGAGGAACTAGGAACATTATCGACGAATCAAACGAAGACTCTTCAAATATAATTTATTCTACAATAACAATGTAATTAGTATGATCCAAGTAAATTTTATACCTTACTAATTAAAAATATTTTTGCAATGGTTCCCCTAAAACCCTCTCAAGTTCTTGTAGCATCTTTTGACAGGACTTCTCGACGACTTCATCTTCGTCTTCCAACAGCTCGGCGAGGAAAGGTATCGTCTCGGGTAAAAGTGGCAGGAAATCTTCGCCCAATTTCTTCGCAGTTTCGCCCACGGCGTTTAGGGCTATTAAGCGGATTTTGGACGTGTTGTGCCTGGTCTTGAGTAAAATTTGGTAATTCATTTGTTTCCACAGGGAGTCATCGGCTGTCGCTACTGCGAACTGCGCTATGCACGGAATTAAAATTTTGTTCGCTCTACTTTCTAAATTATCCAACCCGTCCAACGCGTTTTCTAATTGGTCGACGATTGGTTGCATTAACACCTCAAACCGTTCCTTATTCACAAACTTTTGGCTGTCGTACATGAAAATTGTGTGAAGAGTTTTTAAAATATTCTCGACAAGCATTACGCTTTTAGTCTCCTCGTCAAAGTAGAGACTTTCACTTTTTACTTGGTTGCATTCATCTAAAAGTTTCGCAGCATTGTTTAGGAAGTGGCCGGCGAACAAGGAGAACAATCCCTTCAGAGAGTTCGCAAACACATGCGATAAATTGTAGAAGGTGATCACACGTGCGGTTTTAACATCCGTTCGCACTGCCCAATCGAATATTTTATAATACAATGGTCTGAATGTTGTTTCAGATAATTTTAAAACCAAGCTGCTGATTGCTTTAATAATATTCTCTTCAATTTGCTCTACATCTTCGCACTTGCCGTCTGTGCGCAGTTGAAGAGCTTGCAAAAAGAAGTTTGTCAAATCTCCCAAATGACCTTGAACGTCATTGCCTTTCAAAGCATTCAGGCTCTCGCATAAAATTTTCATTAAGGGTTCGATTCCAGAAAATTTCCCTTTGTTTACCAACTCTGCATATGACTCTTGAACGGCAGGCAGCAACACACGAAATGGTACCAACTGCCCCAGCTTCCCCTGTACACTCTGCACCTTCGCGTTAAACACAGTTATCTTTGCATCATCTGATCGTAGCATACCCCACTTCGCCGCAAGTATTGAAACCCCACACAACAGCTTTTTGAGGAACGGGCTCAGAAAAAGCGACAGACTATCCAGAATTTTGTTAATAGCGGCCACATTGCTGGTGACCAACAAACTTGGAGCAGCTTCCTTGTTCGGCTTTAACAGTTTGAGCATCACCGGCATGCACTTGGTCAAGCTGGTTATCGCATGGGCGCGCAGTTGATTGCACAACTCGGCAACGCATAGTATAAGTGAGGCGAGAACATTGTCACTGATTGCGCCACGCCCGTTTTGCACCAACTCGGCTGTGAAGTTCAAAATTGGTCGAAATTTCTCGGGATTATCGGCCCCAAGATGTTTAACAATTAATTTTAACGAGAGCAGCGCTTTTTGAATGACTTGCTCTTGATCGGCATCCAGATTCGGGTCTTCGATCGTTCGTATTATGTTGATGAGGGGGGTTACAATTACATTGAAAAGTTCTTCCTTATCGCATTCGTTGATGAAATCCGTTTTATCTTGCAGTTTGTTGTTCAGCAAATCTAAGGCGCGTTTACGTATAGTGCTGAGACTGTAAACCATCAAACCGTGTATTACAAGCAGGAACATTTTTTCTGTCAGCAGGGAATTGAGCGCATCTAAAGTGTCGCAACTGTAGTGGAGCATGACTCGCCAGTACTGCGATTGGGGGGTGTTTATATTGCTGTCAACTAATTTGGCGGTCGTCTGAATGTGTTTAAGCATTACAATGATTGCTTCCTTAAAAGAAGTTTCTAACTGTTGCATATCGGTTTCTGAGAGTGCGGCTACTTGTGTTACAAACTGTTTCGAGCTGAGCAAGTTTGATATGAAGAATATTATTATATATTTGTAATGGCGGAACTGTTTAGGGGTGTATCGCTGGATATCAAAAGTATAGTTGTCAATGTTTTGAGTGTCATTCTTTTTCTCCTCCGGAAGCTTGCTCAAGTACTGTAACACTTTAATGCAAGTGTTTATGACTATTTCAGGTGAAAATTCCCTGCACAATTCTGCAGCGATGTCCAAACGTTTGGGCGATTCGTTAGTTGTTAGCGACTTGTGCGCCTTTTGTTTTTCAGCTTGACCGTGCACCACTTGCGCTTCCAGTACGATCAGTACAAATAAATGCAAGTTTTCTTTTGTATCAATTCGCGTTAACAACTGCTTGAAAAGACGCATGCGGCGATGTTCTGGTATGTCTAACACGGCATCGACGAATACACGCAATACCTGCGCGACACTTTCCGTTTTGCCATCTTCTATTAATATGGGCGTAACTGTGTCTATAATTTTCGTAATTATTTGGAAGCTGTACTCATCGTCGTGGCGTAGGACGGAGGATCCCATAAACGTAAATATGGCGATAATGTGGTGGAGCACTTGTTTCGGAATTAAAGATGCGATTTCCGCCAATAACAATAAGGCGTGATGGTGAGTTTGTGGATTTTGAGATGCTCTAGAAGTACAAGAACAATTTTTAGTCTTATAATACTGCTAAAATTGGTTGCTTTGTTAGTTCTAAATAAAGCGATCGACCTACAACAGGAAGCCTGCTACATTGCTTGCATGGACTAACTTCTTGAACAGTAAGACACAGATAAAATACTACAGGTAAGTAGATAAATTCATTTGCGGATTTTATTTATCGGCAGGATGGTACTTCACTTTACTGCCATCTCAATGTTCATAATTTCCTGAACTTCGAGGCAAATTGATGGATCACTGAGCCAACATTAAATATTATTATACACTGTGTCCAAGATAAGGATGTCTTATCATGGGGATCTCGGAAACCATAGAAGATATAACGATGGTCAATTAGGGAAACTATGTGCAATGAAATACTTATTATCCTGCTTTAAAGAAAAGGAGAAATTTCCTATTACTTCCGAAGGTATGATTTGTACTTGGTCACAAAATCACACCTGTCATATTTTATCCTTCGCGGGGTCTGTCTTAAATGTTAGATATTAAGATGTGCTTTAAGACGGGATTTACGTTTGGTGATGAAAGCGCACTTTGGTCCTTGATGACCTTGTGTGTTAATAAATGTGTTTTGCTGCATAACCACACTGGACACATTTTAAATCCTTGCTCGTGTGCCAAAATGCTATTGCGCATGTGCAGTGTTCTACATACGGTGAAAAATATATCTCCGTCTTTGTTAGGTATGTTGGTACAGATTTTCCTTATTGAAAGTAGATGGAATATATGATCTACTCACAGTGTTGTCATAATTCTTTTACCTGCTTCTCCGAGGATAAAGTAAACTTACTCGAGCCCAATTTTATGACCTTTTGAAAAACTTTGCTTTATGCTGGTCCCATCATTTTTAATTGCGTAATTGCCCCGAATTGGTTAAGAATTTAAAGAAACTTAAAAAATGGTTATACATAACTTTAACAATGTATTATAAACATTTGATCTGATAAACTATACTCTATACAACCCTTAGTTCGACAAATGGAATAGTTATACCAAAGAGTACCCATAGTAAGAGATACAGCGCAATGGTATAAACGCGTGTTGGCTATAAGAGCTCGCCCGCTAGGATTCCAAAAGCGGGCCCTCGCGTAGAGGTGGCCAGAACTAACCGCCCCTTTAAATTTTCCCCGCGAAATTAGAATTTGCAGAATTCTTTATAGAATAGCGGTTTAAAATATTTGCGCGGTTGTCACATTTAATTTTCTTTCTTATTGGCTGTACAAAATGTAGACATGATATAATTAGAAAACCATTATGCTTAATATAAAAGAAATAAGCAACGGAGATTTAGTACATTGTTAATTAGATTAATATCTTCCTGTTTAGTTGGCATTTATAGAATAGAAAGTAATTACCATTCAATTGAATAACTAGTACAATGACAAAAATGTCATTAAATTTTTATTTTGTTATTCACCTAGACTTTCCACCCTTTGTACGTACAGTTAGTTCCCTTCAAATGCTAAACAGTACCACATCCCAGGGTTTGTTAAAGTTATATTGTGTTTTGATAACGTATCTTTAAAAGTTTAAACTTAATCGATGGTTCATTCGTGTGTATATATTAATTGCGATGCAAATCGCCGAAACGGTGACAATTTTTCAATTTCCCCTAGAAAAAGAACGATGTGATAAATGGTTAAACAATTTAAAGGGGAAGTAAAAAGTAAACAGTTTTGTTTGTTGAATGTTATTCATGGAACCTATCTATGTGACTAATGGACTGTAAACATTTGTATTAATTCGCTCTTTTTGTTTTATTCTGAGGACCTATAGGTAATCACCCTCGTAATCACCTAACCACCAACTCAATATTTCCTACTCCTTACAATCCTATGTACATTATTATTATTTCCACATTGCGCGCAACGTTAAGCGTAAATATTTTGGATTTCGGAATTAGGCTACACAAGGTGTAGAAACGGTTTAAATGCCATAGTGCAATTCAAATTTCTTTATATAGAAATATTTTCTCCCCGAATTAATTTAGAGCAAAGTTGTAAATAGGTTTCTTGTAGCTCGGAAAAATCTGCGTCTGCTCATGTACTCATTTATGATTTTTCAATTCTGGAAACGGGAAAAATTAAATAAATTAGAATTTAGCATTTACGTAAAAATCTAATTTTTGTTTCAATAATTTCACGGCACGGGTGATTTTCACTAAAATGCTTACTTCTTTCGTTTCTTCGATTTATCATAACAAAAAAATACAAATAAGCAAATTAATAGACGTAAATTTCACAATCTACAAAACATTTATTTACAACTTTGCTGTGAGATAATTAGGGGAGAAAATATTTCAGTATAACGAAATTACCATTGAAATACGTATGGTGAGTGCGTAAACCAGCCTGCATACAGGTACGGTAAGTACGAAATTCCTGCTAGGTAATTATAATTCTTTTTAAATTTCATCATCAAAAAGATCGCATTAAATTCATTTAAATCACTATTGTGATTGGAGTGGCAATAGAAAATATATTCCAGTAAATTGCTTTCAAGGAAAATATACAAATAATTGGCAACGCTGGAACTTCTGCCAATTACATTTATAAATTTACAAACAAGTAGTCGCCTTAAAAATCTGGTTTAGCCCCTCAGGCGTAGCGGGCGGTACAATAAATCCGCGAAAAATCAGTAAAATTAGTTAGGCAACACACATTACACATACAATACTTTTCCCTATACCGTTGGATCTCTTACTATGGGTACTCTTTGGTTATACCACCATGGTCCAAGAAAGCTACTAATGAAGAGTAATGTACGTTCGTCCCTCAATTCACAATTTTGAATCTGATCCAGCTGTTCCGCGTGTGCCAGAGGTTCCTGTAATATCGAATTCAAAAGCACCAGAAGTTCAAAGAGTGACTGACTCGATAAATTTTGTTATCGAGATCTCGATCGATTTATATAAAGCTTAAAAGGCGACCGATAGTTAGTGAAACTATAAGCTTTCTGAGAATCAAAAATGTGCTAAGAAGGTACTTGTATATTTATTTTATAAATATGAAGTGATCCCTTTTTACACCACCTATGGTTATCACCTGTTTACATTCGAATGCTATTGCGCATGTGCGGTGTTCTATTTATGGTGCAAAATATATCTCTGTCTTTGTTAGGTATGTTGGCACAGATGCCCTTTATTACAAGTGGGAAGCTATATCTATGGAATATATATGAATTAAGCTTTGTTTTACGTCATTCAAGCCTGAAATTCGAAAATTAATTTATTACAACAAGGAATGACGATGGACATGGTATATTCATGACGTGGTCTGAACCAGAGCTGCAGACTACCCTTGGTTTTGTAAATTCTAATTAAAATATTTACATAAATTCAACACTTGATTATGATCGAGCGTCCGTTGAATCCATATTCATTCAAGGAACAATTTTAAGTGTATAGTGGGTTGGATGAGAAAACGAAGCACTCTTGGTGCTGTGGACGCTTAAAATAAAAACAGCAGCCCAAACTGCACATATCACGCCCCTAATTTTAAAAATAGTTGATTTTGTCAATTAGTACTGTTGTGCAGGCGCCATTTTTTACAAACCTCGTCTGCCTATGTCTGTGGTATTTTATCTGTGATTAAACCCTCAAATTTCAATTCGAGCTCGGGCAATTCGCTCTCGGACAATTCGCTCCAAATATTCCACAAAATCACAGCCTACTGACTACCTACTACAAATTGTAAAATTTTTCTTGGACCAATTTTGCTGATATACAAATAACTTACACTCTCGCCAAATATTCAGAGGGCGAACTGTCCGATTGTGAATTGTTCTACAACCCTAATCCCCTTATGAACACTTACCTGATACACTGGACAACAAGCTGCATATCAAAAGCACCCTCGGCAATCTTACTATCCAGCTTTTGGCAACAATGCAAAATTGTCGACAGCAACAACTGTTTCGGATACTCTACGTTCGCCTGCTCTTCGAAATCCAGACACTTTTTCAAAATTTCGAACAACGTCCCCAATAACAAATTGGTATTTCGAATTTTTTTCTTATCCTGTATGAATTCCAGTACGGTAACGCCCCTCCGCCAATCGGCAGTTTCTAAAATATCCACAGTGGGCACGATGGTAACGCGACGTTTCAACTTTTGGGGGTTAAGTGAAGGTGAACGAACGTCTTTCATACGCTGTAACGGTTCCAAGACTAAAGTAGAATCGATGTCGATCCGCTTAAATACGTGACCGGCGGCTTGCAGCACCTCCGCATTTGTTGTATTCGTGGCGACCTCGATGATTTCATTTAAGATTAGCTTCTTCACGTTTTGCTTTAAATGCGAAAAGATCTCTCGGTCGATCCCCTCCAGCATCAGCGCGGACGGACAGGTTTGCTTCTCGTTGGCAAGGATGGATTTATCATTGCGGATGCACGAAGAAATAAAAGACCAAGCCGTCGAGTTTTCGTTCACCTCCCTGGCGTGATGATTGCTAAAGCTGCCAATATTAATTTCAATTATTCTAGACTGGGGAGCGTCAAACGTTTCTCCGCAATTCTTCAGAATTTCGGCGGCTGTTTGCGAGGTGCTGTTGTATATTTGAAAATCGGCTGTTTTGTGTAATAGAGTGAGAATGCCAGCTTTGAAGTAAAGTGGATAATTGCCATGGAGTAACTCTGCAAGTTGCCGAATTAGGGTTTTGGCTGCGTCCGTCATGTAAACGGTTTGTATCACTTGCGCGCATCCTTCGTTATCCATCACGACTTCTTGAATATGTTCGGAAAATTGCACCAAGAAAGCATAAGCTGCGTGGGCCGGCTGAAGATTTGTGTAATAGAAGATTAAAACATCGGCAATCTCCTTCCTCAAGGCTGCATCGTGAGAAGTGAGCCCCACCAGTAAGTAAGGAATAACAAGACCTGTTTTTGACAACTTAACATTTTTCTCTGTAATAGATTTCAGCAGTAGTATGCAATTAAACCGAAGCTCTTCGTCAATTAGTTGATTATCGCTAATTGTCAGATTTAAAAGAAATTCGCTTGTAAGAGTGACGTCGTTGGAGCAAAAATGTTTGAGAAAGAGACTCAGAGCAGACTTGTAGGCTTCTGATTTCGCTTTCTTTTTCTTTGATGTTCCCTTAGTCAACATCTTTAAGATTCGAATAATAAACGTCGATGTCTCTTCATTCATGTTGAAATCGTGGCAATTAAGTGAGACATTCTTCGGTGTAATTTTAGAAATCAACTTCTTCACGCAATCCAGCAAGCAATGCAAACTTAATTTATTTTTTCTTGCCAATAGGATGTAGCTTGACACTGACTGTTCACTTTGAGAAATCTCATTTTGGGACATGTACATCTCAATTATGTCCAGCACCAAGCATGCAATTTCAAAATCGGTTGTGGAAGGAAGTGCACTACACATGAGCAACAACCCCATACATTTATAAACAGTATTTGTACCTTCGGGCATCTCCTTCAAGGTTTTTACCAACACGGACATATCTAATGGGTGCACGTTTTCGCACAAGCTTTGATACACGTTCGATGCGAAAGCAAATGCATTTACCTTGGCAAGATTTTTACCAGCATGTAACAACATCGGTGACTTCGCCCCGTATGTTGACTTCAACACCAAACGCGCTGTTGCAAGTTCGGCTTCAGAAGTTGGAAGTAAGAATGGTAAAACTGTGAGGAAAATCTGTATATCGGACGCGTCAAAGTACTGGCATAACAGCTCAAGGGCCATCGGTAAAGCTGGCAAGAAGGCGGGGGCGTTCTGGCAGCGAACTATAAGCTCCAATAGAGCACTCTTCAAACGATCGAAATTAAGACTGGCGAGCTTCATTCGAAATTCCTCCAACGTCGCACACGTCACTTCAACGCAATCGTCCTTAATCCGATCTAAGATCGCATTTTCAATCGCCTCGCGATCCCTCTCCCGAAACACGTCAAATTTCTTCCGCAACACTTTTACACTTTCCAAACGCGTGTCCGAATTTGGATGATACAGCTTTTCCATTAAATCGTAAATACTATCGATATTGCCGATGTCGCCCAATATGTCACAGATGGTTTTTTGTAAGGATGTCCGTTTCTTTGTCAATTTCATTATGTCTTTAATTGCTTTGTCAAATTCGGCCGGATACTGTCTTTCAATTTTGCACAGAAATTCTTTAACCCAATCATTATTTTTCGTCGACGATTTATTAATGTCGCTACAGGTTTCCAAAAGGCATCTGAAAGGACCAAATAAAAGTATCAATCTTTAATCAGATGGTATAGGAAATTCCTTATACTTAACGTTTAAGAGCGTTTTGGAGGGTAGTGGATTATGGAATGTAATTAATTTTGTTCGAAATCGTTATTACTATTATTATTAAATATGTATTGAGAATTGCCAATACTGTTATTACTAGGTGCAATTTTCATCGCCCAAAGAAGCAGTTGAAGCCTTCAAAACGCATGTTTCTTTTGATTGGACAAAGTGCTTTGCCGTGCGGTTCAATCGCATGCAAAAGTACATAGATATACAGGGTGTTTTTTTGGGAGCTTTAGTTAACCGTTTCTGGGAAAGTAAAATAGGTAGGTTTTTGAAAATTTGTACTTAGAAGTTACTCTGAAGGCCGAATCGATGTAAAATATTTTTAAAATGCCCGCACTTCCGGAAACACCGGAAGTAGATAGTAACATCGTTATTTTAAATGGCAATCCATATTTTTTATTAGATTTTTGGATTCTACGTGACATTTTAATCCTTTTGATACCCTTATGTCGATATCTGCGATTTATGGTTTTTAAGTTATTTTGACTTTAAGAAAAAAAATGGCGGATGCAGATGGTACCTTGATAATTGAATACTTGAAAACGGTTGTAGTCATGGCAACCTATTTTTATCAGTGTATAGAGAATGAATAGGGCTTTCTTTTAGTGCACTTAAAAAAAAGTTAAGTTGCGTACGACCGCTCCTATGGAAATTCAAATTTATGAAACTTCAAACACTAAAAACTCAGTTTTTTTAATGGAATGACCATTTTCTTACTATTGCATGAGATAAAGAATCGAAATGGGCATATTTTGACAATACATGTTCTTATAGCTATCTTTAACAGTTTCTGACTTATTCCCATTTTATTGAATTGACACTATTTTTTTCGGATTTTCTTTTTAGTAGTCGGCCATGATTTTATAACAATCGAATTTTAAACAAATCTAGTGACACTAATCCGTCACCTACTGTTATAGGTTAATATAACTTTTTCAAAAATCGAAAAATGACTCGCAGTGGTTTCACTCATTTTGGAATTTAATTGTTATTTATGGTGAAATGGACAGAATCGCGACACGTGCTTGCCGTACATTCATTCGAACAATGGAACGAAATTGTATGAATTTTGGAAATGTTGTAGCCCCAAATGTACTACAAACTGTCAAGCATAAGTGATACAAAGCTCTACAAGAGAATATTTAAGAAAATGAATTGAATTGCAAATGCAAGATTAACAAAATAAATTCAATGCAAAATATAGAACAGATATCGCATTACCTCTCTTAATTTCCAGACTTATACGTTGTTTAAGAAATTCAGTTGAACGACTCTGTCTAGATTTTTAAAAAATTTTCCGTCCTATATCCTTAACAAAAAACTTATTTATGAATGAATTATTTAGACTAGAATCAATGATATTAACGAATCCATTCCTTGATTTGTTTAAAATTCGATTGTTATAAAATCATGGCCAACTACTAAAAAGAAAAAATGGCATCAATTCCGAGATCAATTCAATGAAATAGGAATAAATCAGAAACTGTTAAAGATAGCTATAGGAACATGTAATATCAAAATATGCCAATTTCGATTCTCTATCTCATGCAATAGTAAGAACGTGGTCATTCCATTAAAAAAAACTAAGCTTGTAGACTTTGAAGTTTCTTAAATTTGGATCTTCATAGGTGCAGTTGTACGTAACTTAACTTTTTTTTTAAGTACACTAAAAGAAAGCCCTATTCATTCTCTATGCACTGATAAAAATGGGTTGCCATGACTATAACCTTTTTCAAGTAATCAATTATCAAGGTACCATCTGCATCCGCCATTTTTTTTTCTTAAAGTCAAAATAACTTAAAAACCATAAATGGCAGATATCGACATATGGGTATCAAAAGAATTGAAATTTCACGTAGAATCCAAAAATGCAATAAAAAATAGGGGTTGCCATTTAAAATAACGAAGTTACCTACTTCTGGTGTTTCCGTAAGTGCGGCCATTTTGAAAATATTTTACATCGATTCGGCCTTCAGAGTAACTCCTAAGTACTTTCCCAGAAACGTTTAACTAAAGCTCCCAAAAAAACACCCTGTATATAGGTCTTAAAGGCGATTATTTTGAAACGCATAAAAATATTTTTGATAAAATTCCTTTATTTATTCTTTCTATTCTCAATACACAAATAGTAAGCCTCGTATGTATTTAATAAGTTGCATGATTGATTGAAAGGGACTCATTTCACGTAAATTTCTTTATGATAGCATCTGAATGTACAGGGTGTCGTTCCATTATGACACTTTCACATTGTTAGTGTTATCAAAAAAGCAATATAGGCGGCGTCATGTGCTCTTTTTGTGTCAAACTTAAAAGGTAGAATTCACATTTGCGTTCACTTAAGACAAGGGAAATTAAAAAAGTTGTGAATTTCAGAATGACCTTATGCTTTCTCAGTTAAAAGAGATACAGAAAAAAAATTGTCAATTCAAAAATCAGTTTGGAATTTTTTGAATCATTAAACCGTTTTTAATGTTTTTTAAATCTGTCCGATAATTTTTTTACCTAAGTAATCTTGATTTTTTTACAAAAATAAATAAGAATATTTCTTTCAAAAAATGACAATAACTCAATAACTGCCGGATATAGGCATACAGAATGTTAATAACAGTGACCCTAAAATTGAAATAACATTCTTTTCTCAAGTCAAGTGTCAAGTGATTTTTGGGTTTATAAGTGACATGTGACAATCGTCATCCGACATGCGACTCAACCATCGACATATCTTAATCGTATCAATTTTCTGTCACTTCCAACTTGCAGGTATTAAATGAAGGTGGCCTGATTTCTGCTGCTTCGAAGCGGGACGTGTCGCGAAAAATGTATGAGGGGGGGGGGGGCTGATTTGAAAGATGGAATTAAAACCAAATTCTTTCCAATTATAAATATCTTTCACTTCCATTCATTTTTTAACTAACAAAAGTTCACTGGGAAAATTGTCTCACAACTTGCCGCCAACTTGATTTTCACACATAAAATCACTTTTACTGCGATGCACGGTTAAAATAGGACAGGAGAACCTCTAAAACTTGAGCTTCACATTGAGAAATTTACCGTTTTTATTTCTGGATATTTTGTCACTTATAATACAAAAACATTTCATTAACGTACTGTATAATAGTGACATTTGTAGCAAATTGTAATAAAGAGAGCGAATTGATGTCGCGCTCACGGCAGTCACTGCTTCAATCTAACAATATTGACTACCATTGAATACCCAAAGAATATCTGATATGATACCATCTCGGATACCATATGCATGGTACCAACAGAGCTGGGTAAAGCCCTCTTGAAAAGGGCTTGAAGCACTAAGCACCGAGCACTTTATTTTGATAAAAGTGCTTGCAAGCCCTAAGCACTTTTATGTGATGAAAAGCTTGGAATTACCAAGCACTTTCTAAAGTAATTGAAGATACAAAGCACCAAGCCCTTGGAAAGTGCTTGAAGCCATTTAAAGTGCTTGAAGCCATTAAAAGTGCTTGAATCACAGTAATTGACAATATAAATTAATATAAATATAAACAATATAAAGCACCTTTCATAAAACTGGAAACCGAGCTGGAAACACTTTAAAAAACACACTAGAAACAGTACTTCCGCATCGTAAATATACTGGAGGAATTAGTGGTTTTATCGCTAAAGTTTTGCTTGTCCAAATTTTCGTTTAAAACGATTAGGTAAACAAAAAAATGTTGTTACCGGTACAGTACTCTCCCCGTAACCATGGGTAATGTAGAAGTAATAACTGCATGTGCTATAAAAGTAGGTACTACAAGAAAAAAATGGGATGTGCAGACTGCAGACTAATCACTAATGAAGCACGGAACACGTAGGTAACGTCAGAGTAGGAGTGAAGGAATGAGTAAGACCCAGGGTTTTCTAAATTCGTCACCTAATTCACGATAAGAGCTTCGTTATGAAAGTGCTTGAAGCTCTTTGTAAGTGATTGAAAACCTTAAAAAGTGTTTGAAGTTCTTTGAAAGTGCTTTAAGCTCTTTGAAAATGCTTAAAGCTCTTTATAAGTGCTTGAAGCTCTTTATAAGCGCTTGAAGCTCTTTATAAGTGTTTGAAGCTCTTTATAAGTGCTTGAAGCCCTTGAAAAGTGCTTGAAGCTCTTTAGAAGTGCTCGAAATTGTATGAAAGTGCTTCAAGCACTTCAATAGGGCTTGAAGCCCCCTTGGTAATTGAAGCACTTCTTCCTGAATTGGAAAAGTAATTGAAGCACAGAGCTCTAAGCACTAAAAGTAATTGAAGTCCTTTAGCAAGCACTTTTTTTCAAAGCACTACCCAGCTCTGGGTACCAAGCATGTACATGAAGAACCTATTACATACTAGGACCCTAGCTATAAAACAAAACAACAACATTTCTGAGCTATAAAAACAAAGTAAATACTTTGTGAGCATAAGTATAATTGATAAAATTGACATAAATCCTTAACCATGCTCCTTGACGCTTTCTAATATTCTAAATTCTAATGCATGGCATGTCGATGTAACAGTGAATAAATTCCTTGCAATGTCCACTACCCAGCTTTGTACGCCTAAACCGAGGCCTAAACATTTCAGCAGTTTACTCCTTGCATGGATAGGTAAATAAAAAATTACAGTAAATTAGTAGGGAATTTAAATTTTTAAAAAATTAAAGTAAAAAAGATGCAACACTTACCTAATTAAGGGATCAATAAACTGTTGATCAAATTTAATTTCATTTAAGATTTCATCTACAAACATCTTGCAACCTTCATCGTCCCTCATTAGTATCTCTTCAATCGCACTCTTCAATATGGCAATCAGCAATGGATTCACATTCATCCCCTCCCGATGGTATTTCTCAATCACTCTCACGAGACCCAATTGACTGCCGCTTAATATCTTAATATTCGCCATGAAAGTGTGATGCTTTTGCGTTTGATACAGAACGAGCAGTACTAATACCGCTTCGTTTTTCAACTTGGCAACTTGAACCTGACAAATTTTGTTCGTAAATTTGTTCAAAATTTTGGAAGAAAGTTGAATCTTCGAAAATAACTGTGCGCATATAATGTACGAAGACGCTGCAAAATCGGGTGTGTTCGACGATAATCCATTGAGGAGAACAGGGAGCATTTGTGATATTTGTATCTCGGTGACCTGTTCCGAATACTCGAGAGCTCCCGCAAACGAGCTGCAGAAAAAATTATACACTGTGGTTAAGCACGATGGGTTTGTATGTTCTTTCACAATGTTGACTACGTAGTTTGAAATACACTCCAAAAAATGCGAATTTGACGCTAAATTGTTGTACAAAACTTGTTTTGTTAAGTGCACTCCGGTTTTTTGTAACGGTTTCATCCAATGCCACTTATCCTTTGGACTCTTCAAGTTTAACAATTGTAACGTTCTCACAAAAATATTTGTTTCGTGATAAGGTAAAATTAACATTAACAAATCCTCCTTATTATACTCGTGAATATAATAACGATACACTAGCCATTCCAATGCTTTATATGAGCAGTTAAACATAAAATGTGGGGACAATAAATACAAAAATCTCCTAATGTTTTTATCTAACTTTTGATTCGCTTGTGCCGTTTCGACGGAGCGTTCGAAATCTTTCGCAGTCACATGGAATATCGTATTTTCGAACTCGGCAAACACTATATCGCGCTCTTTTAATTCTTCTAATCCGTCTATACCAATTTGGTATGCAGTCTCTTTATTTAAACTTGCCGCTTCTTTTGGGTCAAACAGTAAGGAGGCGCGCTTTTTGTCTTGCTGAAGACGAGTTGTTTGAGGTACGGCAAGGCGTTGTAGTTGTTCTGCTAAGGAGGTACTCATTGTGAAGCTAGAACAGGTTATTATTAATTCACTGCAAGAAACATTATTGTTTACCTTAATACAAAAAGGGAATTTTTTATACTTTTCGGGGTTACAGGTTACACTTTGCAGCGTAATTGAGAGTAGCTTAGAAGAAAAATTTAAAAAAGCATGGAAAAGAAAATTAATTATTACTTAACCTAACTAAATATCAAGAACAATGCTGAAGCAGCGTTGCCGTCACACAACAACACCTACCAGTGGCGCACCAAACATTAATAAGAGTGTCCGTAGCGTTGTACAAATTGTTATGAATTATACGGCGGTTTCTTTGTGTCTAAATTATGATTTCGAGTAGGAATATACTAATATCTTTGTTTCTTCATAAACAAGGCTAATATCTTACAATTGGTGTGCTTAATTTGTAATCGTTTATCTGTATGCTCACAATGGTCATGATCACCCTGTATACAGTATACTCATAAACTGTATATCAAAACATAACCTATGAAATTACCAAAAGTTAAATTTTGAAAATTGAGCTACAGACTCTTCAGTTATGGGTGTTACAGTGCTTCAACAATTTCCAATTGTGGAAAATAGAACGGGCCCCTTAACTATCGATCTACTAACAAAAAGAATCTCTGCACTGGGTGCCACACAGCAAGGGCAATTTCTGGTCGACTGCGAAACCTTTACCTCCATTCAACAGTTGGGTCATCAACGAACAGTACACGTGCTACACAATTCCGAGCAGCCCGCAACCGTGTTTTCAATACTGGAAACGGGCACGAAAACAATACCTCTAGCAACCGATGGCTTATTCGACCTACTCATGACGAAAATGAACAACTTTTACACCGCTAAAAAGCAAACAAAAGTTGAGTCAAAAGGGCCCAGATTCGAAATTGGCGATTTTTTGGTCAAGTTGGGCAGCGTGACGATAACACAGAATTTTAAAGGCGTACTGGTGGAGGTTGAGTATAAACCGTGCGTGGTGCCCGCAATGTGCTGGGAGTTAATGAGAGAATTTCTGCAAGGATTTTTGGGTTCTTCCGTACCGAATACTCCCCCTGCTTATCTGCAAAACAGAATGCAGGAGATTTACACTCCAATTGACACAATACATCAGTACTTGGAACAATTTACAATGTATAGAAAATCTCCAGGTATGAGAACGTAACATTAATTTATTAATCATATAATTGTAATTTATAGTAAATAAATTTGTATTGATTCAATTTCTATAAACTTCTTTTTTCAAAAGCGTATTTATTTGTTTGTAAATCTAGGGGTAAGTATACATAATCTGACATTTAGATTATCTAAAAAAATAGTTAAATTGCTCCACATAATAATGCATTATGGAATAATGGGATAGAACGATAGATAACAAAAAAAAGACAGAGGTTCTTCTAGGTACAGTTATTTTTTTTATTCTATAATTAATTTTGTTTATCTACTTTATTTATAGATTTTTGAATAGTAGCAAACACCTAAACTTATTTGTTAGTGGTTGTGCTTAACCACAATACAGTACCTATAAAGAAGGATATAAACCCACAGTCTTATCAGATGTTATGTTAAATTGGTAATCAAAATAATTTTTATACATTTGAGAGATCCGCCATGTCTTTTTACAGCATGGGAGAATGCCTGGCGTTTCTTTAATACCTAATTTGATTTCCTACTCCTTTAAAGAGTATCCAAAGGTACCTGATGTACTTATGCAATAATGAGATAATCATTAATGGCTCACACATGGATGATACTAGTCTATGGTTACCAATAAGTTTGCAATTTAGTTATAGCTTAAATTGGACACCTCTTCGTTCTTTTACCGAATCATTTGTGTGTCGTCTGGTATTGAGAGAGGTCAGTCTGCATAGTGACATCCCAGTTTCATCTCTTCATAGCACTGAATTATCAAATTTCTGACCTGAAATTTTAGTGCAATCAAAGATATGAAGTTCCGAAGGCTCTTTCAGTTTAACACTTTAGGATACTTAAGACTTTTTTGATTTTCTGACCTTTAGCGCCTATTTTTCTTTCCATTTATGCCGAATAAATTTGTTTCATCTGTAAATGGTTAGTTTTGTGTTTAATCCAGCCCAAATTACGATTAATGTTAAATTTATTTCTACTTCGTACCCAGAATTACATCAGGTGTTTGTTGGAGGTTAGGCAAATTATAATTATTTCTTTTAAAAGTTTTGTTAGTGCCTGTGTTTAACTGAGCTAGCTGGATCTCGAGCTGGATTGGTGTTTTGTTATTTGCCACTTGGCTTTTTATCGCTTATAGTTTGGTCCACATACTGTGTTTGGACACAGGTACATCAGTTAAAAGGAACCCAGTAAGGCATTTTAATACAAAACTCGTTTTGTACAATTTTAACACTTTTGAGTGTTTTATTATGGAGCAGCCAATTGTTTCGGCTTTACATACATTACCTATACGTTACCATCACATGTATTTTACTGACATAATGGACACTACTCTATAGCTATCTGAAATTCCAATAGGTTTTTAGACATAACATTTAGCTCCAGTTGCACCAACAAAATTAAGCCTTGCTTGAAGTTAAGTCGAACTTAAAATCTATGGCAACAATTCGTTGCTATGGTATTTAAGTTATGATAATGTATAATGGCCGTTTGCACCAACAAATTTAAATGGAGCTTAGCTTAGGTGTAGCTTAAAATCTATGGCAACGATTATTGAGACAATGGTTGCCATGGATTTTAAGCTACTCTTAAGCTAAGCTCCACTTAAATTTGTCGGTGCAAACGGGCATAAGTTGTATATTTTCAGTGTGTGATTGTGGGCATTATTTTTCAGGATAGACAATTCAGTGGATGGTAAAGATCACAAAATAATGTCTGTTGCGCTTGTCTCTTCGTTTGGAGCTGATGAAGAAGATTGCACTTTCCTACACCGTGAAGGCCAGTATCTCGTTGTAGAAGAGGTATTGTTTAACTTAGCCCAAAGGTTTAATATCTAACGCATCTTGTACGATTAATAGTTTATTAATACAGTATTGAATATCCTCGAAATACCCATAAGAGATATCCAAAATGTGTCTGCATCTATGAAACGACAATTCTAATTCTGACATGGTGTTTTTGTTGATTGCACTGCTTTAGAGTGAGTGTGTCATAAGCATACAGAACAACAGGTGTGTTAATGTTATCCTTATCCATTAGCATTGTTTTTAAACAATACCATTAGGGGGTATATTTGCATAAACAACAAAAAAGAGAGGACGCTTACGATTAATCCAAGTGCAACTCATCTTATAGTTTGATGAGGATATTTGCCTTTGTGTCGCTTATTGTTATGTACTGTCGGCGGTTTTTAAGGTACAAAATGGATCCCAAAAGATTTAGTGGTAGTCCTTCTATGTGGCTACCAAGATCCAAGTTTTTTAAAGATGATTTCGTAGATTAATCGAGTCGAACTCCTTTGACTGTTCTTTGTAAAGGCTCGATACCTTTTTATTGTGGTTAGTAGTAGTAGATGCTGTGTATTTAATTGCAAGACATCTCAGACATATCATTTGGTTTGATCACTGGGGATTTAAGTTACTAAAATGGCTTAAAATGTTACAGATGAGGTCAGCTATATCTTTAAAAGAATCTAATTCTAATGATGGGTATTTTTTTGGTGATGCAGACTCTTTTTTCTAATGCACATTATTAACCAGAGCTCCTAGCGAGTTCATAATTCTGGAATGTCTGTCCATTAGCACGATATCTCCATAACGAATGGACCGATTATGAAAACATGTTGCAGGTGGATTCTTTATCAAATCTGTAGATCGGAGTTCGTGAATTAATTGGCAATGTAGACCAAAAAATAATGAAGGCCCGTTTGACATCTCCGTTAGTTATGAACGGAATTGCATGAAATTCAAAATGAGTATAGCTTTAGCCATATAATACACAATGCCAAGCTATAGCCATACCCAGGAGCTCGTTTGATATATTTGTTTACACATTTATTTAATGAACAAATATCATGTATTAATTAAATTAGTTAGTCTAAGATTTTCCATATCAAATTTGTGGTTCCAAGTTAGATGTTTTGCACAAAATTTTACAATAGGTACAAGTATCCTCCAAGCGTCATGCGTAATAATAATATATAAGTAATATAAAACCGTCAGATTACAGTAAACATATTTAATTTAAATTTAACGTAGGACATTTCCTTTAAATTTTTGAGTGATCGTCGTATATCAGGGAAAATATATTAGTGGAAATTGGTATTTTAAATCAAATCTATTCTCGGTAATTTTCAATGTAATCGATTCAGCTTGTCGGACACCCTGTATACTGTAGATATGTGATCATTTCCCTTAAAATATCATTTGTACATTTTTGAAAAAAAATAATCCGTACGGAATAGGCACTTATAGGTAGGTATGTACCTACTTACTTTCTGTCAGACGAAAGTACACTAAATGCGAACAAATGTTAAGAGGAAGTCATCCATTCTATAAATAGCTTAACTTAAAACATCCACCACGTTGATTCTGTTCTGGAACCGATCCAAATATGTATAAAGTATAACACGAAACGTGCCCGTATTCTTATTTAAAAAAATGAAGCAAATTAGTAATTTTTTTAATCAAAATTATGCGGAACTGTTGAATAAATTAACCGGCCAGCTTTACGAAAAATTTGAAAATACTGCGGATGAAGACGAGCGCGTCAAATTATTATATCCGCATTTGCAATGCATCCTTATAAAGCCCGAAATTTATGGAAAAAGTATGGAAGACGCCTTAAAGGAAAAGTCGGATGGCAATGCTTATTTTGTTAAAAATGATTGCGGTAGTGCCTTAAATTGTTACTCGACCGGCGTTTTAAAATGTCCTCAAAACTCTTTAGGTAAGTTATTGATCTTATTTTTGTTCAGTTCAGATATATCTATTCTATTCATTGAATCTTGTTAGGCATGTTTAAGATATACGTTAAAGGAATACTCTGTATTTACTGGATTGATAAAACACATATGACTAAAAGACTTATTTTGTTATAATATAAGCTACACGCATATTTAAACGCCTTACATGGATTGTACTGAATATGGAAACTATATTGGTCTACTTATGCGATTTTACTTTTTTTTCTCTTGCATGGTTTTAGTAAAAAGGTAATATTAAAAAGGCGCTCCATACCAAAAACAATTTGTACCAAGGTAATTTCGTGTTTTATAAAGTTTTAATTTCATTTCAGAATCACGGAAGCTACTAGCAATTTTAGTTGCAAATCGGAGTGCCTGTCTATACGATCTTAGGCAGTACGAGGCAACACTGAGCGATATAAATTACGTAACCCACCTAAACGTCTATCCAGAACACCTGAAATACAAGCTATTTTTTCGGGAAGCAAAATGTTACACCTTGATCTCCAGTAAAATACACCTGGCTGGGCCCTCCTATAAACTAGCGTTGGATTATCTCGACTTATCCACATTAGACAAAAGCGCGATCGAGAAGAAAAAGCTGGAAGTAAGGAACGCTTTGAAAAGTCTCGATAATTTGAAGCGAAAGGAAACGAAAGAAAAAATCGTTCACTTTAAATGCAACCCACTGTTTCCGTCTGCGAGTGCGTCTGTCATGTTCGATTTTGAGCCAGATTTAGGCCGATTTGCGCGTGCAGCTTGCGATATCGAAGCGGGCGAAATTATCGTACAGGAACCGGCGCATTGTGCAGTTTTGGCAACTAAATTCTCACTAACAAACTGCCAGTATTGCACAAAGTCGACAAACGCTCCACTTCCATGCGAAAAGTGCGCCAATGTGTGCTTCTGCAGCTTCGACTGCAAGTCTGCAGCATCCGTCTACCACCGGTATGAGTGCGGTTTGCACCATACAATAGCGGAGTCTCAAGCGTCCATTAACTGCTTGATGGCGTTGCGAATGATCACCCAAAGTAGTATTAGCCAGCTGGAGACCGTGATTAAACATATTGCAATCTCACCACAAATCCATACATTCAATAACTATGCATGTGTGTATTCTTTGTGTCGCAACGAGCAATTACGAAACACGAAACAGTACTTCCATTACACCATTATGGCAGTCTACCTCCTACGTGTACTAAAAACAACCTCCTACTTTGGCTCAACTTCCCAAGACAATAAACTAACAGATGACGAAGTTTTCATATGTAAATTAATCCTCCACAACCTGGAGATGCTTCAATTTAATGCACATGAAGTATCCGAATTGCACCAAGCTCCCCCGGGACCTCTGGACTCTCAAGATGAGCCGAACTTTAAAGCAATATACGTGGGTGGAGGATTATACCCGACTCTAGCGTTCTTCAACCACTCTTGTGATCCGTGCATAGTTAGGTGAGTTTCAGAGTTCCTGAAACAATTTTTTTTTATTATAGCTTAATGTATAGGTACAACATAGGGTCAAAGATGATCGCAAAAACTGTCAAACCAATTAGAAAAGGGGAAGTGATTTACGAAAATTACGGACCGATTTATACAAATTCGCCCAAGGCTGAAAGGCAGCAGTTTCTGTTGGAAAATTACTGGTTCACTTGCCATTGTAAAGCGTGCGAACAGGACTGGCCACTGTTTAAAGAAATGGAAGATAATGTTATTAAAATTCCCTGCAAAAATACTAAATGTGCTAACTTTTTCTTCCTGAACGATAATGTTGATAATCCCTCCATCAGATGTACATCCTGCAATAGTTTGATCAACCTTTTTCCACATCTTAAAGCGCTGGCCGTGAGTATCTATTACCCAAACAGCAGGATGCTCCTTATAGCAAATACGTTTTTTTAGGATTTGGAAAATATTTTATTTGAAGCTGAAGGGCGCTACAAGGAAAATAATTACACGGAGGCTATGGACCTATACTTAAAAGCGATGAAAATTTATTTTAAGAACACCGTACCACCATTTCCAGATTGGGTCAAAGTGCAGCAACGTTTAAGAACGTGTTTTGTGAGTTTTGGAAATAGGTGTGCTAATTATGATAAGATTAAAAAAATTGATGAATGAATTAACGTGTTTGTTTTCATATTTCCACTGCATTTTATCAAATAATTTTCTTCGCAGGAGTTTCGTATATTTGACGAGTTGCTGATCAGACTATTGTCTATGTCGAAAGCAAAATGCAAAACGGCAGTCATATATTGACCTTGGTAGCGCGTTTATAGATGCCTCACAGTTTTGCCATAATTTTAAAAACATAGTTCCGTTAACAGTGGGGGCACGCCGTAGTCGCGGTTAAGAGTAGGTGCGTAAAAATCTGAAATTAGGACGGATTCTCCTTTTAAAAATGCTTGCTTGAAAAACAACCCTCTGAAGAGAAATCATGTGTAAAAAGAAAAGTCCTACAAGACTGCAGGAGGAGGATAGGTACATGTAAACAAAAAAAAACAAACAAAAACGAAGTAGGTATATTGTCCAAGTTGCAGCATTGCTGTGAAAATTGTATCCTGGATCTTACCTAGAAATACATATCCCCATTATATCCACGTTTCTATACTGCTTGTATTTTTGTAAATCAAAGATATTAAATTATAATACAAATTGACAAGCTTTAATTTTATGGAATACAACAAATTCAATTTTTTAAACATTAACTATTTGACACTTTTCCACAGCGAACACTTGGTTTAACAATTGCTTAGAATGGAGATGACTGGATTTTATTTTTCCAGTGTTCTTGGCGACATTAACAGTGTTCCAGTTATGATAATGAAGGAATTTTCATTTGTAAATCAACGCAAATCATCAACCGGCGCGATTGCAGTTGTTTTTGAAATTGTTTTGATTTTTGTTTATCAAACAGATTTTTTCACCTTTTGTTATAGCAAACGATAATATATAGGTATGTTATTGTATTTATTGATGCCACACTTTTACAGTTATAATATGTTGCTTTAATTACTTTTACTAAATACTCTAAGTGCGTGAACTTCCCCTATAGAAAATTTGTTACATTGGTAATATAAAGTTAGCAGTTATTAGTATCATATTATTCATTCATGTGCATATAAAATTGTGCAAGGTTAAATTATGTCTTCTCCCAATGAATTGTTTTATATTTAGAAATAGCAATAAAATTTTACAATTAAATAAATATGCTAACTATATTAGTATTATACCTATGAAGATTGAAGAGATGTACTATTAACGTAACGAGGATATTCATATCTTTTAATGAGTGTAATTAATTATCAGTTAATGAGCAATTTATTGATATTTCCAGGCAATTATGATTAGTATCTGCATACTAACTAATTTAACTAAAAAATAAATGAAAATAAATAATTCCGAATATTAATTTGAAATTATTTTTAAAATATTTTGTACTTGTCATCTTGTGTGTGTATGTATGTGACATAATTTCACAAAAAAATCCAATTCCAAATAGAAATTTATTGTGTGTATTTTGAAAATTAAAGTACATTATTATAATAAACATTACATGGAATTTAAGATATAAATTAAAAATTTCATCAAGGGAAGCCATGGATAATTGATGGTTCTCACATTTCCCGTGTCAATTTCTAGTCCAAGACAGGGTTTGGCTCTTGGGTCACTTGAAGAGCTTATATTATGCTCGCCAGGAGAGAATGCGGGTCACAGAACACTTGATGCCGCGATCTACAAGCGTATGTTTGTACGATTGTAAACCGGGTATCAGATGTTCTGTGACCGTGGCATTCTCTTTTGGCAAGCATAATAAGCATTTTCCCAATTGTTTGTATGGTTTGTATCTTTGATATATTCAAAGGTTGGCATCATAGTACAGGGGCATAGATCTGGCATCGTGAATTTCGTGAAAAAAGCATGAAAGAGAGAGAGATGTACTCCAGACCATGGGGACAGATATGGAGCCACCTCACATTTTTCCGTGGGTCCCTACCGGAAGTGACAAATTGGAAGTAATGTGTACTTACTTATAGAAAACGCAGATTAAACCTCTCGCCAGGAAAGATTGTCGGTCACAGAACACCTTATCCCGGTCTACAATCTATGTTTTGCTTTCGGGATAGTATCGTGTCAATGTTGAACGAAAAGACTTCGTCTGAGGAGTGAGGACCTTCACGGCCTATATTATACAGCTTACTTACAACTATGTTGTCAGCTTAATTATGTCGCTATGGCATGTGATTGGATGTTTTTCATAGGATAACATCATTCTTTGCAAAAACATCCAAACACATGCCTTAACATTATGTTAGCTGACAAAGTGACAACATAGTTAAGTACGCTTTATATAATACCGGCCATCAGTCTTTTAATTGTTGCATAGTGCTCCAGAAGTCTTCGATAGTTATTTCAACCTTTTGATGGCATTTAAACTTATATATTTGTATTGCAGACGGAAGCCGTTGGAAGGTTTGAATGTTTGACCATCCCCCCGAGGGGGGAGGGGGGATTATTTATCGTACCACCTCTTATAAAATTCTGGAATTCAGAAAGAGCATGTTTTTTTGTGCTATGAAGACTGAAGGGATTACATTGGGGGCACCCAGATAATATACTCTGCGAAACTAGTCCCGCACAGCACTGGAATTTTTTAGGGATCTTTAACCTTACTTTTTTTTTACTTATGTTGGTGTTGGTGAAAGACATGCACTTTCTCTTTCACTCTTTCATTTCATCATCATGAAATATGAATTGTTGATGAGAATTTTGTGCTCTATTCGTTTGTAGTTCGAGGCCAGACCATACCAAGCTGTATAAATTTCATTAAATAAGTAGATAATAATATGATAAGGGACTTTTGAAAGTCATTGTTTTTAAAAGCGTATAATAATCGAGCAAGATCCTAACATGGAGCAAAAAGAAGCCAGCACATCTTCAGTTATAAGGGTTGGATCTCGTAAAAGTGAGGTAATTTTTAAGTATTTAATGTAGAAATTAGGTTATGTAAGTTTATGTTTTAGTTGGCTCTAATTCAAACTCGCCATGTAATCTCATTACTGAAAAATATTAATCCTCAAAAGGAATTCGAAATAGGTACGTTCAAAGCGAGCTTTCCAACCTCTCTAATGACAATGACCTTTTCAGTTACCATGAGCACTTTAGGAGACAAAGTTCTCGACATCCCCCTACCGAAAATAGGGGAAAAGTCGTTGTTTACAAGAGAGCTGGAGACTGCCCTAATTACGGGTGCCGTCGATTTCGTTGTGCACTCCCTTAAAGACTTACCTACGACGTTACCTACCGGCATGGCCATTGGTGCTGTTCTTACAAGGTTAGTGAGGAAGACAAAGTTCACATGAACCCATTGAAATTGTAGAGAGGATCCACGCGACGCTTTGGTTTTACGAAGTGATCACCAGCACTTAACGTTAGAAACACTTCCCGAAAATAGTGTGATTGGTACATCCAGTTTGAGACGAACGGCGCAATTGGCAAAGAAATTTCCCCATTTGAAAGTGGAAAGTATCAGAGGTAATTTAAACACTCGATTACGGAAGCTTGATGAACTGGGACATTTCCATGCCATTATCTTGGCAACTGCGGGTTTAAATCGCATGGGTTGGAAGCAACGGATTTCGAAGGTAGGTAGTTGGCCCCTGTGAACTTTGCACACATTTTTCATATCAATAAAATTACAAATTCATCAAGTGAAATAACTCAAAATAAAAAATTATTCCTCAGCAAAAATTAATGTACTTACAAGTAGTTTAAATGTACCTATGAATATTACCACCTAATACTGAAAACTAAGTAAAAAGCTTGGTAAAAATTGCCCATTTTAAGGGCTTTCCAAACAAGAGTCATTTTGTGGCGACATAAGTAAGATAATATTAGTTACGAGATAATGTAAACTTGAGATGAACCACCATGAAAATATTTATTCCCATTTTGTGGGTCTCCTTCTTGATGTACTGTTTCAACATGAAAGAAGTATTAATTACTAATGATTTTCGTTTTGTGAGGGATTTAGCTTTTTTTTTTACCAAAATGTAGGAGTTCGAAGTCCATTGAGTGCACCTTAAGTCCAGGAACGATTGAACCTCGGAATTTCTCTAACTCCCACCATGCTCTCCCCATTATCCCTAACAATTTGAGTATTCTCACACATTTATACTTAATGACACAAATCGATACACCTGTATCAATTAAAAACGTTGATCCATTGCCTTCTACATTAACTCAAGCAGTTTTTTCAAGAATGTCTCGTGAAACTTTATATTTCTTTGCCAGAATAGAGCAAACCTGTGGCTAGCAGACTGTGCCACAGGCAAAGGGGCTGCTGCTTACCCTCCAGGTTCATGTTCTCTGCCACCTTTCTAGAGGAAAAATGTTTGATTTGTTGGAACCCAAACTACACAATAAAATCAGGCCCCAACCTCTTCTCCAATGACGACCAGTGTTGAAAGTAAGTTGGTCTAAATTCTTTTAATTTGTGAATTAGAATTCAAAGTACCTACCTTGTGTAAGTAGTAATCACACCCATAGAATGGTCATTAAAAAGGATTTAAAAAAAGTTATTTCATTTGATAGTAAATTTGTTGCTTAATTCATGTGAGTTGTACTGACCGCTTAATATTTAATGTGGATTTAGGTCATTGAAGAAGATGAGCTATTGTATGCTGTTGGGCAAGGTGCTTTGGCTGTCGAATGTCGTGAATCTGACGAAAACACAATTCTGCTGTTGAAACCGCTTTATGACCCCAAGACTGCCATGCAAGTAATAGCAGAAAGAAGCTTTTTACGAACCTTAGGAGGAGGATGTAGTGCACCTGTCGCCGTCACAACAAAATTAGTTCCATCTGAAACGAACAAATTTAAAATGTCTCTTACGGGGGCGGTATGGTCTTTGGATGGTAAAGAGGAGTTAATTCAGAGTGACGAGTCCCAGATCGAAATTAGGGAGTGTAATCGATGCGCAGTCTGTCCTTTCGGTTTTAAAAGCTACGACGCTTCCAACATTGGAAACATCAGTTCGTGTACGGCCGATAAGTGCACAAACACGGACATCGAATGTTTGCAACAGTGCTCGTTTAAACGTCCCACCGAGGAAACTAACGGCAACATTCCAAAGAAACAGAAATCACAAAATCCCCCTGCCGAGTTACTGAACACAGACTTTCATCAGTACTGCCCATTAAAGATACCTGTTGGATTGGATTTCATGGGTAAATGCCCATATTTAGAATCCGAATTTAATACCGTCAACATATACCCGAAGCGATGTCCCATTTTCAACAAGGGCCAAGTGGAGGGGATGAATGGGGATTTTAGTAAATGTCCATTCTTAAAGGAGGGTCTCTTGCAGGAGGTAATACCTGATAACAACAATAAAGAGAAAGAGGCATCTGCATCGAACAACTCAAATTTGTATGTGGGACTAGTTCCTCACGTAGATATTCCCGAGTCATCTCTGAAAGAAGCTCAACAGTTAGGGACGCGTTTAGCGAAGAATTTAATGAACCAAGGTGCTACTGAAATTATGTCGAAAGCTCAAGAGATTATCAGAAATGGTTGATTTTATTTTGTAAGCTAATTTTATTGGGAAGGGTAACCGATATGGGGGTTGGACGTTGCTAGGCGGATTTGAAATTTTTATAGTTTATTAAATGTTGTATGTTATTTGTTATTACAGTTGATATTATAGATTTTAAATTGCGCAAATTGATGCGAATTGCAGTACAAAATGAACCGTTATACTCTTGGTATGGTCATTGTTTAATTGTAACAATGTTACCGAATAGGATTTTTCTGATAATACAATGTATTATGTTCCACATTTTACAATAAAAATGATGTATTTTTATACATCTGCAACATTGTGAACATTATTTTGTTTTGTACTGAGCATACCCATTATACAGGGTGTCCCTAAAAGGTCTGTACAACGCGCTACCAGGGGTTCTTGGTATCAAAATAGGACGATTTAACCCAACTTACCTCTATACAAAAGTGCTTCGGTAAGGCGCTATCTACCGCCAAAGATTAAAAAAAAAAAATCGTAATTTTTATTTTATCGGAAGATGGTTTTGCCGATTAAAATGAAATTCGGGATGTGAATGCCTAATGTAAAAAGGGTCTTTTTGATTGTAGTTGCTATGTAGGTGGTAAAATACTGACCATCCACATCTGAAGAGGTCTAAAACTTTTTAACTACTACATATTTTGACGGTTCTGAATTTTTAGACGCTGATAGACAGTTTACTTGCAAGCATTTTTTGTCTCTTGATGAATATCGATATCTGTGATGGTTTACGAAAAAAAAAAAATTTAGGCATGGTGAATGGCATGCACCATACATGCGATTGTTCCTCAAAAAATCAGAAGATGGCTGTGAAACCTTAGAGTGGCGTAGCGTTTGTTTGTTGTTTCTTAAACTTTAACAATTTACGTTTTGCTTGAAGACTTAAAATTTCATTGTTAAAATTGTAATATGGCCTTTCAATACAGTAACGCAGAGTTAACTGATATGCTATTAGTGTTTGGATACTGTCGTGGAAATGGTCGCAAAAAAAAAAGTATATTGTTAAAGTTTAAGAAACAACAAACAAACGTTACGCCACTCTAAGGTTGCACAGCCATCTTCTGATTTTTTGAGGAACAATCGCATGTATGGTGCATGCCATTCATCATGTCTAAATTTTTTTTTTTTTCGTAAACCATCACAGATAGCGAAATTCATCAAGAGACAAAAAATGCTTGCAAGTAAACTGTCTATCAGTGTCTAAAAATTCAGAACCGTCAAAATAGTAGTTCAAAAGTTTTGGACCTCTTCAGATGTGGATGGTCAGTATTTTACCACCTACATAGCAACTACAATCAAAAAGATGATATCAAAAAGACCCTTTTTACATTAGACATTCGCATCCCGAATTTCATTTTAATCGGCAAAACCATTTTCCGATAAAATAAAAATAACAATTTTTTTTTTAATCTTTGGCGGTAGATAGCGCCTTACCTAAGCACTTTTGGATAGAGGTAAGTTGGGTTAAATCGTCCTATTTTAATACCAAGAATCCCTGGTAGCGCGTTGTACAGACCTTTTAGGGACACCCTGTATATGAGTACTTACAGAGAGTGACTGCTTCTAGGTAAGTTTCATGTTTTGTTGTATTGGAAATTGATGTAGAAAAGTTTTAAGAACGAAGGGTCACCTACAGCATTATTAGGCATATTTTAGGGTTTTGTTTAATTAATAATTTATCCTTTAAAAATCATGATTTTTTCAATTTCAGGATCCTAAACAAATATTCTGCCCTAGGCAGTGTGTTACATACCCGGCCATTGTGGATATTCTGTTAATGGTCAGTGGGTCTATAGTGTTAGTTGTTCTGGAATTTTGGGCAGTTGTACAAAAGACTGCTGAAGCTGAGCTTAAACAACGCCTTAAAGATGATATTGTTCGGTAATATGCTCTTCACAAACTATTAATTACTAATGTCTATTTTCGCAGGCTAAGCAACAGAAAGTCTTCACTCTTCAAATTTATAAACCAAATTACTCTCTTAGTGGGTAAGTTGACACTTTCCTGTTACCTTCTTTTTAAGTCATTAAAATGTGTATCCCGTAGGAGGGTTTGCGAGAGAATTGACTGGGCTTTCATTTCTTGTGTGACAGAAGGCAAAATGTCGACAACTGAAGTAGGAGCAACTTTGTTGGTTCTTAATGATAATCGACATTATTGATATTACCAAAGACTATCCCTCTTGATATTACCTATGACATGATTGTCTTGTACTCATATACTTTAGATTGATTCACGAAAATCTATTCTATTGGAAAACGGCTGCAACAATTAAATGGGCCACTTTCGGGCTCATTTATTTCAGCCGTTTTACACTAGACAGGTTTCGAGAATAATCAGTTCGATATAATGAGCGAAATGCAATGATTTTTTTGTACTTTGGAAAATTATAAAAAAACAACGGAGTATGAGAAGTTGCATATTATAATGCACATTTTCTATCTGTACATACAAAACAAGCGACGCAGTGGAAACGAGCCCGTTATGAGCGATAATACCTCGTAGAAAGTTAGAAGTTTTTTCACGTTTTCGACTGGAAAACGAGAGTATAGGTCAAATTTGATCTTGAAATTCGATTCTACCTGGAAAAAAATACCCTGAAAGCATGTGCAACATATATATTCTCAACTGAAGTACGCATTTTAATTGCTCTTTTCCGGTCACGTCACCTTGTACCAAGGAATCCACCATTTTTTGAAATTTTACCGGTATAGTAGCAATTCCAAAAGGAACCCCGAACCCGCTCTTATATTGGTGGGCAAATATGGACGTTCAGAATTGGGATCTTAGACTGCTTTCGCGTAGAAACTGATACAACAGAACAGTTCCATTAAAGATCATAGTGATCTTTGCTTCCATATATCTTTCATAGGTATATATGAACAGATCCTACCAGTGGTTCCAGGTAGTTATGAGGCCATCCTTAGTTTGGAAAATAGCGCATCCGCCTTCACCTACATTAAATTTCAGTTCATCATTACATTTGGGTCTTTATGAATTATGAATCATAATCTGACAAATGGAAGAGCTCTGAGCTCCCAGGCGCCTGAAGTGTGGGAATAAAACATAAGCAATATGAACGTTAGGTACTATAAATATGTCGTTTCTGGCTTGTAATTTCAGACACTTGCATTAGGTGAAGTGAAAATAAAAAAATTTAAAAAGTCAAAATCAAAATTTTGTACTGTTATTTACATGCGATATTAGCGATGAGCATCTCAGAGAAATACAACAAAATGCGCTCTTTTACTGCATACACGCTCGTACGATGCAGATGCTGATGCATTTGTCTTCACTTGCATTACATCCACCCTTATTATACTACCAGAAGGGGAAGGTCAACGAACTAGTCGACAAAAGCGCTTTGCCAAACGGTTGGTTTTCGGTTTGGTTGTTTAATGTACCAGGTAGCAGGTAGGTAACAATTCATTTGTCTTTTGTGTCGCTGGTATCGAAACCTAATTTTTTTCTGTCCCTCTAATTTTTGTACCACCTTCGTAGTGTTATGGGGCATTTTCCACTCATATTTTATTAAAGTGATAGATAAAACGAGTCATTGTTTGCTAATTAACAATATCAATTTTTTAAAGTACAGATTACGTAACCGCTTCATACGCCACTGGATTTTCCGATAAAATTTCGGCTTATTTCCTGTGAACAGTAGATTAGGCCGGTAGTACTTCTAATGACGACGGAAAATTTTCAATTTGAAAAAACAAACGCGGTTGTATACCCACCCAGGTAATTGTAAAGTGGCCTGACCTTCGTCTGTTATTTTTTTGCACAACAATGAGAGAATATAATACATTATTTGTTTGCGCCAAAAATCAAGCCCGCTAACCCAAATTCCGTATAAGTTCGGGAATTACCTTCTCATTTATAGTGCGTTATTTTCGTGCGGCCAAGACAAACTTCTATTCTTATGTTCGTTCAGAGATTCTCGTAATGATACTACACGGTTACAAACCGTGTGACTAACGTGATAAATAAACTACGATATTACATTTTACGACTAGGTGAGGAGTTGATATTGAGATTTATAGTTTTACTCTTTTATATAAAGCCGTTTAGGTATTTGCAATCAATATCGCGGAAGGCGCTTTCGATTGTGTCGCGTGTGTTTTTCGCGTTGGTTCAGGTAGGTGTTGCCACTTTTTGATTAATGTTTTATAACCCTTTTGACCTTCGGTGCGCACCAAATTATTTATTTGTAAATTAGGATTAGACAAATTTGTGTAGGTAATACGGAAATATTTATAAGTATTACACTTGACCTACGTTCATTCAGAAATATAAATGTAATTTAATGGCTCATTATATCTATGTCACTGCTCATATCATGTAATTAGATATGCTATAAATTACATGCCGGATGTTAATCTAGCGCCCTTTACAATTTGGCCGCCTACCGGAATGTTGGTATTTACTAACCTAACCCCTTGCTGCCTTCCCGCACAGGTAGCATGTAAATGAACAAAAATAGCGATAGGTACGATAATTACACAATAATGCAATGCAATAGGTCCCGGGAATATCATTAAAGTATATTATTAACACAGTAGTGTTGCAATTATAGCGAATAGCAAATCATTGATTGGGCAATAAAATAAATCTCATTCATCCATTTTCACAAGAAAACTACTAAAACGATTCACTTTTTAAAATCATAGTACAGATTTAGAAACAACCGAAACGTTGAGTGTACATATTTACAATCGAGGCCCAAAGTAATGGCACTCGGGGTAATAATACCAGCCCTTCCACTTGTTTCTAAATTAATGGTTTTCCTCATTTATAAATAAAACTGAAAAGTCAACGAAGGTATATTGGTTACATTGTGCTACATAGCGGGAAATTACTTTTGACCTTGATTGTACCTATAGTATGGAAAATACCAGAAATCTGGAAAAAATTGTGGTATAAGATACATAGGCATTTTTAAATGGCAATTCTACTTTCTTGCCGCCCTTTTGGATAGGGAGGCTTTTCATGAATAGTGGGTCCTTATTACACTACCTACTACTACATAATTATGTACCTATATGGTACAACAAACATATTTATTTAACTTGGTAAACCATTGAAACAAAGACGTCATTTGTTTCTCACCTGTAAGGATGGGATTCAATATAAGCTAATTAGATGTTTTTGATGGTAATTTAATATAATCGTTGAGAGGACGGTATATAATTGTGTATTTCAAGCGTATGGGTATTTCCAATGGAAATAGGTATTTTTTCTCAACTGTGTTATATACATTTTTTAGTCACCGAGTCTGATTTCCATCTTCTCATCTCGCTACAGGTATCACTATTGAGATCTTTCTTAGTAAGATTGATTTAAAAAAATCGCTGGTAAAATTGGTAAGAAACTCGCCAAATAGGCGTATATATTTCACCAATGTCCTCTCCATCTTTTAAAGCGGCTTAATCTCATAAACCCATGGTATCCCCTAAGGCATCTAAAGATATATTAACCCTGGGCTAAAATCTATATGGAACTCCTTTTTATAAGTTACAAAGTGAAAATTTGCATTTATGAGAACATGCAAAATATCTATATTATTTTGATTCCACAGCAGGGTCAGCGTGACGGTTTGTCCCTTTGCCGTAACCCACTACGAAATTAAATATGGCGTTCACTTTAAGAAAAGTTGCCATCACTGGCGTCACCGGAACGTTAGCTGCTTCGATAGCCGCCTACTACATGTTAAAAGAAGAGGGCGACAGTAGAGTAAGTACGCCCTGCAAAAATATGCTTTTAATGCGAATCTTGCATTTCAGTGGGCAATAGTAAAGGCACAGGAAAGTGTGCCACGAAAGGTTAAACGCACCCTCCCGACAAGGGATGACCAAATCAGATCCCTGCAGACGGATAGTTTTGATATTGTAATTGTCGGTGGTGGCGCGACCGGTGCCGGATGCGCATTAGACGCGGTGACAAGGGGATTGAAGACGGCCCTAATTGAAGCTGACGATTTCGCTAGCGGAACTTCCAGTCGAAGCACCAAGCTCATTCACGGTGGCGTTCGTTACTTGCAGAAGGCAATCATGCAATTCGATATTGAACAGTACAGAATGGTAAAGGAGGCGTTGCACGAAAGAGCCAATATGCTAAATTCCGCACCTCACCTGGCGCATCCCTTGCCGATCATGTTACCAGTGTATCAGTGAGTATGTTTGGGGGTACGTTTAGATAAATCTTTGGTTTTGAACAGGCTTAGATACGCTTTAAACTAATAATCGAAAACGCTCCCTTACAGGTGGTGGCAAGTTCCGTACTACTGGTTTGGTATTAAAATGTACGATTTAGTTGCTGGATCAAAAACAGTCAAAAGTTCATATTTACTGTCAAAAAAAAGTGCGCTTGAGCTATTTCCGATGTTGCGTGGCGATAAACTTGTAGGTGCAATTGTCTACTACGATGGTAGGTTATCCATCTTCTACCATTGCCCGATAAATGGCTTGCTCTAGGACAACAAGATGACGCGAGAATGAACCTGGCAATCGCACTCACTGCAACAAGGCATGGCGCAACAGTAGCTAACCACGTGACCGTCACAGGTCTCAGCAAGAGTGCCAATGAAACCGGAAAGCAAGTACTATCGAGAGTTCACGTTAGAGACGAACTAACTGGAAAGCAATGGTCAATCCCAACGAAATGTGTTATCAACGCAACCGGGCCATTCACGGACTCCATTCGCAAAATGGACGATCCGACGGTGAAGGAAATTTGTAGTCCTAGTAGCGGAGTTCACATCGTTCTTCCAGGTACCCACCGTGTGTTTGCTCGGCCAATTACTTACAGTCTTTCAGGATACTACAGTCCAGAGCAGATGGGTTTGCTTGATCCGTCAACCAGCGATGGACGCGTGATTTTCTTTTTGCCTTGGCAAAGGCAGACAATAGCCGGGACCACAGATTTGCCTTGTAAAGTAACGCACAATCCGAAGCCGACCGAAGACGAAATTACCTTCATCCTTTCGGAGGTGAAGAATTATTTAAATCCCGATGTTGAAGGTGAGTTTAGCAGCATGGGGCGAACCAAACTCTAGTGTTGCCTTTACAGTGCGTCGTGGTGATGTCATGTCTGCGTGGAGCGGTATTCGCCCACTAGTATCCGACCCAAATAAGGGTGACACACAATCTTTAGCTAGGAATCACATAGTGCATGTAAGTGAGTCGAACTTGGTTACAATAGCCGGAGGGAAATGGACAACTTATAGATCTATGGCCGAAGAAACAATAGATGCGGCAGTTAAAGGTTTTGGTATTCTTCTTCCAAGCAAGTTATCAGAGGTGTATTTCAGCTTGTAATTTACAACCAACAAGCAAGTCGCAAACGGATGGACTGCTCATTGAAGGCGCTCACGGTTGGACACCTACAATGTATATTCGATTAGTGCAAGATTTTGGACTGGATTGTGAGGTAGCCCAACACTTGGCAAAGTCCTATGGAGACCGCGCATTCGCCGTAGCAAAATTAGCAGCACTGACAGGTACCAGGCCCAGAGGTGTGAGGCCTTACTAAAACCACAATTTAAGGGAAACGTTGGCCCATTATCGGTATTAAACTCCATCCCGAGTTTCCTTACATTGACGCCGAAATTCGTTACGGTGTAAGAGAGTACGCGATGTCCGCGATTGATATGATCGCCCGCCGATTGCGATTAGCATTCCTAAATGTGCAAGCCGCCGAAGAAGCGCTTCCTTACATTATTAAAATAATGGGGGAGGAATTAAATTGGTCAGAGGGTAAGTAGAATGTCGCAGAGGGTTGTAACTTTGAGAAAATGTTCTAGACGAAAAGGCGAAACAGTTGAAAAGCGCAACGGAATTTTTACAGAACGAAATGGGTCAAACGGTCAATCGAGCCAGTCGAGATAAAATTCCCATAAATCTCACAAAGGATGAAATTCAATTGTATATCCGTCGGTTTCAACTCATTGATAAGGATCGCAAAGGATATGTTTCTATCAATGATATACGCAGAGGGCTGAAAGTAATTAAATATCTATTTCTTGCTATGTTTACCAGAGCTGGATTGCACACCGAAATATTTGGCGGCCCACTCCAACTCTGATATGTACTGCTTTGATGATCCTCGTTACAGCACTAGTGTGTTTCAAAATCGTTCATCGTCCTTTTGTAGATGGCAGTTTTGTCCTGCTTGTATAATTTAAATAGCAACTCGAGTGTTTTCCATTATTTTTGCTTATAGAATTTTCATGTATTGAGTAATGGTCGAGTTATCTCCATCTAATTATCTGTTATTTGTATTGGGTTGGTTATGGGATAAAAAATTGTATTAGCATCGCGCTACTGTGTTTTGTAATACCTATGTGTCGATCTTTAGTTTCTATCAAAAAAATAATTACTTTGGTTCTGTGTCTACAGTTGCTCGGTTTGAAATTCGAAGACAGTGACATTGATGAATTAAAAAGAGATGTTGATGCATTCCATAATGGCCTATTAGAATTAGCAGATTACTTACAGGTGAGCAATGTAACAGTCTTTAATATCATTATTATTACAGGAAGAGGGAGAAAAAGATGTATCTAAAGAGGAACTTCACGAAATTCTTAGAGAAATAGATACAAACATGAACGGTCAAGTTGAACTTGATGAATATTTACAGGTTTGATACAATTTTTAATGCTGTTATTGCATGGGTTGTTTTATTGAAAATATTTTTCTTTAGTATTTGAGATATTAGTGTAATAATAGTACGCATTTCTTTGTGCAGATGATGTCTGCTATTAAATCAGGCCATGTCGCATACTCGCGCTTTGCGAGAATGGCAGAAATGGAAGAGGAAAAGCATGAAAGAGAAATGTTGAAGAAGAAGATATCGGTTGAGCGCAGTGGAGGTGGCTTGTAAATTGATGAAACTTGTTATATATTTACAAAAATTACTTAAACCAATGTAAATTATTTATTTTTCAGTAGTACATACCTATATTAGTATTAAATTATTTAAACCTTTTCGTAGTGTTGTTAGTAGGATAGGACGCTCTAATTCGTATGCCAGGTCTAGATCGATTCTGCAGTGCAGCTTACAGCACATCTACAATAAATCCACGCAAAGCTATAAATAGCGTGAGCATGCGTTTTGTGTTCTGCCTCAGCGGGTTAACCCATAAAACCCAAAATCATTTTAAGTTATTGTGCGAATCGCAAAACGTTCAGACTTTTCGATGTTATTAAGTATGTAACTGCTTACAATACTCATTACGGTTAGTCATTGAACAATGAATAAGTAAGGATTACTTAAGAAATGACTCCATTAAATTACTGATCAATTAGGGCTGACTGCCCTAAATTAGTAGTGCAACTTCAAAAATTTGTTTTAAAGGTCAATAGAAAAAAACACCCTTTAATGGCACTAGAACACTTTATTCAGCCTTTAAATTAAAGTTGTGCAAGTAAGTATCATTAATGATAATCATAACAATTTAATTCTAGGTAATACATGATTGTCGACAAACACCAAGTGAAACCACAAAATATTTTATATGCATGAAAAAGTGCAATAACAAAATGTTTTTGTATGACCTAAGTCATCGACACATGATGAAATATTTAAGAGTATAAACGAAAATACGGCAAAAATATTTCACATGGTTTAAATTGTTTTCGATGAAAAGTTGTAAAGAACATTTTCGTTAATTACATTTAACAAGCGAAATATTTTGGGGCTCTTAACGTACAAAAAATAATAAATAAATAATAATAACTATACCTTAAACCTAGACTTAAAAACTAAATGGCCAACACAAATAGACGCACACGTAATTTACAACCAAAGTTTAAAAATAAGAAGAAAATTGACAAAGACACAACCAATGCCAAATAAGATTACCCACACCCCTCGATTTCCGTTCAGCTTCAAATTTTCGATTAGGTCTTTTTTTTCTAGTTGGTATTTGTGACGAGAGCCTATAAACAATTACATTACCCTCGGAGCATGTTAAAGATTTATTAAGACTTACTCTTTAAGTGGTTGTCGAGTTGTTTTTGACTGTTAGCGTTAACTTGGCAAAGATCACAATTAAATATTTTACCTGCACGTTCGACACGTACTTTATGTTTTCTACCTTCATAATGTCGTAATAAAACTTTGTGGCTTGTGGTATTAATTTTACAAATATCGCATGTGTATGTCTGCAAAAAAAAAACTTGAAAATGATAAGAAAAAGCACATGTGCCTTGACTTACCCATTCTTTTGTTTTTTCCTCAATTTCTGCTGTTACATAGTTATTGTTAATAGTGGGGATTGCTTCTCCCAGATTTGCAATACACATTTCTAATTCGGTCGACATTTTAGCCCAATTTTATTTTAATACAAGTGTCAAAGATGTACACATTTTACACGACATTAAAATAATGCGACGCGCGATTACGATTACAAAAAAATTTGCCCGGCAAAAACCTTAGGGATTTTTGGATTTCCATGGTTCTGATTTAGTTATACATAGGTGTAACATAAGATCGTTAAAAAGGGGACGGCGGTACGGTATCCTTAAATTCAAAACCGAATACAGCTTTTCATTCGGAATTGAACATTGGAATTTTTCGAAATCAAAATACTTACAGATGCCGGCACGCAAGAAGGCTACAGCGGGCTATGCGCACATGTTTAATTTAGAGTCTGTAGTCAACTGGCTCCGCGGCGCACTAGTAGAATGAATAGGGATGCGTGATCTTTCGCCTTCTTACGCGCCGGTTACAATACCTTTGTATCTTGGTCATATTGCTTTTGCTAATGTTGAGGAAAACCAAAATATGCATTACAGCAATTTTATCCACTTTTTCCTGCACTCACAAGTAGGGGGTTAGAACCCATATCCATATGTACTATAGCCAAATTAAGAGTATCCAGTTACTCTTTGCTATGGACAAAAATTGAGGTTCTGTAAATGATTTTTTTATAGACGTACGACAAATGCAATGAGCTATTCTTCCTCCAGAAATTGCTAGAAACAGAATGGGACATCACAGGGACTCGCAGGATGATACATTTATCAATTTATGAATAAATTTTTGTAAAATACCATTAAAATTGACCATATTGGGGGAGGGGGGGTCCCTTGAACGAGAACCACTCTCATACCAACTGTATATACCTGCACGTTAGTAAAGAAGGGGGGGTATTGCATTGGGGTAAAAAATAACCCAACACTTTTTTGACGGAAATACAAGTTTTGAAGCACCAGGCGGATTCCGAATCAAACAAAATCTTGATCATGTAGGTCTGTACTCTCATTTCCGACTACACGGCTGAACGGAATGGATCCAAATTTGGTAGGCACACATTTTTAAGACATAAAAGGAAGAGCTGAAAGGTTTTGGGCATGATCGCGCACGTGCGTCAAACACTTATTTCTGGTTAAACAGATTGGTACCAAATTTGGACAAAATCGCGCATGCGGTATCTATGCTGGCCATAGCAAATTTTATATAGTGCCTCGGACTGATTGGCTGATGCATGTGGTAACATATTGGCAAGTCACAATTCTCTAAATACCCAGAAATAAAACCCTACAACTTAAAGCATTCAATATCTTCAAAGTTAACACACCAATTTTTGGTAAAATTTAAAAAAAAACATCATTACCCAATACACAGAGTATGTAAATAACGATAACACCAAAAATCTTCTAAAATTTTATTTTGTCAATAGTAACTCCACTTGTTTTTGTTAACAATTATTAAATTCCTAGTCCTTATCACCTCAATATAAGCGAGAAGTAATACAACTAATTACAGAAATCTTGGGAGTTGGTGAAGACGAGGATGTTTAATTACAGTTTAAGCTTTTGGTTTCACAAAAGTTATTAGTTTTTAAAGTAACAATTTCAATATAAAAACATATAATACTTTCTTTATTTAAAATTATATGGGACTAAATACACATATGTAAAGCTTATATGTTTATAATGTAGCAGTTCTCCTATACCAAAATCGGGCACGAAAATCATCCGAGCAGGTTAAAAAGGCTGCCTGAGTAGGGGAATGTGCGATAAGTCTGACAGCTCCATTGTGACCTAAAGATAACAACGTTTTTCTAGAGGCATTTCTAGAATTCCAAGCGCATAGGGAAGTAGTTGCCTCATCGGGGAATAAAACATAATCTTCGGTATGGTTGAAGACAGCTTGTGCTTCATATTCTTGTTTACCAGTCGTTCCCGCACCGGTATATGCGATTAAACAGCGGCTTGTTGTTAGCTCCCACAGTTTACAAATTGAATTTTTCCCAGAAGAGAGTAGATACTTTCCATTTTTGGTGAAAGCGACCGAGCACACCTCCAAACCGTCGTGTGCCTTGGCGAACGTGTTAATGCAGCGATTAGACACTCCGTCCCACAATTTTATACTTCCATCTTTACTACAGGTAGCAAAAACTTTGGCATCATTCGACCACTTCATGCAGGTTACGCTGCTAGTGTGCTGATTTGACGGAATGCTACACACGAAGCATTGAGAGGTGTTTATATCATACAAGCGTATTACCGGATGTTGTGTGCCTACAAGTAGGTGCTCACCCGCCGGATGCAAAGCAAAGCAACGAACTGGTTCCGCTTCCTGTCACAATAAAATAAATAAATTTATCAACAAAAGCATAGCATGTACGTGCACATTCAAACTCGCATAAAAAAAGCTTGCTTATCGTTATGCTTATTGTTTGCACCACTAATTTGGTGCATACCAATGTAATTATTAAAAATAATTGGTCCAAGTACAGTTCCTTGTGGAACCCCTCATAATGGACATCTCTGCTTTACTTAAAACTTGAAGAGGCCTAACAATCTGCCTTTTGTGTCCAAGACATAACTTCAGAAAATTATATGATGCAATAATAAAATTCAAGGATTTCACATTTACTCAACCAGATGCATACTATGCCATCAAAAGTTGCTTTCAAATCACCTTTGGAATTTTTGTTTACATGGGGAATCATACTTAACTTGAACTTCCAAAGGTGACTACAGCAACTCATTTTTGATCGTCCGTTACTTACCGTAATTGTTTTAAAAGCTTTCTTGACACTAGCTTTAGATATATCAAATAACTTAATGGTAAGATCTTTAGAGCCTGAAAGTAAAATCAGTTCACGCGGGTGGAATTCTAAGCAAGTAACTTCCTCCATATGATCATATAAGGTGCGAATTACAGGATGCCCTTGCTGTTCCCCACGTGAGGGATCCATTTCATCTGGTGCCGATTTCGCCAGCATGCGGTCGACATCTAAAATCTACCCAACCTGTTACACACCTGTATGCTTTAAAAAAAGTGGAGTACCTTAATACTAGCATCAACACTCCCAGTTGCAATCAGCTGACCGTCTCCAGAAAAGCAACCAGCGCGACAGTTGCCCTTGTGCGAAGTCACGTAGGCAGTTTCATATAAGGCAGGCTCAGGGGCGGGCAAATTGGATTCAGTTTCAAATTCAAGATCCAAGCCAGGCCCGACGTTATTATTACCGATACCCACATTAGTAGGGCGATCTTTACGATCCGGCTCATTCTCTAAACCGGCCATCATGATACGCAACAGGCGATCACTAGGCGCACAGGGTGGGTCGGCGGACACTGCACTGCTTAAAGTGGTCGCGATGGACTGATGACCATCGTAAAACAACTGACTAAAAGAAGATGAAAAGTAAATCGTAACTTAAGATGCATTTAGATTTTTCACCTTATCATAAGTCGATACAAACATTCTCTAGACTTAATGAGATTCTTTGTGGTAATATCTTCTTCATTCATATTGTCGCACTTCATTTACAAAGACTCAAAAGCGAAAGCGTAAACCGGTGAACAAGAATTAATTCTAACCAAAATAAACAGGGATACCTTTGGAATAAATGGGAATGACAGATTCAGTTGTCTTATTACACCTAATGATTTACTATAGGAACTAAAATTTCGCAGTGATACAAAAACCTTAAAAGGATTTACAGTGTAGGTACACCACAATTTATTTACATTTATGGAGTTTTCCATTCTGAATTTCTAGAGAAATAATTTGAAACGTAAAACCCATTTTTACTAGTACCATTAGCTAATAAAAATGAACGAGAGAACAAAATAAAAAATCGCGTTTAATTACTATAACTAACATCGACTACGAATCGCGAATGTAAAAATATGGTGCATCTCTGAGTCGAGATTTTTCGAAGTGACCCAGCAATCCAGTTACCGTTATCAATAAATATCGCAATTTTCATTTGGGGTGGGACGGACGCGGGATATGGTTTGAGTGGACCTTTATACCACTTCACTAAGCCGTTTACAGGCCTCTTCTGCGTTTTCATTGAGTCCCTTATGTTCCCTTCACATCTGCTTTCCGCTTCCTTCACTTCTTCGACACTTTATATACTAACTTTATATTTCGTCACACTCATTCCTCTTTCACTACCCCTTAAAGCGCAATTTCATTCAAAAATTGAAACGTGGCAACCTCGCGTATTTAAAATGTCATGTTGTCAACTCTAAACAAAGTTGTCAAAAATTGTTAAATAATGGACTGACAAATACAAAAATTTCTACGTTTGCCTCGTCAACTCTAGCCCAAATTTTATTTATATTCGAAAAGCTTGTGATAATGTTTTTTTTAGTAAGTCCGCAATTGCCATATCTTATTTGCCCTAACCTCAAATAACTTTTTCAGAGAACTAATTTATTAATTCTATGCGTTTTGGCATGTATTGGCCATTCGTCACAGTTTTACGTGCCTGGAATGGCCCCAGTTGAATTCAAGAAGGGGGACTACATAGACGTAAAAGCGGTTAAAATGACGAGCATTCATACGCAATTACCCTACGAATACTACTCGCTACCATTCTGCATACCAAAAAATGGTTCAATACGGTACAAATCTGAGAACTTAGGGGAGGTTTTACGAGGGGACCGTATTGTGAACACTCCATACGATGTAAAAATGGCTGAAGATATTCAGTGCTCGTTGTTGTGCCACGAGCCACAAAAGCCTATGCATTGGAGTCCTCAAGAATCTCAAACTGTCGCTGATCGTATACAGCATGAATACTTTGTTCATTTGTACGTAAGATTGTAACATTCGTAATGTACGATGTGTCTTTTAGACTCGTCGATAATCTACCAGCAGCAACAAGTGTTATTAATCCTGAGACTAACGAAAAACAATTTGAGCACGGATACAGATTAGGTAGCGAAATTAATGGAAAAACTTACATAAATAATCATCTGAAATTAATGTTACTCTATCACAATCCGTCACCGTAAGTATTCTAGACATCCGTAGTTGCAGTAATCATTTCTTGCTTTAGAGATGTCTATCGAGTGGTCGGTTTCCATGTGGAAGCAAAGTCGATACATTTGGACGAGCTGAAGTTCAACAATAAGTTGTGTAGTTTTCCTGCTAAACCACGACCACAACCTGTTGATCCCAAATTGGGCACCTCTTTACTATTTACGTACGAAGTAAAGTGGGAGCATTCGCAGATAAGTTGGGCTTCTCGTTGGGATACTTACTTGGCAATGAATGATGTGCAAATTCATTGGTTTTCAATTATTAATTCCCTCGTAGTTATTTTCTTTTTATCAGGTGGGTATGTGAAATGATTAGTTGGGATAAGGTCAGAGAGATCTCACAAAATATAACACCCCGGAATGTTTGTGATGCAGCATTAGAAAAATCAACATTTCAGCTTCATATTTATGAACATGTAGGGTTGTAGCTCTATACGGCTCTCAGTAATGTTGACCCCCACTTGATCCAAAAACCATGTTATTACCGTTTTCTTCCGAAGAAACTATTCCTGTCTTGTAACAAAATTGATAAGGTAGATAAGTACTAAGGTTTCATAAATAGTTGATTTTTGTAACCTTCAATATTTCCTAAAGTAAGAAGTAGAAAGTACAAACTCAAGTAAGTAAAGCAGTCTGAGTGACCGAAACACAGAAGGAAATTGGAGATTTTTTTCAAAAGATTTAAATTGACAGTAAAGAAATAATTAGTGTATTTTATTGTATGTTCAGCATTGCTCTGTGTATTTAGACAGCGTGATTATTACAAGAGCTAGAAAAAAACGCCCTGTATTTTTGAAAATTTGGATAGATCTTTTTTTTCCGATTTCAAAAATGTACATGTTGACATTTGCTGTTGTATAATTATTTTAGAACACATGAAATAACACACTAGTAATAGCCATAGATCCCTCTTGAACACGGTGTTTAAAACGATTAAGTGTGTGAAATTGTACAGTTACCTCTTTTAGGAATTTTGACAATGATTTTGATAAGAAGTTTACGGAGAGACATCGCGAGGTATAATGCAGATGAGGGTATGGACGAAGCAATTGAGGAGACTGGCTGGAAACTGGTACACGGCGATGTATTCAGACCGCCACGAAACACTCGTCTATTTGCAGCTGTTATTGGATCAGGAATCCAAATCTTTCTTATGGCACTGATTACAATATGTAACTAGCATACTGCGCTTACTGGTAAAATACAATGTGATTTTTAGTTTTCGCAATGTTGGGGATGTTGTCTCCCGCCTCACGAGGTGCACTAATGACTGCCGCAATTTTCTTGTACGTTTTTATGGGTCTCATAGCCGGCTATTTCTCCGCACGTCTGTATAAAACAATGAAAGGACGCGAGTGGAAGAGAGCTGCTTTTTTAACGGCAGTTTTATATCCGGCGATAATAGCAGTGACATGCTTCTTTCTCAATTTCTTCATTTGGGGAAAATCGAGCAGCGGAGCAGTTCCCTTTTCTACTATGATATCATTGCTTTTGCTATGGTTTTGTATATCATTACCCCTTGTGCACTTGGGTTATTATTTTGGATATCGAAAGCAACCTTTCCAACACCCGGTGAGAACGAATCAAATACCTAGGCAGGTTCCGGATCAGCACTGGTATATGAATCCCTTCCTCTGGTAAGTTTTGTTTCCAATTGATATGTAAATTAATGCCAATTTTTCCTTAGCACTTTAATGGCGGGTATTTTACCATTTGGGGCGGTGTTTATAGAATTGTTTTTCATATTCACTGCAATTTGGGAGAACCAGTTTTACTACCTTTTTGGTTTTCTCTTCTTAGTGTTTATCATCTTGGTGATTTCGTGTTCACAGATAGCCATTGTGATGGTCTACTTTCAGCTGTGTGGAGAAGTAAGCGCCTACACTTTTTTTTTTGTTCTCAAAACTCATTCGAATGTTTCAGGATTACCATTGGTGGTGGCGAAGTTTTATTACATCAGGCGGTTCTGCGCTATACATTTTAGCATATTCACTGTTTTATTTTGTAACTAAATTAGAAATAACGGAATTTATACCGACATTACTGTATATTGGGTACACTGGACTTATGGTGATAACGTTTTGGTTACTAACCGGAACAATAGGTTTTTTCGCCGCCTACGCTTTCATTCGAAAAATTTATGGGGCTGTTAAAATTGATTAAGTGGTGTATCGTTTGATTGTGCAAGAATGCTTTACTTTGTTGGAACACTTAGTGTAGGAATAAGTAATTTTTAAGTAGGTTTAGTCTACCATTTATCAATCACCCAGTTAAATAAATATTTTTACAACTATAAAAAGTAAGACAATTTGGCCAGCCTAATGTTATCTAATATGTGTAGTCTAAATTTGTTTCTTAATCTATTCCAGTATTACTTTAACATCACTTGTATACTATTCACTGTAGATTTAAGCATTCCGAAGCATTACAAAGGAATAACATATTTATGTTTCATGTCTTGTTAAGAAATCGTTTTTAACTTTGTAAATATATTAGATTTATGTATCAAGATGAAATAATTATTTCCTCAATGAAGCGACGTACATAGGTGATAAAAACACCATCTTATTTTAAGAACACAGCGTGTCTATTTTAATTGTTAAATTTGTGATTATAGAATTTAAGTAAGATTATCCGTAAATACACAAAATTATTAGTTTTTCTTCAAATTTAGAGTATGTATGGTAAAGGTCACAAAATGCTTGTATCTTATCGGTTTGTCATCAGAAGGTGACTGGAAGAGTTGGGAGGTATTTGAATATGATTGTATCAATTGAGAGTCATCAGTTTTTAATAATAATTCGGGCACCATTGAGTATAATGTTCATAATCTCTAGCTTATTGTGTAGTGCATTATTTAAGGCCAAACAAGCTTTCCAAAAAAGAAATTAAAAAGCCCTAATCGAATTAACTTAACGAACATGGAGATAGATAATGCAGGTTTTAATAACATAGCAACTATTTTTTATAAAATCTGCTCTACCGAAAGCTGGTGTTTCGGCTCGTATTGATTTACAAAGTAAGTCACCCTGTACATTATGTATGCATTCAATCACGGTTGAGTAGACCTAACCTCAAAAAAATTATTTTTTTGTGATTATTCCTAAATATGACTAAAAAGGAAAAAGAAGAAGAGTCTTCGTTTGATATAACTAAAAAAGGTAAAATTAATTTGGAATTTCTCTTTTATCCATTTCTTGTAGATCCCGAAGCTATCTATCGTCTGTATAGCATCTTATCGTTCATAATTGTACTGGTAGGAGTGGGCTTACCAGTATGGTGGATGACAACTCGAGTATACCGAGCATCACTACCCCTAAGAGAAATATACGAGTTCGAGTTAAAGAACAGAACAAATCAAGTGTACGGTTTACCTTTAAGCGTGGAATATGATGTTTTAATTACAATTGTGAATCCAACTCCTCAATTCTTACATGTGGATTTAGATGGTGAACTTATAGATTTAAATCTACAGCCAATGCTAAATTTATTAGATGGTGTAATCGATTTTTCTGTTAAAACACAATGGTTATATCTAACAGAGCTGGGGGTGGCACCCAAAAAAGTTGATGATTTTTACATTCTTACACAAGAGCAGTTGCCTCACGTTATAACCCCCTTGGAAAAGAAGTTGTGGTCGCATATGTCACAAAAGCCTTGTATAAATCTTGTACTGTACATAACTCCATGTAAGACCCCTCTTTATATACTAGACGAAAACAACACGAAACTTCCCACAAACTCTTTTTTAAGCCCACGCTGGGGTGGTGTAACTATTTTAAACCCCAGTCCAGAAGCGTGCCAGTCTGGAATATTTGAACCACAACTTTCGTGGATTATCAATATTTTCACCAAGTATTTACAACATTTACTTAAACTAGACAGCAACTCGAAGTCTGATATAGACAAATTTGCACTTGCAAAATCTATGGACATGCTGAATTCGACACGGCGCACCTTAAAGAGTTTGGCCCAACTGCTCTCCGAGATTAACAGCATTGTAATCAGCGATGACGTTGCCGAAAGGATCAGTTTGGCTGTATCAAAAGCAAACGAGGCAGAGGAATATTTAGATGGTGGCAAGTTGCAGCTAGGCTTGGATGCTGCAAAAATTGCATTTCTGAACTCTGAAGCAGCATTTAGTGATCCCTCACTGTTGGCTTTACTATATTTTCCGGATGATCAGAAGTATAATTATATGTATAAGTATGATACCGTTTTAATTTTTTTTTTGTAGGTATGCTGTTTACATTCCCTTGTTTTTACCCATCGTAATTCCAGTGGTATGGTCATTGATGTCGGTGAAGAGTTGGTATTCCCCTCCTGTCAAGCTAAAAGCAGAGTGATGTGACACCAAGAACTGATTGAACGTTATTTTAAATGTGATATTATGTAACATTATGTGTATAGTGTGGATATCATTTTTTTAACATTGTGATAATTCCTATGTCTGAAATAGTACTCTTCAAATTTGGATTCTTTGTTTAATTATTGTTTTCGACTAAGCAAAAAATATGTTTAGGGAAAAAAGAAGTTTATTAAGTAATTCTCAAAATTTAGTCATCACTTTATGACAGTGACCCTTTCGATTGAATGTATTATTTAGTTTAATAATTTTTTTAAAATAAAGTTTAGAAATTGTAGAATCGCTTCAAATGTGAGAGTTGGTAATTAAGGCTTCACCCTATGGATATATACAGAAATGTAATGCTAGTCCGAAGGTCTTGGGTGAACACTATGAAAAATTCACCAGTTCAGGGTCGATACACATGCCCAGTCTAAAAAGTAGCATTTACGGTTAATGAATTTATCTGACGATACTAGAATCAGACTCTCGTGCAGGGCCTTCAATATTCGCAAGACCATTTTGAAATCTGCCCGGGTGAGACCCTGGAGCAAGCCCAGAATTTGTAATCGGCCTGGGTGAGTAAGTATCGACCGCAGGTTGACTTGGGGCGGTGAATCGATGATTCTTCAGTTGATATATACAGGGTGGCCATTTGAAAACGAAACAGAGCCTATTTTGGGGACATCAAAACATCTACAAAAAAATACTCGGACCCGTCAATTTTTTATTCAAGGGGGAACAATTTTTTCGCTAGTTTCGCCCCCCTGAGGGCAAAGCCCTAGCGGGGATGACAAGCGCTCCCAAAATTTTAAATCGAATGGGTGGTCGAGTGATACCTGATTTTGAAGGTATTTTGATGTGGATTATAACCCTTAAGTTTTAAATCGCTACTAATTTGCCTAGCCGATACAGGGGCTAATAAAAGTTACAAAAATGTGTCAACATTTTCTTATGAAAAAATATTCTTGTAAATGAATTAGTTAAATAACAAAAATAAAAGAACAGTAAATACAAAAAATGTTGTTCTCCTACATTCTGAGCCGTACTTTTTGTTGTTGTTTTTTCTTTTTAATACTCGTAAGTATAATGCCTTTTCTGCAACGCAAATCTTGGTTATTGTTGAGAGCATCATTTTGAAGTTTAATAGTTTAATTGTCAATTATTGTTGTCAGAACGAGAGAGGGATAATAAATAAATAATGGTTTATTCACTTGCTGAAATATAATTTATCTCTTTTTGCAAACAATGAAAATGCTAATAGAACTGCCCAGCTCCTTTAATCGACAACACCAGAATCGACAGGTTCATCGTATGTTTGGGCTGCCATTTTTGGTAACCGTATCGTAGGCCCCTTCTTTTTACCTGGAACTTTAACAGGAGAGATGTACCTGGAGTTATTAGAAAAGACGATTCGTTCAGCATTAGTGGAGATACTAGAAAATAACAACGACTACTTGGAAATAGTCTAGTATTTCAGCAAGATGGTGTGCCACCCCACTATATGCTGCAAGGGTTCGTCAATATTTGGACTAAACGTTTCCAGGACAATGGATTGGAAGAAAAGACGCTATTGAATGGCCTCCTCGTTCCCAGGACTTAAGTGCGTTAGATTTTTCTTATGGGGCCATTTAAAAACTAAAATTTGTGCTAGTCAGCCTACATCGTTAGACAACTTGCGACAAAAAATAATTGACGAATGTCGTCAAATCACCCCATAAGTTTTTCAAAATGTACGGAAAATGTTTGAACAAAACCTACTGTATTATTCTACGGAAGTCGAAGGCCAACATTTTCAACATTTACTTGATTTAAAATTAAGGGTTATAATCCACATAAAAATACTTTCCAAATAAGGTATCACTTGACCCCCCATTCAATTTAAAAATTTGGGGGCGCTGGCCACCCCCGCTATGGCTTTGGCATCAGGGAGGCGAAGCTAGCAAAAAAATGGTTCCCCCTTGAATCAAAAATTGACGGGTCCGAGGATTTTTTCGTTAATGTTTTGAGGTCTCCAAAATAGGCTCCGTTTCGTTTTCAAATGGCCACCCTGTACTTTGCCCCTGTACCTACATAGCGTTGTTGTAGGGGTTGTATATTTATTCACTCCACCTCGTACTGGTTCGGCAGGGTTACTAAAACCCTCACCTTTTTAGAAAAGAAAACCCATAACTGACCCTCCCCCTCTGTGGCGACTAGGTTAGCTGGTCTTCCTTCAGGCTGATCTTTCGCGGCTCTGGGGAAGATGCACCACTGCCTACCTGTGCCGAGGAATTCTGCGCTTTGATCACCGCCAGGTTGTCGGATTGCTCCTGGACCCAAATGCCAGCCTATGTGGAGCCTGTATTAGGAAGACAATCTTCCTAAACTACTTTTAGGTGTGTGCTGTCACCCACTTGCATCAAAGATTTGGGTGGTTCTACGTCTTAAAAACATCACAACAGTGAACAGTATATAATGAGAATATCTGGGGGGACTGCCCTACTAACTGACCTTGCGTCCAAAAGCCAGATTATACTGGCACAGATAATGGTAAGTATTTTATTTGTGATACTGGTCAGTTCATCGAATTCCATAGCATTTAAGCGAGTAGAAAAGCACGTGTTTATTAGCAAAGAGTATATAACGTTACTTATAATACTCTTTGGTTTAACTACTTAGTTTTTAGGCCTCTTTTGGCCTCGCGAACGAAGTTTTTGGGGTGCGTAGAAAAATAGCGATTGATATCATATCAAATACATGGTTTCCCCCACAACCACATCAGCGCAGTATGATTACTGATTACGTGACGATAAAAAAAATCAATTATAGACGTAGATAATTGCGCCCTAAAGAATTACCTCAAAGTCGTAGGATTCTTTTTTGCGATGCCTGAACTACCGTACCTATACGTTACTCCAATTATTATAATAACCCTTTGGTAAAGTTGAGTAGTACGAATTGATTCGTGTTTTAATTCGATTAATTATGGATCACATTCTTTGAATTAAATTAGCCATTTAGCAAGTGATGCAAATAGTAATTACTTAGGTATCTTTTTTGAATTACAGAAAAGCTGCACCAGAAAAATTTGTGCTGCCTGCTACCCATGAGAGATTATGAGAATTTACATGGATATCATCATTGTATATACATCTTATCCTTATTCATTTCCAAAAGTACACGTGCCGCGTTATCAACTTAGTATTTTACAGTAGATAACAATATCTGTTTCCGCAAGAAATACAGCCCAATTTTTTACTTGGGAGATACGTGTTTACGTTGTTGTTCCAGATACCGACCACTGTTCACCATTTCATTTAATGCTCATGAATTTATGTGCTTGCAACTTGTAAGTCATAAATTTTTGGATAGAGCCATAGACATTTAAAATTTTTTGAGGTCTTTCCTCGCTCTGCCATTTAGCCCATAGTGTTTATAAATCAGCTGAAATGTTTATTCAATTGCTAAATCAATAAACCTGCTGTAATCGGCAAGAAAACGAGAGATCCAACATCCCCGCTATTGATATTCCATGTATTAATAATTGTAGTACATCTAGTGCGGCAGGGAGTCGGTTGGCTCCTTCTGGACATGGAATTAGTATGATCAATTCCCGTTAACTATTTTACAGATTTTATAATCGGTTCACTTCTATAAAAACTGAAGTGTATATTGTTCACTGAATGTCTGAAGAAGCTTACACTAAAACTTGTACAAAAAAAACCTGAAGGTAAATTTTAAAGAAGATTTATTTGAAATCAGTACATTTGCAAAAACTAGTATTTCCTTGGACACAGCCTGTACATCAATAAGATATAAATAACTAAAAATAAATTCTTAGACAAAGGAATGAAGTTAAAAGCATACTACAACACATGCCTTCAACGCGAACAATTGGAAAAACCTAAAATACTGATAGCAGCTTAATCAACCTCTTCCATACGCGATGCATCTTCGCTTTCGGCATCTGTAGCTGGAACATCACCCGCAGCACCTTCTAATTCTTCAGTCATCATGGGTTCCTCTTCGTCGATACCCAAACCTAATTTGATCATTCTGTAAATGCGGCATGCATGTACTTGTGGTTCGTCGAGCGCGAATCCGGAACTAAGGAGAGCAGTTTCGAATAATAAGATAACTAGGTCTTTAACGGCCTTGTCGTTCTTGTCGGCTTCGGCCTTTTGCCTGAGGTTTTCAATGATGGAGTGGTCAGGGTTAATTTCCAGGTGTTTCTTTGCGGCCATGTAGCCCATCGTGGATGTGTCGCGTAACGCCTGTGCTTTCATGATACGTTCCATATTGGCAGTCCATCCGTATTGCGATGTGACGATACAACATGGCGATTCTACCAGCCTGTTTGAAACGACCACCTTTTCTACTTTGCTATCCAAGATGTTCTTCATGACCTTGCAAAGACCCTCGAATTTGGTTTTGTCTTCTTCGCGTTTCTTCTTCTCCTCCTCCTCTTCTGGAAGTTCGAGACCTTCCTTGGTGACGGAAACAAGTTGTTTGCCGTCATATTCTTTCATTTGCTGCACGACGTACTCATCAATCGGCTCGGTCATGTAGACAACTTCAAATCCGCGCTTCTTAACACGTTCAACAAACGACGAGTTGGCTACCTGCAATTACAGTCAAAGTTAAGACACTGCTAAAATGATTTCGATGGCGGTTAACTTACTTGATCCTTGTTTTCGCCGGTGATGTAGTAGATGTGTTTTTGGTTGGGCTTCATGCGCGTAACGTATTCTTTAAGGGAGCAGCTTTCATCTCCACTGGCAGACGTGTGGTAGCGTAGCAGATCTGAGAGTTTAGCTCTGTTTTGAGAGTCTTCGTGGATGCCCAACTTGAGATTCTTGGAGAACTGTTCGTAGAATTTCTTGTAACCATCCTTGTCTTCGGCAAGTTCATCGAAGAGTTCCAAGCACTTTTTGACCAAGTTCTTACGGATGACTTTGAGAATTTTATTTTGTTGGAGCATCTCACGCGAGATGTTCAAGGGCAAGTCTTCACTATCGACGACGCCCTTAATGAAGTTGAGGTACTCTGGGATTAATTCCTCGCAATTATCCATGATGAAAACCCGTCTGACGTATAGTTTGATGTTGTTCTTTCGCTTCTTGTTCTCAAAGAGGTCGAAAGGTACACGTCTGGGTACAAAGAGAAGTGCGCGGAATTCCAACTGACCTTCCACACTGAAGTGCTTTACGGCCAAGTGGTCTTCCCAATCGTTGGTGAGGGATTTGTAGAATTCGCCGTACTCTTCCTGACTGATGTCATCGGCATTACGTGTCCAGATCGGTTTGGTTTTGTTTAATTCTTCATCTTCGGTGTACTTCTCTTTAATGGTCTTCTTCTTTTTCTTATCCTTGCCTTCCTTATCTTCCTCTTCATCTTCACCCACATCTTCAATTTTTGGTTTGGATTCATCTTCGTCTTCCTCTTTCTTTTCTTCTTCGGCTTCGTCATCGCTCAACTCCTTTTCGCGTTCCTTCTCCACCATCAATTTGATTGGGTAACCAATGAATTGAGAATGTTTCTTAACAATTTCCTTGATCTTGTGCTCTTCGAGGAAATCGGTCTGGTCTTCCTTGATGTGGAGGACCATTTTGGTGCCACGGCCGAGGGGTTCGCCGTGATCGACGCGTACGGTGAAGCTGCCACCAGCTGATGATTCCCAAATGTACTGTTCGTCATCATTATGCTTAGAAACGACTGTGACTTTATCGGCGACAAGATACGCAGAGTAGAAACCTACACCAAACTGACCGATCATAGAAATATCGGCGCCTGCTTGTAGAGCCTCCATGAACGCTTTGGTGCCAGATTTTGCAATTGTACCTAGGTTGTTGACTAAATCTGCTTTAGTCATACCGATTCCAGTATCAATGATGGTGAGGGTGCCTTCGCTTTTGTTTGGGATGATTTTAATGTACAAATCCTTGCCGCTGTCCAATTTTGAGGGATTTGTGAGAGATTCATATCTGATTTTATCCAAAGCGTCTGAGGAATTTGAAATTAATTCACGAAGGAAAATTTCTTTGTTGGAGTAAAAGGTATTGATGATCAAGCTCATCAATTGAGCGATTTCAGCCTGGAAGGCGAAAGTTTCAACTTCTCCCATTTGTTCTTCAGGCATCTGCAGAACAAAATTCAAATAAGATGGCTGCACGTGCAATGGAATTACAACGCAATTATGAATGAAAAAGTAATTTGTTAACAAAACGGACGAGTAAAATACATACCTTGACTGTTTAAATATTTAAATGCACTTAAAATTATTAAATGAATGTAAAGATTTAACCGGTAATCGCACTTTTACAAGCACAACTTCCTCGCACCACAGCTTATTGACAATTGGCAGAACGCAAACCGCGCAATCCTTATATACCCACCGAGCTTCTAGAACGTTCTAGAACAAAATCGAAAAGTTCCACAACGTTCCATGGCAATTTCGACGTCAACAACACCGAAATCAATGCCCTCCATTTCCTGTATGTAACGCGCGAAATTCAAAATGCGCATCATTTTTAAAACGAAAATGACCAATTTTCGGATTGTTCTTTAGAAACGAAACGTTAAATTGTGAAAATTAAAACAATACGTCAATAATCTTCGCATTTAAAAGAAAAGCGATGTAAAAATACGTCTACCTGCTATCATTGTTTATTTATTAAAAGGTACTATACTTTCTACGATTATTATTTTCGTAGATTAAAAATTCTACAATTTTTTGAAAAAAAAATTAATTGGTCTATGGCGCCTTTTTGCACATGTACATTTTTCTACATTACTTCGAGGGGTTAAATCGTTAAGCATTGTAAGTTATTGTGATAAAGAATGGGGTTGAATTGTACAAAAACGTGCTGCATAAAATTAATAAGGGCTTTTTTTAAAGATTTTCCATAAAATTTGGGGTTAAGGACGCGAAAATTAATCGCAAGCATGGATCTATGCGTCATCTCATCGGCGTCACCCATTCGTTTCTAGATTATTCGATTTCAATGAGTATGAAATATTCTGTTGCACGTGGAATTGGGGGAAACTCTCGTTTTCTTTCCTGTTCTAGAAGTTTCGGCCAGGGGCGCCGGTTAGGGTTGCGCAATTGATTGATGATATATGATGCGGCAATGAAAATTAGGTACCTATATATGCATCAAGGTTTATTTTGTGCTTGTCATGAAGTAATTGTACTTTTGTTAATTTCAAATTTCAAGTTCCAATCTCCACAATATACGAAAATTCTTGAAACCTAATGCTGTATTATGTACTTCGGGGTTTCGTCTGGGTACATTTACGCTGTAATCTCTATGCTCTACCCCTTATTAGAATGTAATGTAGCACAACACGCCAAGTACGAAGATAAAATCGTTTTTGGGCCTAAACTTGAGATTTAAGTAGATGAATTATTATTACATTTCGATGTAGCTAAGCTGATGTCCGAAAAATTGAATTATTTTGTTTGCTACAGCTTATGGTAAAATTATATGAATGCAGGCATATAAGTTTAGTATTTGTATGATACAGGCATTGGTTAAATACTTATTTTAAACAATGATACAGGTATTGAAAATACGACTTTATGGCGAAAATCCATTACGACGCCAATGTTTTTTTTAAATCACCATTTTAAACCTAGGCACCATCTGTTGAGGAAAGTGGCAGGTTTTGACAGGAATCGACTGCACCTATTGTTTTTATTTTTAAAATAACGTCCGTTAGGCACACATGCTTATACTGTCTGTGTCGTTTTGAAAATACAAAGTTCTCGTCTTGTGCCAAAATGGCTGCTCAAAAAAGTAAATCTGCAATTACTGTAAAAGGATCAGCCGAAATTGTTGTTGAATACTTAGGTATGTTACAGTAAAGTCAGGTTTAAATTTACATTTTCTCTTTTCAGATTTTGGAATTAACTCGATATTGTTTCAAAGAGGTCTTTATCCACCTGAAGATTTCAAAACAGTCGAAAACTATGGCCTACCTATTTATATGTCTCAAAATAACAAAATTAAGGAATTTTTATCATCCACCTTTTGCCAACTGAAAGGTAACATTAATGTGGGCGTAATCGAGAAATTTTATCCCCTTTTTGTACAGAGTGGTTGGTAAAAAGGCTAGTTGATAAGATAGCGTTAATAGTAACGAGTGTCAAGACTCGAGAAGTTATGGAAAGGTGGGATTTTAACGTTCAGTACGAAGGCGACATAGACAATCCAAACCAGACGTCAGATAAACCTTTGAAGCAGATTCAGAATGAAATAAGAGATGTACTGAAGCAAATAGCATCATCTGTCGCATATTTACCGCTACTTGATTGCCTTTGTAGCTTTGATATCCAGATTTATACGAAAAACGATATCGAGCTGCCTCCAGAATGGGGTGACGCTCAGCCGGCTGATATTAAGAATGCTCAGTTTGTTCGGTTACGTTCCTTCTCCACTAACATTCATAAAATGGAGACTGTTGTCACGTATAAAAGTGAAGATTAGATTTTATTGAATTGTGCTAAGTGCTCCCGTTTTAAGGGTGTATTGATTTTATTTTTTTTATCTGATGTATTTTAATTATTTGAGTACCCTTTGCTAGATGTAAGTTTTATGTATGTAGCTTTTATAACAATTATTACAATGCTGAGTATATTTATTTATTTAACACCATACAGAATAAAAATTCCAATTACATGGGACTGGGGCTCTGAACAACATTAGGACTTAAGATCTAATTTGATTTATTATTGCATTTAGGGGATCGTGAAAAAAGTCGATATTCACTATGAGAACGGATTTTAATGATTTTGGCGATCAATATTGGAAATCTTGTCGAAAACAATCCAAAAGATTTGGACAATTAGTCCCTTAAAAATGGAATTTGGGTTTTTTGTCGGTCCCTATGGTTAAATAGTCTGGGCGGTTAATTGTCCAAGTTTACTTGTGAATTTGTTATAAATAAAGCTGCGTGTTTGGTGAATATTTAAATAAAATATATTTAGCCAAATAGAGAAGGCTGTATCAAAAAACCAGCGTCACTAAATTGTTGGAACCCATTGTTTATAATAGATTCGGTTTTGTATCATAGCCAAAAACGTTTTTTTTTTAAATTAGAAATTGCGCCAAAATAGTATCGTCCGACACCTAATGTTGGTTTAATAAAGTAGTGACGATACTAAATGCAGGAAATTACAAGAACGTACGTCATAATGAATTACCACGAAAGAACACGATTTTATTAGTTCAGTGAGGATATAAATTCAATGGTGAGGATGCCCCTATAACAAAGATAATAAAACGTGCGGACATCTGTCGTCACACTTTACCACTAATTGCGTACTCAGTACAGTAAAAAATTAGACAAAATATTGGCGTGACGTCCTCTGTAAAAGAAACATTGAACTAAGAAGCTAGCAGTAATTTAATTGCCTGTATCTAGCGGCAACACAACTAGTTCATTATACCAACGTTAGATGTCAGAACGATACTATTTTGGCAAAATATTTAATTTAAAATAAATTGCCGGTGATTAATTTTGCTATATTTTGTTCTCAGAGCTGGGCAGTATTCGATTTTGTAAATACTTTTTAGTATTCAAATCCTTTAAAGTATTCAAATACTTTGTAATTAAGTACTTTTATGGAAGCAGTATTTGTTTTTGTAACTCAAATACTTTCACAAATATTTAGTATTCGAATACTTCGCAAAGTATTTGGATACTTCGTAAAGTATTCGAATACTTCGCATAGTATTTGAATACTGAACCTTCCTTTTTTTACCAAAAATTGACTACTCCAAAATTTCTCGGGAAAACACTTTTTCTTATTAATTTTGGTGCGTAGAATCCAAAACAATTCGTACTTTTTCGATCAGACTTCTCAATCAAAAGTTATAGACTAGAAACCAATTTCGAAAGAAAATTCAAAGGGCTGTAACTTTTGAACTAGTAGCCCAATCTTGGAACTGTTTTAAATTATGGATTCTACAGGCCACATTCTATAAGAAAATTTTTTTTCCGGGTCGATCTGAGACAATTTTTTTTTCGGGGCTCAAAAAAAAGGCAGTGTATAACCTTCCTTTTTTACCAAAAATCGACTACACCAAAATTTCTCGGGAAAACACTGTTTCTTATTAATTTGGGTGCGTAGAATCCAAATCAATTCGTACTTTTTCGATCAGACTTCTCAATCAAAAGTTATAGACTAGAAAAAATTCAAAGGGCTGTAACTTTTGAACTAGTAGCCCAATCTTGGAACTGTTTGAAATTATGGATTCTACAGGCCACATTCCATAAGAAAATTTTTTTCCGGGTCGATCTGAGACAATTTTTTTTTCGGGGCTCAAAAAAAGGCAGTGTATAACCTTCCTTTTTTACCAAAAATCGACTGCACCAAAATTTCTGGGGAAAACACTTTTTCTTATTAATTTTGGTGCGTAGAATCCAAAACAATTCGTACTTTTTCGATCAGACTTCTCAATCAAAAGTTATAGACTAGAAACCAATTTCGAAAGAAATTGAAATTTTAAAATTCTGTATGATCCAATAGTTTTTGTCTTTTTAATTAATTTCAATTTTGTTCATTATTTCTCTATATTTCTGCGCGACTTTTATTCAGCAATATATGAGCAGTAATTGTCATTTTAGTATGGGGTAGCTACCAATGATGGATTGATATACATTTCACCTGGTTCTTCGCCATTGTCGGTCATCTGGCGAAATAAGCCATCTAGCGTGTGGATTTCGCTCCACTACCTATGAATTCGAATTAATTTGCTTAATCATTATTTTTGAACGTAATCATTTCAAGAAGAAGCACAACAAAATACAAAAGGTATGTGTGCAACACCTTCCCGTTGCTTTGCTCCCTAGTTTCATTAATAGGGGAACATTAGGCGAGCACGTTAAAAGATTCTAGTCTTTGCAGCTTATATCGACTTAACTTACCACAAGGATAGGCCGAGGATATTTTGGGAGGTTTTGATTTGTTTCATTCTGCACCAATACTTATAAAATAATTTGAATTGTACTATATGTTCCCCTTTGAAGGATTCTGTATGTGTATGGTCAGTAGTATAAGAATAAAGACATGCGAAAGCAGTATTTTTATTTTTCTAATACCATTTGCGGGATATAAGTTTTATGTGTGTAGCTTTTATAAAAATCTATTGCTATGCTAATTAGCAAAATTATCACCATTTACCGTTATCACATTATGCGAGTATTTTATATTAATTAACATCGAGAAGTTTTAGTTAATACCTACGTTTAGTCCAGATGAGAGAATTAGAAATGAACCATTTTCTATATAATTGTAAATCATTTCTAATTCAACTCTAAATGCCCTACGATGCCTATGCAACTGATGGTCTGGACTAACATTAGTAAGATGGTTGTACATAACTAATAGCACCATTTACATACAAATTAATGTGTAGGTAATACAAACAAATTAGGAACATCTACACACATTTGCAAATATTCAAAATGCAAATTGCAAATAATGTAATTTTGGAGTATTTACAAAACGTTACATTAAAAGAACATCTAATACATCAATATCTTTGGTATAGTTTCTTTATTACAATCATGGTTCGTAAGATCTTTATTATTTCTTCTTGATTCCTCTTCAGTACACTCCTACAAATAAGAAAAAATTAAATTACCTAAATAGAAAGGTAATGGCAACTGTAAGCTACCCTGCCCGCCTGCGCAAAGAGTCATTTATTTGGGTCAATTTTCAAAACTGCAACAAGCGAGGATTTTAATGATAGGCACGAAGTTCCCAAAGTTCTGAATTGAAAAAGAAGCGTTAAATTATACGCGGTCTTTGGGATGCGGTTTGGGGTTGCAATTGTTTTGCGAATTTGGGATAACTAGCATCATTCACTACCTACTCCATTAAATTTGTCTCCATTCAAAACACTTCCAATCATCTCAAGAATGCTCAAAATGTACAGGTAAATAGGAAATTTTGCTTCTATACTCAAACCAAGTTCGTTTATGCCTCTGAAAAATTGATGACGGGATAGTGTAGTTCTCCATCAATAATTTTTGTGCAGGAATGGTGTTCTAATGACGAGCCTTCACTTAAAAACTGTTGTGCTTATGAGTTACGCTTATTAAAGGATAAACAAAAACAGAAGCTGGATTTATCCAATTATTATTTCCAAATTTGCATTAATTTCGAGTTAATTAGGTCTTACAACAATTGTAACTTTTAAACTTGAACCTTAAACCTAATGAAAGAGCTATTTCTAAATAACGGTTACATATATGGATTGTTTTAGGGGTGGAACTCACAAATTGTAGTTGTTTGTGCGTAAAATCTTTAATTAAAAGAATAAAATCGAGGGAACACGAGGGAATCTAAGGTAAACTCTTCCACCCCCAATGAATATTAGCTTTCCACTTAAAAGAGCACTCAAATTTTATGTTTTCGGTATTAAGAACTCCTAAAGAGCTCATGCCGAATTCTGCGAAACTTTTGGTTAACTGGAGGTTCGGGGAAGGATTCGGTATTGTCAAAAAAATTACCAAACGGGAAACTTAATATTCGAAGTACGTGAATTGTGCCCGTAGGTTTCGCCTCATAGACTTGTTTCGTATGATTGGGGGTTAAACATAGATGACACAAATTCCTTTTTTGGATTTCCACTTATACAGGGTGGAAATGTATGGCTATGATAGGGTGATGGCTCTAAAATCAGGAAATGATAGCAAAGATGGAAGAGAGAAGAAGCTACAAAAACATCAATACCGAAGTGGGAAGAAGACAATATCTGAGGTTAAATGAGAAGTTGAGAAAAGAAACTGATGAACCTAGGAAAAGGTGGTGGCAAAATCAATTTAACGAAATGGAAAGCTTGGTAGGACAGGAAGGTACAATATTATTTAGAATAGGATTAACGAGGTTACCTGGGATAGATTCAAGAGCTGTTTGTAGCAAATTAAGTGGAAAAAGGAATGGAAAGGTATTGAAAGAAGAGGAAGATGTTGATGGAAACAGTAGGTGTACGGTGGATCCTTGACCCGGTAATGGCATTTGATAGTGTTCTGTGGGAAAAATTGGTAGACATTTTAAAAGAAAGAGGAAAGATTGGAATGATCAGCAAGAGCAGCATTGAGAGTCGGCGGAAACAGAACGGATTGGTTTGAACTGGGTACGGGCATGAGGCAGGGACCTCCTTTGTCATCGACAGTATTTAATACTTACGCCTCGAAGCGTTGGAAAAGCGATAAGGGCGTACATATTCTAGGAAGAAAGGTGATATCCATTCGGATTGCTGATGAAACGCTCCTCTTTGGAGAAAATACAGAGATCTGACAGTATTAACTTGAAGATGGGGCAAAAGAATATGGTTTACCTAGTTATAACTTATAAATCAGAACAAGGCTAAGGTAATGAGAATAGGAGAGGCAGAAGGAATGCAAGTGTATGTGAAAGATGCAATGCTGGAACATTCGTCACACGGGTTTTTCTAACATGACCAGTTGAAAATATGAATGTGAAACAAGCAAATTTCCTCCAATACTAACCCTACAATGCACCATTTTCGAGATTTAAACGAAAAAAGAGACATTTTTAAATAGTTTTTATAGAAGCTTTGTGAACTCCACGTAGAAACGACGACGTACGCTCTATGCTG